TATGTCATCGCTCCGTGCCTCACAGATTAATATAGCGCACACCGCCGGGAAAAGCGTGGAAAGGTGTTTAGGAAATGTGAGCTGGAGCAGGAAGCAGGGAAGCAGGAAGGCAGGGAGACAATCTAGAGATGCCTTCATCGCAGTAATCAACAGTTTAACGGCAGCGCCTGTTGGCCTAGATTCTGCGTCGCCACTTTGTAATCGTTAAGCCGGTCCGCCGGCAACTACAGCTGCCCCTATATGGCTCAAATGGCCGAAACGAGAACGTGACGCGGTGACGCGGTGAAGGGGTGTGATTATGAGGCCGGAACGCCGAGCCTCTGACCAGCATCTGGATCGTAAAATCATTTGTTTATCGCTGCGGCCGTTTTCGGGCCCATTAGCAGTTCAAATCCATTGCAATAAATCGCCGAGTTGCTGAAAACAGGGCTAATTCCTTCGCATGCAGCACGGATCTTTGGCGCCAGATGGCAGATGACGCGACGATTGGCATGCAACATAAAAGCGTACTTTATGATTTAAGCACCGCAAAGCCGCAGCTCACAGCAGGAGAGCCCACATGCCGAAAGTTAATCGCACATAAAACGCAATACTTTATAGTCGTCAAAAGTGCCAAGGCCCAACCCCAATAAAGCTGCCAAATTTTACTGCATATAACCGTAACATAATGGAATTCATTTTGCGAGCCCCACATTCGCAAACGACAAACAAATCAGTTTGAACGAAAGCCCACTGCAATTAGTTGCGGTCAAAGAGTGGCTAACCAGGGAATTTCAAGTCATTTGGGAAGTTTCGGTTGAGTGAAGCTTGGGTTCATCTTAAACGGACGCACGGTTTGAAATTACTACTGAGTTGGAGCGCCAGCAACTTATAGCGCAATATTATTTGCAATTAAGTAACTTGTTTACAACTCACAAAGTACGAAAGCAACTTACAAAGTGTAAAAACAAATTTGCAGGAAAGGTGCTGATGGAAAGTCTGAAACATAAACCTTATTTTACTATAAGTGTTTTTTGAGTTATGGGATTCTCGGTAAAGAAAGGACTATTTCTGTGCCAAATTACTACTTTATGTTACATAATGAGCTGCTCAAGAATGTCCAACAGTATTAGGGAAAGCTCTCAAAGAAGAAATATCCTTTACAATCTTAGCAGTGGTTGAAGTGACTTCTGAGACTGAGGTTTCAACTCGATTTATTTGGGAAAGATTTGAAAGACACACCTGACATTCTTTATTTGAATTGATTGATATTGATGGCGATTGGTTTCTAAATTTCTCGGCTTACACACTATGAGATAACCGCTTTTCACTTTCCCCTAACAGAAAGTGTTGCCTATTCGTAAACTTTTGGCAACTTTTTTAATAATGGTCAGATTTTAGAAGACTTGTTGATAGGGTAAATTTTTATTTGATTCTTGCTACAGTTTTCTTGTTGAGAGTTATAGTGAAAGATATACATGCAAGTAAGAACAACAGAAACTAGATTTTGGCTTTTAAATTTCCTAGAACAACACTTAAGCCTTCCATCGCAACCTTTTTGTGGACGTGTTTGTTTGGGCAAGCCCGACTGTTTGTATCTTGAAGGACATGGGTCCCAACAATAACGAGGTTACTTTGGCACTCGCTGTGCCCTCATCAGGGATGACTGAGTATTCGCACCACACTTTATTTCTCGCTGTGTGACAGCGATGGCTGGAAGGTTAACGCACATGTCCATCATCTGCAACAAAAGCGGCTACACAGATACAACACAGATGCCTGGTGCGATCGGGCGGAAGTGGTCCTCCACTCGCGCCACTTGCAACACGAGAGCCGGCAACTTTTCGCGGCTTTTCGTGATATGTCGGGGCAACTTTTGATATCCCTGCGGTATCCGAGGCATTTTAATCAACTCGGGATCGCAGCAGGACGGATTGGAATGCTGCTAATAAATATTTATAAATTCAGCCCTCGCACACATTGTTTGACGTTTTTCGACTGTCCCGGCAGATACGAAAGTTTCGAATTCTCCGGCTGGCCGGGCAGCAGACTCGAGTGACAGCGTAAACCTAATCCCTGGCCAGCTGAGTCCCTAAGCCAAACTGCTCGGTTGTTATCGAGTCATGGCCAATCCCTGCCAGTGCCTCCGAGTCGTTGTGCCTCCTTGGCTGCAGGAGAGCCCGTGTTGCGGCCACAGGCAAATGTGCTTTTGATGACATTTTAAATGCCTCCGGGCCGGGGAATGCATCCCGACCAGGGCTCATCCCCTAAGAAACTAATCAATAGGACGCTCCGTCTCACATGCGCCTGCCAATCTGTGTGTTTTTTCCGGGCTACGATTTCCCCCTTACCTCCGCCACAAAAGCCGGCTGAACGAATTCGCAATAATCGCAGGGGCAAAACCATAAATTGATTCCGGGAAAACCGTAAAAAGGGAGCTCCCATTTTTTATTCCTCCTCCCGTTTTTTCCGGCCTTTCCTTGCAGTTCTGCGTCGCTGGAGCAAACACGTTCCGGAAAAGTTTTAAAGGGCCTCTGCCCTTTGAGTTGTTGATGACATGTTTCGGTTTCTGTTCTCCGAGGTCCGTGGTCCGTGGTCCGTGGTCCGCAGCCGGGAAGATAAAAACAAAAAATGTCAACAACAGGAACGCTTTTATTTGAGGAAAACAGAAAAATTAATTCAAGTTTTGCTCTTTCGGCCTGCTTTAAAATGTAAAGCGAAAACTTCTGGCCTGCGTTTGCAATTCTTTTATGTTTTCCACAGCTGTTGGCAGTTGTCTTCGGCGTGGGCCTAGTAGATTTAATTAAATTTTTGTATGGGAAAACATTTTCAAGGCTGCTGCGTGTGCGAAAGTTTGCGTTGCGTCTCTGCTCCGGGAACCGTGGGACATGTTCAAAATAGAGTCCCCGGGGGGAAATTGGCGAGAGCTTCGAGTTTTAATATTGATATTTAAATTTTCTAATTTACCCTGCCCGTGGGAAATCCAACCACCTCCCCTCTTCCATCCAATTATGTCATTATCCGCACGGTTTCGGCTTATCTGAAGCACCTCCACTGCAAACTGCAAACAGAGTGTCCCACATGGCGTATGCTCAATGCTTTCGGCAGGCCGTCTGGCCAAACTATATGCAAATTATTATGCACTCGGCTGCTGCTGCTGCTGCTAAAACAACACAATCTCTCGTGCCAGTGGGCTTTCATCAGAAATTATCCCGGCGCATGTAAATAGTTATGAATTTGCATGGATGCAGCAGAGTTCAGGTGCGTTTTGCATTTAAAACTCGACCAGAGGAGGTGAGGAATTAAAAATACGACGCCAGAGGGGGAACTTTCAAGCATTCAAGCATTAGATATTCCCTAAGTTTGCAGCCAGGATGAAAGTAAATACGCGAAGAATAATAAACTTTGCTGGAGTGTTTTACGCTTTACTGATATAAAAGTCACAGGTCGCAGCAGATATTTTCCCATTAACGCAGAGCTTTACTGCTCGGCAAAACGAACCAGGTCATAACTCCACCAGGTCATAAACCACCTGTCCAAGAGGAAAGGCAGGTGCATCCTGGTGGGAGGAGCAGCTTGTTAGTTTATGGAGCGAGTTCATTAGCCCGGAATAATTAACTGCCGATGCAGCCTCACCGAAATCGATCGTTATTATCTCCACGCGGAGGCAGCTAACCGAATTTGTCTAACGCAATTCGTCCTCTTCTGAGGACCGGCAATCTGTGCAGCTGATTGCAACAAATTGCGTTTGCCGGAAACCTAATTATATTAAGTTGCAATTACGGGGAGCAGAGTGCCAGTCCGGTGGCACAGGTGCAAATGGCTGGCTTTAACAACCCAGAGTTGCAGAGCTACAGCACTACGGGCTGCCTGCAAATTGAATTGGCTGCACTTAGCATGCACATTACATCACGTGCCCATGTGGAGAGCGAAGTCTTTGCCTTTGCCTTTGCCTTTGCCAGTGCTCTTTGCCACTCCATCGGCCGCCGTGTTTGTCCGTTGCTTTATGAGGCATACAGTTCGGGTTCTTATTTGGATTGCACCGGGGAGGCGGAGGCCCCCGCAGAAGCCCCACTCGAATCAGTTTGTTTCGATGCCGGGCTATTTGGCCCGACCTCCGAATGCCGAGCGCGCCCGTACGTTTATCTGATTTGTGGGACGGGCACGTGAGCAGATTATGATTACACGCAGTGCGCTGCATGCCACATGCAGCATGCAGCATGCAGCAGGCAGCAGGCAGGATGCAGCATGCCACTGCAGTTCCAGATACTTTGAGCTCGGCGGCGCAGCCAAATTGGCAAAGCCAATCAGGGGCAGCAAACAGAAATGGATGGCATTCAAAGTTGCCGGCGAAACGGGAAACTTGCAAATCCTTTTTGAAAACATATTGCATCCGTTGGTTTGGTTGCCTCAGGGTAAAATTATGAAAACTGAGGCAGAGCTTATTCAAATGATGCCGATTTTGTTTATATTCATATACTGTTATAAATAACAGTACCAATAAGTTGAGGTTTATAAAAAGAAAAATTCAACCACATTTAGGAAAACATTTTTGTACGCTTTGTTTGTTTTTGTTTAAAAATTTTTCACAACCGCAGAATCAGTTTTTTAAGATTTGTTAATCTTCAAAAGCAACAAATTTAAAAATTGTTAGCTTTAAAGATCATAACAATTTAAAAAACATAAAAATTGCTTACTCAAAATAAGTGCAAATGATGTCTTTTTTCTCACATGAAAATAATTAATTAATGAACAAATAGGTAAATAGACAAACCAAATATTGAAATCCATTAAATCATAAGATAGCTATTTTTTAAGCCCACACAAAACCAATAAAAATAACTTATTTGAACTTACTTATTAATTATAATTTAATCTTTGATATTGGTATAAAAACTCATAAAAGTTTTGTGTTATAGTTCGAAGCTTAAGTAATTTACCCTTTATCGCAGCGAAAGTTACTTTTATAACGTACTTAAAGCCACTAAATCAAAGTTCTCGCACTTTATTTGCATCCACAGCTTCGCACTACTTGGCGACCGGAAACGGAAGTTGTCGGGCCGGAAGTGCGGCTGGTTGTTGCTGTCCTCCCCCTCCTCCTGCTCCTTCGACTGCCCCGTGATGTGGAGAGTGAGGCGAAAGTGTTGCTAAACACCGAGCTGGCAGCGGAAATCGAGGAAGTGCTCGGACTTATAATGCCCCGACTTTGGCTCAAGCACACAAAAGCGGCGTAATGCAGCGCTGAGGATAAGGGAACAAACAATCCAGGACGCTCCACTTCAGGCGAACGAAGCCGAACAATCGCAGGCGAGGGCCCTCCACTTAACGACAAGCGATTTCTAAACAGGACGAGGGCATGGCGGACCTGGAGCGCATTCGCCTCGTCCTTCTGGGCGGCGCCGGCGTGGGCAAGAGCTCCATCGCGAAGCGCTTCCTGTTCAAGACCTACACGGACAAGTACCGCGCCACCGTCGAGGATCTCTACAATCGCGAGTACGACCTGGGGGGCGTCACCCTGAAGGTGAGTCCTGCGACTGCATCCGGTCGCAATGCAATGAGTCCACGGAGAGCCACGACGCCAGCCGTGTGTTCCCTGTCCTTTATTGCTGACATTTGCCATTTAAGCGGGATTCCGCTGTTCATATTTACTATATACAAGCTTAAAAGACGTCAACATCGCAATAGCCATTTCAGACCTATTCATTAATATTTATTACACAACATAATTACCTTGTTAATATTCTCCGTATTCTCCGATTACAAAAATTATTCGTATCTCGCAAGGACCTACTTAAAACGTGTTTATTAGTATAACTTCGTTTATTTACACTTAGCTTTGTATTTAACAATTATATAGACACTTACACCTTACATTTTCTTACAATTTTTATTCTTTGATATTATTTTAAGGGAAATATTTAAAAAGCTTCTATATAATTGTATAATTAATTTTACTGAAAAAGTTCATCCGAACTAATTATAAATTATAATACTTCGGTTTCTCCAATCAGAAAATTGTAGGTGAAAAAAATCATAATAACGAATCAATTTTTTGATATAGTTTTGATTTCTTCTAATTAAAATAAGCAAACAAATTCGTTCTCTGCTGAAAAAAATATAAGCAAATAAATTATCTTTTTTAAATTTTTTATCATTTTGAAAGGACATGAGTTTCGTCATTGTTCGTTCGAAAAAAAATGACATTTACAAAATATTTAGACCCCAAAACTTTATCTGATTTAATTGTTCATTTACGGAAGAAAAAAATCATTACTCAATTATTATAGTACTTCAATTAAAAAGACAATTCAATATAATTCAAATACTCAAGCATATTTTGGTGCCAATGCAATTCCTAAAACACATCTGCCTATCTTATGTTAAAGCTGAAAGAACAAGTTGGCATTGTTCCGACTGAGTTATTTGCTCTTAATGAAAATTGGCAACAGGGAAAACCGTTTACCACTTTCCGACAACATGAAAACACTTTAAAATTATACCCTTAGGCCAAACAAGTGTGCTCTTCTTTGAAATGCATTATTTTGATACGCCACTTCGGCAATTCAGCTCGGCCGAATAATTTAAGCCACAAGCAGTTAGGGGCGACTTCATTAACCCAATCACCGTTGTGGTCATCAGCTCGCCGGAACGGTAAGCCCATTAATTGGGTAGAAATCTACTAATTGGATGTCTGGGGAGTTTCCACAGTTTCTGGCTCCGCCGGCAGCGAAGACATTACGCTCCATATGCAAAGTATTAGCCGAGCCACGTGTTCTTCGGTCTCCTGGCAATCGAGAAGCTCCTGAAAGCCTATTTGGGAGCAAGTGGGTTAGGCAGAAGTGGTTGGTGGTTTCTGGGGTCGCTGGATCCAGACAGCTCCGCCCGAGGCCGCAGCTCGGGATGATTACATGTGTTCGAGATGAAAACATGAACCGAAGGACGGGGTTTCTCTGATTTAAATGTACTTACGGCAGTCGGGGGTGAATAGTTTCGAGGCAGGGTTCTATCCGCTTCTTCAGACGCCAGTTCGACCGACTGACAAACTGACTGACAGCCCGGCAATCTCGTGGTCGGAGGCTCATTAATCAAATTTGCACACGCTCAAAACAGCGGAAACAACGAGGAAAATGTGGGCCATTTCCCAGCCCGCCGAGCCACCAGAGCTGCCGTTAAAGAATCGCTATCCAGGGCGGAAAGCACTTTTAGTATGCCCCTTCAAGAGCGGCAATTAATGGATAATAACTTGTTAGCCAGGGGAAACGCACCGGAAACTGATAAGTGCTGTGTACTGTCTTAATCGGGTCCTAATCGACTGTAAATAACCATGGGAAGCTCCCTAGCATCCCAGCATTTCGGCATTCAGGCCCTGTCCTGAATCAGAACCTCTGAAAGCCATCTCAGCTGCCTTCCAAGCGGCGGCATCCTTACGACCATGTCGCGCCACAGGAAACTGTGCAAACTTCTGATGGAACATCATTCAACGCTCCGCTCTTCGAGCTGATTATGTGCTGCTCAAACTTGTCTTACACCACGAGCACATGCTCAGGCACCGGCGAACAAAAGTTGCCTGAAAGTTGATTAATAGGTGGCCTGGAAGACTACCGATGAGCGACGAGCGATGAGCGTTGGCGTCGTTATTATCAGCTCCTCAAGCTCTTCAAGCTGGCCAAATTGAATCGGAGCGGTTGTTGTTCGGCGACACTGACACCCTTGGCGGCGGCGCCTTTCCAGACTTTGGTTTTCCCTCCCTCCAGGATCCAGGACATACTTCGATTTAATTAATTTCGTTTTAGCGACCGACGGGCTTCACATCCATTAATTTGGCCTGCTTCCCCCGGATTGAATTCCACTCGGGAGCTGTCACTAAGGCCCAAAGTGATTTATGCCCGGCCACCTTCGGTGCACTTTCCTGCCAGCCAGGTGCATTCAAATCAATTCCAGCCGGTCAACTTGCGATGACTGTGCTCGGGTATAAGGGCTCCAAGGAGAGCCAGCAGCCCGCTGTGACTGATTGCCGGAGCAGCATGTGGCCACCAAATGGGAACATTACAGTGCACTAAGCGATTCCCGCTCTTTGAAAGCAATTTCGTGTACGCACACCGATGTGCCGCACAGCAGGCCGAATGGAAGCCTCGAACGTGGCTGGTTGAACAAAGCCAAAGCCAGGCCAACGAACAATGGCTGACCGACGAGAAATGGTGTCAGAAGTATAAATTGTGTCATTCTGTAAAGTGTTTTTAATAAAGTTTACTCATTTCGGGCAAACAATGCGTTACAAATTTGCTCCACAATGGCTGTCAATATTGAATGGGGCGAAGGGGGAGGGGCTAAAAGAGGGGGGAGTGGTTAGTGGTGAGGGGGGAAGGGGGAAAGGGGAAGGAAGGAAGGGAAGGCGAAACTGACAAGGCTAAACGGTTGGCATTGCCCGCAGCTCTTCGGCTTTAACGTGCTATTGACATTCCGGATCGCATTCAATGCGTATCGCGTATACGCCACGTGGCTATATACACAACATAACAGATGCTGACACGGGGATTAGTTGGCATCAAGTGAGCACTGAACGGCCGCGGGACAGGAGACACAACCTCTGACCCCTGGCCCCTGACCCCCGATTCAGGAGCCACCAATCGACAGTCACAGTCTTCGTCCTCGCGCACTATGTGGGGAAATCGCTTAAAAAGCACTCTATTAAAAGTGATTCGTGTTAAAGAAAACAGAAAGTTTTCAGCTAGCGACGTCGTTTTAAAACAAAGTGTCGCCGAAGTCGTTTTGGGAACTGGTTGATTCTGTCAAAAAAGACACGCTTTGCGTCAGTTGCTCTGATGAAGTTTTATTTCTAAGTTCAATGTTGATTATTTTTAGTTTTTTTTCAACGAAAAGTTTTAATAAAGTTTTTCTGGTATTATGCTGAAATCGATTTTAAAGATTTTTAAGAAAAAAAAGTTTGATTTATTTATGTTATGTTATAAAAACCATTTTTGCGGAAGTTAACTTGATCTTAATTGCAAACTTCATAAAAATTGAATTCAAATAATTAATAAATAATAATACCTTATTGATGGTTCCTTTTTTATTTACCAAATAATTAACAACTAAATTCTCAAAATGTAATACTAAATCATTTTAATTTATTTCAAAAGAAGACCCCAAATAACAAGGGCTTTAAACATCTTTAAAAAGCTTTTCAACAATGTGTAAATATATAGGAAACTTTTTGCCACGCAGTGTAATCAAATCAATAATTAAATGAGATACCATTCATGTGCCTTATCATGAGGTAATAATGCGATTTTCCTTGAAATTAAATTTTGTATTTTGTCTTTGTGACGAGTCAATTAAAAACCGCGACCGCTCGACAGCAAACTGTCATCCACGACAGGCATTCTCAAATAGACGGACGCTTAATGCCGTTGTAGGGCCATTTAAATTTAATTACACGTAATTTTTCAGCACCATCCTCCTCATCTTTCCTCCGCTGGTCCTTTGCAGGTGGACATTTTGGACACGTCGGGCGACATGCAGTTCCCCGCCATGCGCCGCCTGTCCATCGCCACGGCCCACGCCTTCATGCTCGTCTACGCGGCGACATCAGCGCCCAGCTTCCAGTGCGTGAAGCAGTGCTTCGAGGAGATCCGGGAGCAGCGCGGCGACTTCCAGGTGAGTGCCGTGTGCAGTGTGCAGTGTCGGGTGCAGCGCCCTCCTGCATTTTGCATGTAATCAGCGGACTGGAGCACCCGCCAGAGAGCAGCTCTTGCACTCCGCCACAGTCCGAAAAGCAATTATGAGGGCTTCCTTTGAGGGAACAGCAGTCAAGCCAAGCGGCAGAGGCTTAGGCTTTCGCCAGGCTCTTGTTCTAACGCGGCACAGTGGGTCCGATTCAAGATTATTCAAGGAAAAAATTTCAAAGGACCAAAAGCAATTAAACATGTTAAGTTGAAAAGAATTCTGATGAGGAACTGTTAAACAATAACTGGAATTATTTACATTCAATTCGGAACCATTAAATTGTTGTGTTGGCCATAGTAATACTTAAAAAATTGTATTTTGCCACGGTTAGAAAGCTATGTACATTAATACATTAAATCAAAAATTTTACGAATTTTGTTCTGCGTTCGCCTTTGGTCAAAATAAATTTTAATAATATTTCAACATAAAGTTAAGTCAAAAGAATCAGTTTTAAATGTTTTTAAAGTAGTTTCAGTGATCTTAGCAGTTTAACTTCAAAGTTTGAGGTTCTGGGACGCTGACGCATGTCTAATTTTAAATGGATATTTTATTCACAACTCAGAATAAATTAAAAGATTTTTGGCCAGTTAATGTGCTATGCCCGAACTCAAAATCAAATCAAATGATTCACGTAGAAGTAGATGTATTTTAAAGGAAAAGCTTAGGAGGACAATAATCAAAGTCCGTGTCACTTGACCGCAAAGTGTAGGCAAGTCGCTTGGCTTGACTTAACCGCAATTACCACTGTGAGATGGTTGCTGCCATTGTTCGCGAGGCGCTTTCACGGTTTCCGCCGAGCGCCGCCATTGTGAAGGCGAGTATCAATTATGGCACAATACGCTTTGTCTGCAGACCGATTTCGGGCGGAGAAGGATTCTTGTTCCGCTCCGAGAACCACTGCTAATTCCAATCTCCCCTTTGCACAGGACATCCCCATCGTGATCGCCGGGAACAAGGCCGACCTGGCCACCACCCACAGGGAGGTCAAGCTGGAGGAGGTCACCGATTGGGTCTTCTGCGAGCTGCCGCGCTTACGGTAAGTCCCACATTAGTTGCACGAAATACGGGCGGCATTCAACGCGCAACAGCTGCTGCATGCGACAGCAATTAGGGGCAACTGCCAAAAGTTGTGCAACAAAGCCCGCCGCACAAAGCCGCAAACCACCAAACAGCTGCAATTTTCATAAGTAACGCAACAAAGTGGAATTAAAAGCGAGCCATAAATTCTGTCCTCCCCACGAAAGCTGTAATGGTAGAACCCAAAAGGCAAACGGCAAAAGGCAGAAGGCAAGCGGCGCAATTAAATTGCTAGAAATGAAATTAAGCGAGGGAGAGCGTGACAGCGGGACATGAAAGGGAGTTGGGAGTTGGTCTGGTCGGTCCGCCGAAATCAGTTGCATTGTCCGCGGAACGGGCTGTCGCGCTCATTAAAAGCCATTTGTTGGCCTGGAAAAGTGTCGCAGCCAGAGTCACACAGCGAAAAATAAAACGGGAAACAGTTCTGCAGGCGGAGTGAACTTTTGTTGGCTTAGCCTTTGTTAGCTTACCAAAGCTGTACCAACTAGGATAACAATTTCTGTAGGTAAAGCAGCGTGTTATATAGAATGTAATGGGAGCTCTTTAAAAGGTTACTTTTATCATTTTTAATTTTAGCCCTTAATAGTAAATTTAATGAGACGGGTTTTGCAGAAATAACTGATGGGAACAATTTGTTACATTCAGTATGTTCTTCATGACTTTGAAACATTATATACTTTATACTATATTTGTTTTATACATTGTTTTTCTGAGTGCATAGAGCGTTAAATCGCATCAGGAGAAACGTTGCCCATTCCCACATAGAACGATTCGTGGTAAGAGCTCCTAATTGGCCATCTTGCATCGCTAACGGTGTCGCTGTCATGTAGAACACCAATTGGCGACCAGACCAACTGTCGTATGAGTGATGCGTTGGACTCTCCCGGCGAGTGCTCCCTGAATACTAAACAGTCGGCACATCCTGTATGCACATATGCATGAGGTCCTTCAACTTGGCTGCTCGAAAACTGTTCGAAGGATGCTCCTGGGAAATGTGAAGGGGCCATGGGATGTTTGATTAGTTGTGGCATCAGTAGCTGATTTATGTTTCCCTGTGTGGCACAATAGGTAAATACTGGCGAGCTTGTCTGATTCCCTCCTCAGTTGAACACGGAACTAAAGAATAAACTCAGTGAGAAACCACAGGCAACAGATTTCAATTTGTTTTTCCTTTCGGTGCATAAATGCATACAAAATGTATGATCTCGACATATTTTCAACAAGCAGGTGATGGGAGAATGGCACCAGACGATGGTAAATGTTAAATGAAATCTATTTGTGAATATGCACGACGAAGGCATTGAAAAATATGCAACCATTTGTCAAACATTGAATTTAACACAAAACTTTAAAAGCACTTCAATGGAAGAAGTATAAGCATTGAATCTATTTTACTAACGAAGCAAATAGATTTTATGAAAACTAATTTGGGCTCCAGTGCGTCGAAAAAAGAAGCTGACTGACTTGGTTTCAGATAGCTTTTACATGTTGGATTCATTCTGCTAATAATTTATTGATCCAAGCCCAATAAACCAAAGCTTGTTAAGTTGTGACACAGGTTTCTCAATTTAGGTAAAACCAGAAAGAGAATAGCCAGCAAAAAATCAATTCCACTCCGGAAGTTCAACTGTGTCAAAGGTTACAGTCGGAATCGACGAGTGGCTAACTAGAGTAACTGGCCTGATTAAGCCCGCTGTTTGGCCCATTAACAATTTTAATGCACTTCTCGCGTGACAAGTAGCCCTGAAACGGTGGCCGCATCCTTCGATCCACCGGAAAGCAGAAAACACAGAACAGAAAACAGAGAACAGAGCACAGTGCTGGCCAGCACTTCTTTTCATTCGGCTTTCGCGGGTAATTGCTTCCTTAATAAACTGCGGGGCAGGACTCGTAAAATCACTTACAATCACATACGTGCCTGCCGCCGGGAAGCGCGGTAGTCCTGGCATAATTCCATATCCCGCGGAAGGCGGAGGAGGGGGAGGGGGAGAGGCGCAGGAGGGCGTGGCACGCTCGTGTTACTGTTTAAGCAAGCGTGCGTAAACTTATTTAAAAGCGACCGACACACTGGGAGCAGAAAGCCGCACAGGAGGCGCACTCAACCGCAAAATGGAGATGACAGAGGCCGCAGGACGAGGGATGTGGCGCGAAGGACACGGGCGGCAGGACGAAGGACGCGGGATGCAGGACAGTTGGCGTGAGCATTACGTACAAATCTCTGTTGGATTAAACATTCACGCAGATTGATGGTGCGGTTTTGTCCCCGAGAGCGGGAAACACCTTGAACCTTTCGCCACAATCTCGCACCTCGCACCTTCACTGTTCTCTGTTCGCTCCTGCCACACTAGACTCCACGTGAAAAGTTTGTGGAGCAATGCAATTTGTTGCCAGCTGCCGCTGTCTGTCTGCCTGTCTGTCTGTCTGCGGTTAAACGCTTTAAGAGCCCGCCACTCAAGTGCATTTATCTGCCCGGACGAGTGTGTATGCTCGTATAGTTGTTTGTATATCGTTGGCTGTGTGTCTGCATTTGGCGCCCCGTGTGGATGCAGTAGGGATGTGGAAGTGCTCCTCTTTGCCGAAGGTGCAACAATGAATTTATTCCACATTCAATTGCAAACTCATGCGCGTTTTCAGGGGCGCTTTGGCTGCGTTAATGCGAAACACAAACTCCCACTCGATATCAATTTTACTTTGATTTACTGTTATTGCAGCTTACAGCATTAACAATTCAGCCGCCTATTTATTTATTTTGCCAAGTCAGCCGTTGCGATTTTAATTAAATGAAGCTCGTGGAATATTAAAATGCTCCCAGTCACTCGGGCAACCGTTTCATTTCCATTAAACTCGGAAAGCCTCGAATTAATGAAATTTTATGTTGCCGAGTAAGTTTGATAAACGATTTATTAGAGGCAAACGCAAGTTAGTTGTAATTTACTTGCAACCAAATTTATATTTTTGTATCTAATAACATTGTTAGGTAGAAATATGAAAGGTTTAAGCTCAGCTAACGTAAAACTTATTTTATTGTAATTTATGAATGTGCACATGATGGAAGCCCATTTCTAAATTGAATTGTTTTAAGCCGAGCCCACTGATGATGTGCAAATTGAGGCTTAAAACTAGTGTAGCAAGCAGCCCTATGTACATATACCTATTATTAAGCACTGCTTGTAAGCAGTTAACGTTATTGTGTATCCCTTAAGTTAAGTCATCCTTTATGTCCCCCTTACTCCTTTAAGAAACACCATGTAAACCCATCTCTAAGTATGTACGTCTCTCTCTTGCACATACGAGATTGTGAAATAGGCTAAACATTAACAGACATGATGAAATAAAGATCACTTTTGCTGCGACCACTGAAGAGAAAAGACCCTGATTGTATCACTACACTAGGTTGCTCTGGCTTTGAAAGTTTGTGCGGAACACATCACCTGCCTCGTTCTCCACTTAACCACTGACGCAGTTTTGGGGCGCCACCGCGAACCCGCTTCCTGCAGCGAATCTACAGCAGCGAGCCGAACATGACATGCTTAATTTGGCCATTAGCAACATTTGTTTCGGCCGCCGACCTCCGCTCCCTCGGATGATTGTCGATGGCCAAGTTGGCCGCGACGAACACAAAAACTCTGTTATGCATCGAACATACCATACATTATTGTAGGGCTGCCCTTGTTTGGCCTTTTTGCCTTTCGGTTTCGGTTTGGGTATCAGTTCGGATTCGGGTTCAGGCTTGGGTTTGGGTTTGGGTGTCGGTTTCGGTTTTTTGTGGCAGCCTGGCTTTGTTTCGGGCCACCGAAATTGCTGATGTATGCATTACGTATCCCCGCATGAAAAGTGTGCAACCCATTTCACAACCGCTTTCCAATTGCAGGGCCAAAGTGCTGGAGTGCTCGGCGAAGGAGGACAGCAATGTGACCGACCTGTTCAAGTCCCTGCTCTCCCTCTCCCGCTTCCTGCCCGCCAGCAGTAGTGGGAGCGGGGGCGGCGGGGGCGGGGGCGAGGCGGCGCCCAGCGGCTTCAAGCGCCGCTCGTCGGCCTACGTCAGCGCTTCGTCCAGTCGCAGTAAGTAGAAAATAGCAAGTGGGAAGTAGAAAGGGGGAAATAGAAAGTAGAAAGTGGAAAGCAGAAGCTGCCACGCGTGGCAAATAAAATAATGGCAGGATGTGCCTGTTGAAAAAGCCAACATCCTGCCATTCAATTTCGTCAACAATTTGCCAACTTTTGCATTCGCCAACTTTAAGTTGGGGAAACTATGCGGAACATATTAATTGGGGATACTACGTTCTCAGTTGGGAAAAACTCTGTTACTTTGTTTGTAAAGCACTTAACTATTTTATTAAATTTTCAAAATATATTTACATTACAAGCAGCAGAACCATATTTTCATCATATCATGTTTTTAAATTTGTTGGCATGGCCAATAAAACTTACAATTAATATTTGTTTACGTATGTTAAGAGGCATTTTTAAAACATTATCATATTCTAAGCTTGTTGCGTTGGCTTACACGACCTATAACCTTTTCAATATAGTTTTAATAAGTGTATGATTTATTTTAAACATTTATTGTTTTGGAAAAGTGTTTTATTTTAATCATACGTGTGATTAAAATAGCGTTGCAGAAGCGCTGGATAAATTGCCAACTCAATGAAGAACATTTGATACCAGGAATCGATTAAATACCCTTAAATTATTTCAGTCCCGTACAATATACGTTACAATTCAGCTCTCATCCTTTTACAATTGCTTCGAATTGCAAATACCCTTGTAAATCCTTTATGCCAGGGGATCCCGTATCACATAGAGCTGGGGCTCCTGGCAAACCTTGCTTCGAGTCCTGAAGCCACAGGATTTGTTGCCATGGCCAAATGGAAAATGAAAATGAAAACGAAAACGAAAACCAAATTGCTGCCGAGCCGAGTCGAACTCTTTGTTGATTGCTTTTCCCCCGCTGTCGAGCGCTGCAGTTTCAAATAACAATTAAACATTCATATTCGCTTGCTGTGATTGAAAGTCAGACGTGTGACCATTGGGGCATCGTTTCCAGTTTAATTACAGCTTTACTCAGGGCTTAAAGTGCCGCCGCAAGCAGCTTAATTAGCGCGAAATTAAACTTCGGCGGGCATAAATGCCATAATTAAGCCCGTTGCAGGTTGCAAGTTGCAAGTTGCAGATCCCAGGTCGCAGTTCGCAGCTCGCAGGTGTAATTAAGCCACGGCTTTAAGTGATGACTAGGGCCCATCTGGCCGGGCTTAACCAATAATTGATGCACATTTATTAATTTATTCATTTTCAACGAGGGGACACGCACATGAGGCCAATTAATGGAATTTCTTTAAACGCGCCAGAGCCTAGGATAACTTTTGGCAATTTGGCTAATTGAATGCAATTAGCATTCCTGCTTCAATTGCCGCCCTGTCCGCCGACTTTGGCCTAATTAATTGTGGGAATTCGGCAGTCGAGTGAGACGGTTGACGGGCAGCGGACCCTTTCTTCCGACCCAATTGACAAAGACAAACTCTTTTTCATTATTCATCAGACGACAAAACGGAGCCCAATAAAAGAAGCACCGAAAAGCAAAGCAGAGCTACAAAAAAGCGGCGAGACGAGGCTAAAAGCACAATAAGGCCAAGTTCGCTTTGAGACACCCTTTTGCCTTTTGCTTTCTGGCTTTTGCCAGCTTCAGTTTGATCAAAATAATTCCAGGCTGCACGTGTATTAATTAAACAGCTTGACCTCCTAATTACCCTGTAATGGAATGCTTTATTATCTCATTAAAAACTTAGTTCGCAGCATATGAAAATAGAACTGGAGCTCCCATGGAAGGCGGAGAGCACAAAGGCATCGCCGACAGCCGAGGGCTCAAGAAGTTTTAAATTTTGCGCAGCTCGTCAAAGTATAAATATCTAGTTAATTAATGTTGCCCCGAAATGCTGCCCGTGCCCCTCGACCGCCACTCCTCCCATTAAGTGGCTGAAAAATAATTAATTTAATTTCCGAGGGGAAAAGTTGTCGAATCATTACATTATCCCCGCCGCGCAGAAGCCAATAATTTAATTGTTCGCCCGAAGAATTTGATGAAATTTTAGTGGCCGCCGCCAGAGTCATTCAAATGAAGTGCAAAGTTGGCCAGCGGCGAAAGCTGCCTGCGAATATGTGAAAGTCTGCGACTCGCAGCAAATTTAAATTCAAACGGCCTTAATGCTTAATGTGCCCCTCCCCCCACACGAAAAACATATTAATGCTGGCCGAAAAATGTTGTCAAATACTTGGTCGAGGGCCACGACACACAGCTGTCGATGACAGCAGACGAGACTTCTGTGGCATGGCGGCATTGTGCCGTGGTTCTATGGTGGCAGGATGGCCTGAATGCCGAAGGTCGAGTGGCAGACTGACTCCTGGCGTTCAAAGGACCCAGCAGAGGTGAACGCGGCAACAACAACGGCGACGACGACGCCTCGAATGCGCCACCAAAATGGGCCTAAGCACTTAATCACTTGCGGCTCAAGGGGCCGCAGCCCAGTAATTGCCTTAAAAAGTACAGCGCGACGCATGCAAAGCGAGCGAATCACAGAAATTTCATTTGCGACCTGCCATTTTGTGGCTGAGATTGCGCCACACGTGTTTACGGCCCTCGAGTGCTGGTGTTTTCGAGCTGGCGCGTTGGCCGGGCCCGTAAGTTGAGACAAAGCCAGAGCCAAAGCCAAAGCCAAAGCTGCAGGCCACATACATGTGCTGCGGCCGGGAAAGCCGCTTTTCCTCTTCCCGCTGGTGCTCCCCACATTGTTTCTAGGATGTCGGTGTGGCTGGCGTGGCTCGTTTTATTCACAGCACCACAAAGCGGGGACTAACTCAATTGTGGGTGTTTCCCAACACGCGTTACATGCTAAATATGTCTAAGCCACGTTCATGCGTCTATTCAGTGGGTGAAAGGGCAGATAAGGCATCCCAACGTACGTTTTATCATCTCAAATGGTTTTGTGAAGTATTCCTCTTTTAAAAGGGCCAATGACTCTCGCCCACAGCCTTGTCAACTCACTAGGTTTTTCCTGGGAGAGCAACATATTGGGCAATTGTTGAACAACTTACCATAAAAGATCTGCTTCACAACAATGAACTTTTCAATAACGAACAGTATCTTAAAACCCTGAGCACTGAGTTAAGAGTTCTCTGGAAATTCCCAGCATTAAGCTGCAATCCTGAGTTCTCCATTTCGATTAGAATCAATGAATGTGCTGCCCCTTCTTGGCCCATAAAATTTAATTGCCACACAGTGCCAATTGAATAAGTGTTACGTTTCAGTGTATCTGCAAATTATTTAAATTTTAATTGCTTTCCGACCGCAATTGCAGCCACAGTTTACCGACTTCCTCGTGTTACACGCCAAATAGTGGTCGCAAAACGTATAAATTTATAAAATATTCCCCACCCTCCAGAGCCCGCAACCGCTCAACTTGGGGTATCAGATGTAAACCAATTGATGTGGCAAAACCTTGTTATGCTCGCACTCGCAACATAATAAACATCCATCGGAGCACTCGAATGTTTTGTGCGCGCTTCCTTCTTCGCGTCAACGCTTTTTTCACGGCCGTGTCTCTCACGGAGCGATGGAACCCAACGCAGAGTGGGGAAAATAAAACAAATTTAATTTAAATTTCAGTTACACGAGGCACGCATCAATTCCCGCCGCATATGCACAATTTGTATCCCCGAAACGGAGCCCCAGCCACCGCACATCCTGTTTGGGTGCTCGGGTGTTTGGATGTGCGTTTTTTTTGTTGGGATGGCAGTATTTTTTGGGTGCCAGTGCCCGTGGTCCTTGTCAGGGATTCTGCCACAGATCAGAGGGAAGCCCGGCACGGGAGTGTCTCCCGAGCGAAGCCCTACTCGTATTCGCATTCGCATTCTCATTCGAGGCATTTTCGCGCGCTTTCTGTCAGCGGCAGCAATTGTGTTTCCCCCGCCGTCCGACATCTTTTTCTGACAACAATGGCGTTGGCGGCCATTTTGTTTGCACTCGACACCCCGACACCCCCGACCCCCGAAAAGCATGCAACACTCTGCCGCAGAGTGGCGGCGTCCTCAATAATTCCGTTTGCACGGATCATTTGGCCAGCGTCGGGCATAAATTCCCACTAAGCTGCAAAGTTTAATAACTAAATTGACTCGGCTTTGCCCGCCTTTGTATTTGTCTTGTGGTGCCGATGCCCCGCACCCCGCACCCCGTTTTCCGGCGTGTTATCAATTGTTTTCCCGCTGTAAGCCCTTTCTTTGTTCGGGGCTTTATTGCCCGCTCCGGCGGAACAAAAAGGTTTGTTTGCTGGGAAGGCAAACATCTTGCCGCTCGCACCTTTTGTGCCAGTTTAACACTCTCCCTGAAAGTCAGACCTGCCTGATTGAGGATTACCGGGGAGTTAATGACTCCATTGACACTGATTGGCCCTCAGTTGACGTTGCCTAATTGAAGCCGGCTTTCGAGCTACTTTAATCTCGTTTGGATGCATTACGTCACTCAAGAAGAGTTTCAAACTAGATTTAAACTTTTAAATACTATCCCGAGTATTATGTGATCAAGCTGCCACCTCAGCAATCATTGCTTTGAATAGGTTTCAAGTTTTGCCTGACAGCTGTACCTTTTCTCGTTTCAATTAAACATCCGCCAGAGGCATCGATGGCCTTACTTTGTCCACCAGGAATAACCAATAGCTTTGACGTCGCTGGTTGTTCCTTTGAGCCGTTTGCTGTGTTGGAGTGAGCCGGATGCAGAGGCGGTCTCATGGCAGTTGAGACCTCTTATCTTGAGATGAACTTTGCCTGTGCAGCCGGCTGTAAAAAAACCCATTCCGAGCGGTATCTTTGCGGCGTGCAACATCCTCCCCTCCCCTCCCCGATTCTTTATGTGCGTCGCTCATAAGTTAATTACGTGAGAAGGGAGATGTTGGGATGCCGGAATGCCCGGATGTTCGAGTTGCTCCGGCAACGGGCAACGGGTGAGGACAGCTCCGGTCGGGAAATTGGATTATCCCTGCACTCACAGCTGCCTTGAAATCGCGCAGTCCCTTTGTCGCTAAATGCACTCGTGGATACTAATTAGCCACGCGTTACCTCCGTTTGTTGCAGATAAAAATCGCATGAACAGCCCCGCCTTGGGAGCCGCCGGCGGCAGCGGCGACAAGAAGGGATCCAACCTGGTGGACGCCGTCGACGTGGCCAGTACCAGTGCGGAGGCCAAGCTGAAGCCGCGTTCCAGGTGAGTGTAGAATGGAGAGCGGAGCCACTTCCTGTTTCCGCTTCCTGTTTCGAACACACGCTAACCCGCTCCCTGATTCCTTTGCAGATCACTCATACGCCGTGCGTCACGCAAGACCAAACAGCAAATCAACAACGCATCCGACGACTGCAATGTGCAGTAAACCATTATTTTGGCCGCCAGCGCCGCGCTTAATTATGTTTTTATTTCGCTCCCTCACAATGTGTATTAATAATGGGCGCTAGTTAATTAGCGTGCATAAACAAGTGGCGCGGTGTTTATGTTTTGGTGCAATGAGCTGATTATTCTGATAATATAAAACTCACAAAAAACCAACTTGCTCAAGGGTGAACAAGGCCAGTGGAGCGGAGTTGTTAGCGATAAATTTGCAGCTCGATAATAACTTCCATAATTTATTACCAATGATGTGTGTATCGAACCGGAACTAATTACACGCGAATAAGTAACTAGAGCTTCGTAACGATGCCGTGATGACACTGTTTTTTTTTTTAAATATTTATTGTAATTTTAATTATGTATGTTATTATTTTCCTAAGTATAAAGTCTTGATCTTTAGTATAACATTATTTTTAAGCAATACTCAAAATACTGGTTTATATCAACAGATATGATTTTCTGCCAAGCATAACGATTTTATGTCACTTAAATCTAGTGTCATCGGGCATTAAAGTCAGGATTTTATTTCGACATTGAGCCGACTTGCGAAGGAATTATGCACACAAATCAATTTGAGCTTCGGTCATTACTGTTTAAAGGGACCAGGTTTATTTAAATTTAAAATGAACTTTTATACGACAAAGTACTTCGATTTAAATTTTCATAAATTTTAGCATAGTCTTTGGGTACGCAATCTGAATTTATTTGGGAGAGAAGCAGAGGACGAGATTTTGAATAATCGCAATGCCGCTCAAAGAGTTCCTTTTGATGCGAAATTAATGGCTCAGTTGTTGTTGTTCGTTGACGTTGTTGTTTTTGTTTTTGTTGGCGTTGGCACGGGGGTTATTTGATAAAGGACTATGTTTAATTCGTTTTACGCTGATGGATTGTCATAATATTCTGATAGGTTGCATAGCTTTAAGGTAAATTCCAGAACGCTCATTTATAAAGCTCTATCTGCACCCTTAGCCGACACTATAGTTAATATTAAAACGTTCCGTATCTACATATATATCAATAGAGGTCTTGATGGATGGGTGAAGATTGTTTGTATTTGCTTTGAGCCGAGTACGCTCGAGTTGAATCCGGAGAGAAAAGGCAAAATGGGAGCACACCGGAACTCAAGGCAAATTTTGTAAGAATAAAGCAATTTCGCGGCGTTCTCCTTTGGCTCCAGCCACGTAGAATAACAAAAAACTTTAGCAGAGAGCACAAAACAATTTACTATGCAAAAGACGTAATTGTAAAATAAATTTGATGAGTGCGGGAACAGAGAATCTCGAAATGCTTATCAAGGATAATACAGGGTGAACTTCTTATGCTAAGTTGCCAAATCAAATTCCCCATAATGCACATACTATATCCTGCGAGGAGATTTGCGCTAGAGAATAATCGATAAATCCGTTTTTAATACGCATCTTTTGCATGCGAGTACTTTCTCCTTCGGCACAAGTTACACTTGCAACGTGGGCGCGTGTTTGCCAGTGTGTGATAAGAGTCCTTTGTGTTTGTTTACCGGAATGTGCTTAGCAAATAAGATTTATTTAAAAGACTACTTTTAGGCGTACTGAGTATGGCAGGATATCCAGGGGATCTGTAAATGGATGAAATACGGCATATGCAAAGTGAATTGTGATTAAACAGAATACATCTAAACAAACGTATGTACAACTAAAGAGGCATGCGAACAATGCACACAGTAATTTCACTAATGAAATCAAAACCACTGTAAAGGAGTTGAGAAGGACACTTTGAGTCCACATAATAGTAGTGTTGTTGCTTTCGTCCAGGGAGGATTGACAGGCCAGAGCTAGTTATATACACAGAATTATGCATAAATGTATTCGAGCGTATACAGTTTGGATGTTTGTTTTTAATATAAGTAATACGTTTATACATTGTTACTAGGTGTAGTTAATTGACAACAAATCTGAGAGCCCAGCCCGTATTCGATCTCTACTCAACAACTACTATATCATCAACCAATGGGAACACAAGGAGGCGGAGTGCGTGCTATATCGCAGTATATCAACTGACTTATCCAACTTACCCAGTTTTTAACGGCATACTCGTATTTGTGTACGTAATTCGATTGTTCTACCAAATGAAAGAAACCGAGGCGAAAGCTGTTATTTACCTACTCTACAGAATGGAAAGATTGTAACCTTAAATAGTCGAAAGAAACCAAATTAACTCTCTAAGTGTGCGTATGTGTGTCATGTACTTGTAAACTAATTGAATTTCAATTCAAATTGAATTATTGACAATTGTATTAGCCAGTTAAAATAAACCACAATGCGTCCCAGGCGTCGGTGTTCAGTGTTTGATTCCGTTGCATAATGAATGTCATTCATTCCGCATTCTGTTTCCATCGGGCCCCGAATCCCCTTGATCACTGGTAGTCACCAGTGGCAACCACTCACCAGTCACCAGTCGGCAGTCACCAGTCGGCAGTCGGCAGTCACCAGTCGGGGAAACGGTACAGTGAGCAATTTGCACTAAATCAATTAAAACTAGTGCATAGCGCCTATGTAGACGCACCCCAGTAACACCTCAGTAAACCGACCGCAGCATCCATTAAAAGTAACTAATGGAATTTCATTCAAATTATAAATTGCGTTTTCCCATAAACTCTGCAATTGCGTAAATGCCGATTGCCGGCTTAAAACAGCCGGGGTGCCAATATCACAGCCGGTGATTCCAAATTTCAAATTTGCATATGCGTCTGGCGTGGAGGGTGTGGCAGGCGAGCAAGGCGTGGGCAAGGGGTTTCCCGGAGGCAGGCCGATTTGGCATCCGCTGCAAACAATAAACAGCTTTGCTGGCGCGGTCTAATGAGATTGCATTATGCGCAATTCTAAATGCAATTTACTGTGCCATTGGTTTTGCATTAAATTGGCCTAAGTGATGCATTTTGTTTTGGGAATGTGCATAAGCTCCTAATTTCATTCTGCCACGTTTTAAGACTTAAGTACTTAAAAGATTTAATTTTAATTTCGAAATTCAACGGAAACACTATGAACTGGCGCCCTCTGGTGATTCACCTGGCTAGGCGTCATGGCGCCACCTGGCGTAAGCATCCTAAGTGCACAGCTGATTTCTAAGCTTGTGGCTTTTTTAGGTTGTTTTTCACATGCTGAGACGATATTTTGGAATGGCTATGAAATATATTGGTAAGGTGACTTAAAATAATACAAATAGAGCGCTTAAGACAAGCTATGTTCCACAGACATTGGGGCCAACCTGACGGATCCCATGTTCCAGGGCTGCTACGGCGGATCCCAGAAGCATGTCGCCGACTTGGACATTGTTTTGAAACGAGCGTGGCAACAGGGTCTGCAGAAGATCATCGTCACCGCCGGCTGCCTCAAGGATGTGGACGAGGCACTGGAACTAGCCTCCAAGGATGGTAAGGAGCTAAAGTACCTTTAGTCGATTGTCGATTGCCCAAGTCATATGTGGGGACACCGAAACTTAGAAAAGGCTTTAATAAATTTATTTTTATTTATTATTTATTTAAGATTATAAATTAAGAATGTGTTATGTTTGAGTAACAATTTGGGTTTGTAGTTTTTTAGTAATCTGCTTAGAGTTGAGACACATTCCAAATATAAAAGTGTGATGATCGCTTGGGGTATAGTGAAAAAGAAGTACCGATCACTATGTATATAAGTTAAACTGGAATTGGTAAAATTGCATTAACAACACCAATACACATGTTTTTCTCTTTCCCAGAGCGCATCTACACTACTGTGGGTACTCATCCGACTCGGTGCGAAGAATTCCTACCGGATCCAGATGGCTACTATGATCAACTTAAATCTAAGATCAAGGCGAACCGAGACAAGGTGCTAGCTGTCGGAGAATGTGGTCTGGACTACGACCGCCTTCAGTTCTGTGGACAGGATACACAGAGACTGTTCTTTGAGAAGCAGCTAGATTTGGCGGCAGAATTCCAACTGCCCCTCTTCCTGCACATGCGAAGTGCCGCTGATGATTTCATGGCCATCCTGGAAAGAAATCAAGACAAGATTAGAGAGTGCGGCGGTGGTGTGGTTCATAGCTTTACGGGAACTCTTGAGGAGGCCCACCGCATCCTTGCCTTCGGTGGCCTCTACATAGGCATCAACGGCTGCTCCTTAAAGACTGAGGAAAACGCAGAAGTAGTGCGGCAGCTGCCCAACGACAGGATAATGTTGGAAACCGATTGTCCATGGTGCGGTATTCGTCCATCGCACGCTGGGCATAAGCATGTGACCACCAAGTTTGCCACCGTCAAGAAGAAGGAAAAATGGACAGCCGAAACACTGATAGACGGACGATGTGAGCCTTGCCAAATAAGGTAAGTTTTCCAAAAATATTTTTGCAGCTATAAAGTAACATCTTTTGTGTGGATTTCAGTCAAGTTTTGGAGGCCATTGCCGGGATCAAACAGGAGCCAAAGGAAGATCTAGCAGAGCGTTATTACCAAAACACCCTGGACTTGTTCTTTAGAAAAGCAGAGAAAAAGAATAAAACTCATTGCATATACATTCAATGCGTTTAGATTTATTGTATTATTGTTTCTCGCGTCTAAATGCAAATGAATTCAAAAATACGCATTACAACTTTGATTTGTTAGGTAGGTTACATCGGTTTTTTGTTCGTTCCGCAGTTAACACACAGAACCACTTTAAGATAAACATTTAGACTTGTAAATAATTGTTGCATATTGCTAAGTTAATTAACTCTTGTGATTACGCACTGCTATGTGGTGTATATAGAATTTATCGCCCAAAAAAATATATGTATTTGTATCGACTCAAACTTGTATATGCTCTCTGGAGTCTAATCTAAACTCTAATAGAGTTTCATAGCTTAGTTATTGCCACATTTTGGTTACGAGTTTGCCAATCGGTTATTGGTGAAGCCTTAAAAAGCCTATATACAAAATATTTTGTAAATATTTAAAAAGACTATTACCTAGAAGTAGTACGCTTTTGGGTATTAAAAGGTTGCATTTTTAGGGTAGGAAATGTATGTGATAGGCATGCTTTTATCAGATATTTTAGTAGGTAAAGTAAAACCCCTATGATCTTCACTAAAAACTTTCATTGTGTTCTATTTTTGGTGAACTGATATGAATGCAAATGATATCGGTTTAGTCTACTTGGTGATGCATTTAAAATGGCAATAAAAGATTCAGTCCAATGGAAATGTTATGATACGTTCATGTTAATATAGCACTCTATGTTCATGACAAAGATTCGGGAAAGATCGATCCTGAAGATCGTCCTTCCGCTTGGCAGTAAATAGTTTTTCTTTTCAGAAGCAGATCCAATTGTTTTACAGTTTAGTTAGACTGGAGTTTGAAGTACAATTACGTGTTAACTCTATTTAGTCATGACATTTTTGACATTGGTTAGATTTAATATGCGCTCAGTTCGGATTTCCCAATTGACTTGCAGTTGCTTATCCAAATTAGAAGAAAATAAAAGGTAAAAAGTACTCAAAACATACGATAAATTCCATTTATTAGGCGTCAGATTAGTTTCGAGTGTTTGTTAAAATAATAATATTCATATGTATGTACACAAACAAGGGAAATTATAAATACGGTAAATACGTAAACATAAAGTATCTTTAAACAGATGTCCACTAAAGATAAATTCGAGTTTGGGATATAAATAAACAGACGAGTTGGTTAGCAAACTGTCTTCCATTTTGTGTTCACTTAACGAAGAAAGCCTTTCGGACACATTTTTGGGATATAGGAAATCAAGATAGGTATTGGTAGTGAGTAGTTCGTGTTAAGCTTACTGCGCTCGTTAAATATCGTATATTGAATATGTTGTATCGTAATCATATGTGTGTAAGTTGTATGTTGTATTTCGAGTTTTCAGTTTCAAACCAAACTCTGCAGAGCCCTGCGATCGAGCAGGCGTCGGGCCTCGTGATTATTCGTAGGTTAATTATATGGTAATAAATATGTTACTTCGCTTAGCCTATAGGTTAATTCAATGTATCTTGGGAGCGCTGCGATCGTTGATTTTCTGGTTACGCTTTAAGGTGGCTCCACGCTTTATCTGATCCATCAGCGACTCGTGGCAGATGCGGGGGTCCGGCTGAAAGAGTTCACCAAAGTGGATTAACGAGGATCTTTAGCCTGTGGATCCTAGAACTATCGTTAGATCGGAGAGCTGTTAGTTGGTTGAACGAGGCACGAGTGGATTAGCTGCCAGCTGGCTTAGTAGGCGTCAAACGAACGAGAACGAGAACGAAGAACTAGGAACGAACTAAATACCTTAGCACCTAGCACTGATCTTCGCAGGTGGCACTGGTGGCTGTGCTGGTGGTGGTGTTGGGATAGGTGGGTGGTCTACGGTATTGCGCACTGGGTCGCGATAGATTTTGCGGATTTTGATACATCTAATTGCCGCGGATGGAGTGAGCATATAGAGTGCTGCTGACCGAGTGAGTTGCTGCGGAGTGCACTACTTACCAGGGCCTTGCTGTTGATGAGGTTTCGCACGGCGAAAGCTCGTCCGGACATCCCCTGCTTGGCCAGCTTCGCGTTGAGATTCTCGAGGAATTCGGCCTTGGTCTTGGCCCGAATGCTTCCAGTCTTTTCGATATTTGTGCTTGTGGCATAGTCTATTCATATGCGTTGTCGTTGTCGTTACCGATTCGGGTGCATAAAAGAAAACGGTAAGCAAACATGATCGATCAATGGATGTGGATGTGGCTGGCGCAGTAGAAGTGGTTAGAGGATGTCAATTCAAATGGAAATGCAAAATAAAAGTCAGAAGTGGCTGGCAAAGTTCGACTCGGAGATGATCTATGATTGGAAAAATGAACGTTGACTGCGGATCGAGCGGCATTCCCCAATTGATCCCAGAGTTTCCGGACGCACTTGACACAATCGCAATCAGGTTAATAGGCAGCTGTGCCAAACGAAAACTCAAGCCAAACAAAACCAACAAAACAACATAAGCAGCATGCGCCAAAAGAAAACTTACAAACCAAAATTTAATCGCTTTTTACTCTGAGAGAAATCTCAAATTGCAAATCGCAAATCGCAAATCAGCAAACATAACAAAAGAATAATAAAACAGCGCTCATTCTTGCAATAAAACCATACGAAACTAAACCAAATCAAATCGATTCGAATCCGCTCGCCCCTTACTTGAGTGGTGTGCATGGGCATTGTGGTTATAGTAGGCAGAGCCGCCGTTGCTGTTGCTGTTGCCCCCAGCAACATCGCGATAGTAGTGCTGCTGCTGCTGCTGCTGCTGCTGTTGATGGTGCAGCTGTTGATGGTGATGGCCGCTCCGCGAGGTGGTGGCATAGATGCTGGCCAGGGAGCCTGATCCCGATCCAGATCCAGTCACCGGAGAACCGCAAGTGGGCGAGGCCGAGGGCGAGTGGAACTTGACGGCCGTTGTCTGTACGAATGGGTTCGTCGAGACGAATATCTTTTGCTGCACACTCGAGTGGCGCGATGGAATGGGCGGCTGGCGAGGCTGATGCTGCTGCTGTTGCTGGTGGTGTTGTTGTTGCTGCTGCAGTTGGAGTTGCTGCTGCTGCTCGGCCAAGTGTTGCTGCTGTGCAGCCCGCAGCTTTGCTGGGGCAGCGGCAACTGCGGACGCTGACCCACGTGGCCATTGCCATGGCCAATGCCCATGCCTGCCGGCTGTTGGTATTGCTGCTGCTGCTGCTGCTGCTGCTGATGGAGTTGCTGCTGCTGCAACCGCTGCTGATGCTGCTGCTGCTGCATCAGGTTCTTGGGCAGCGTGGCCGTGGCTGCTGCATAGGCGCTCGGATGAGAAACGCTCTGGCCAGTGGGCGGGCGGGCCATCTTCTTGGGCATCGTGGCCGAGGCGCCGGCGGAGTAAATGGGCGGCGGCGGAGGATCCTCCAGGGGAGGCGGACAGGTGTAGTGCTGCTGCGGCGGCTGGTGGTGCGGGTGTCGCATGTTCGCCTGTTGCGCAGCTGCTGGATTTTTGTTAAACGAACTTGAGTAGGTGGCAAACTCTTTGCTGCTGGCCGCTGCCGTCGGCGGCTGAGGCGGCTGGTAGTGCGAGCTGGCCGAGCCGCAGGCCGCTGCCGTTGGCGGCGGGGAGGCGGATGAGGAGTTCGAGAATGAGCTGACTTTCGAGAGCAACGATGAGGTGGATGAGGACAGGGGGAAGTGGGGCAATGCATTGAAAGAGGTGGTCGGTGTTAGAATGGACGGCTTAGTGCTGTTGCTGGCCACGTGGGCCGATGGCGATGGCGATGCTGATGCTGATGCTGATGATGAGGTGCCGAAACTAGCGTAAATTCTATGCTGTGGCTGTGGCTGGTGCTGCAGCTGCATGTGCTCTGCATGTGATTTACCGTCATAGTGTTGCTGCTGTGGCGGCTGCGACATGGACAGGCCGCTCCGCATGTAGATGGACTCTCCTCCAGGCGGCTGCTGATGCTGATGCTGCTGCTGCTGCTGTGGCTGGTTGCCGTAGATCCCCTCAACCTGCTGGTGTTGCTGATGTGGCTGGTGTGGCTGGTGGGGCTGCTGCTTGCCGCTGAGTCGTGCATTGAGCTGTGCAATTAGGTTCGGGTTCGCCTTCGGCTGTGTCGGTGGCAGTGGGTGGGCGTGTCCGTTGGGACTGGGGCTGCTGGTGCGGAAGCTGGACATGCTGCTGACCAGCTTGGGCTGGGCGTAAATGCCGCCGCCTCCCGCTCCCGCTCCGCCCGCAGCTGGTGACGAGGTGCGGAACGTCTGCGGTGAATGTGTGTCAGTGATTGTGGCATGAGAGAAACGAGACAGAGATAAACAAAACGGGCACAAATTAAAAGTCAGCCGAGGCAGGGCAAAAGCTAAGCTCTAGTCTAGTCTATCGCTAGGTGGCAGTACATCTAAGCTGGATGGCTGGATGGAGGGGCCAGGCAGTCGTGTTAGGCTGTGAGATATGGGGCTCTCCCGAGGGCGTCTTGGTTAGTCTTGGTTAGTGGACCCGCGGGTTCCCAGCTGGTCACTTACGGCATCGGCGGGCGGCGGCGCTTGGTAAACAGGCGGTTGGTGCTGGTGATGCACTGGCTGTTGCTGCTGCTGCTGCTGCTGCAGATAGAGACTATGCTGCGGTTGCTGCTGTTGCTGTTGCTGGTGGTTGTGTGTGGCAAAGCGAACCTGCCCCGCCGGCTCCTGGCCGTTGGTCAGGCCGTGGGCATAGGCGTGCAGATCCATGTAGGAGTCGTAGTAGGCGGTCGCTGTGGGGTCGTCGTTCAGGGGGGAGTGGTGCGCCGACTATGTGGGAGTTGGTGGTTTGGGTTTGGGTTTGGGTTCGGGTTCGGTTCGGTATGTGTGTGTTGCAGTGTGTTGTTGTGACAGAGGCAAAGCAAACGTAAGGCGAAACAAAAAGAAATCATAAGTTGTTGAAGAGAAGTTCTAAGAGTGGTGGTGGTGATTCCATGCCTAGACGCGTGCACACACCTGCAGAAAAGGTTGCTGCTGCTGCTGCTGCTGCAGATGCAGTTGCTGCTGCTGCTGCTGCTGCTGTAGTTGCTGCTGCTGCATGCGTCTGAGTGCCACAGGTGAGGCTGGCTGGTGGCGCATGGCGGCCAGGGCTCTTACCGTCTCCGACACTTTAAGCGCCGACGCGGGCATCTGCGGCATGGCGTCCAGCATGAAAGCCGGCGGCGGTGGCAAGTGCTCGCTGGAGCTGCTGAGGTGCAGATTCTGCTGCTGCAGTGGTTGTGATTGTGGCTGCTGCAGCTGCGTTGCGTAATTAAATCATAAGTTAAAGAACAAAAGCGTAGAGGAAACCAAAGACTGTGTGACCCAGTGTCGAGCGGCTTAGCGACTAACTTAGACTAGCTGGCTGGCTAACTTAGTTGGGAGCTTGATGGGTAACTAAGAGTTCTACTCACCCCGACCGAGGCGTTGGGACCGGGGGTCACCGACGAGCTGCGTCTCACTGGCGGCGGTGGCTTGGCCTGGTTGATGGACGACCGCCGAGCGATGCGCGTGGAGCCACCGCCTGCTGCTCCTCCTGCGAAGGGTCAAGAATGGAGGTCAGTAAGGAGGCAGTAATGCGGGGTTAGTCATTAGGTTGCTGCTGTTATTCACAGTTATGTACAGTAATCATGTAATTTATACACTTGGCACACAAAACACAGGACACCATCTAATACCAGTAGTTAGAGAGAGAGATTCAGAGTTAGGAGCTGCTGGCTGAGATCGAGGAAGGTTATGAAAGACGCTCGGGAGGCGGGTCGATCTGAAATCATATGACATCCCCCAAGCGAGTGGAGAAGCGTTTCAAGCAGTGATCACCCTTGTGACTGAACAGTTCATGACGGAATGGAGTTTCCCCTGATTGATTGATTCAAGCAATGAAACCCCAGTATGCAAATTTCGAACACAGAACTATTCGATTCTCATTATTGCCTAAGCATTTGGCAGTTAGTGGCAGTAGCGTGCAGTTTTTAATATATTATTTTGTTTTTTTTGATTGTGACATGTGGTTTATGATCGTATGAGATTAGAACTTGGTGCGAAAATCCAACTCCAGTTGCAGGAAAGTTATCACATCGAACTTAAAGCGGTAGGTGAAGCAAATAATATACAGTCAAGAAGAAACCAAAAACGAGAAGAGAAGTAAGCTTCGGCAAGCCGATGTCTTTATGAACTTGCATTTAAAATTTAAGAAGCGTTAGGATGCATCATTCTGGTTTTAAAGAAAATCATTTACGATTTTAATACAATTAATTTAAAAACGAATCATAAAATTTCTTAAATGGTATCAAGGGGAATAGTATCATACACAAGTGAGAAAACTTGTCGCTCAAGCATTATAATGTTTAAATAGGGAATGTAAGCGGATAAACTTTTGTGACTAGTGCACACACCTAACGTGTTGTTCATGAACGGCAATCAATTTAAATACTAGATGGAATTGAAGGATCAATAAACATTCTGACAATATCCATTTACTGCATTATCATTTTATATGCAAGAACATAGCACTTATAAATCAAAGCAAACTAGAAAGCGATTAAAAATCAAGTCTCAAAGCGAAACCATCTCGAGAAGTGGAAGAACCAAAAACCAAAGGAACCCAAACAAATCAAAAATCAAATCGAAATCAAACGAACCCGACAACGAGGCCGGCCGGGGCGTAATGCACGGCTTAGGATTGACTTTGGCAGTGGCAGTGGCATTGGGAACACCATTGGCATGATGATGGGGGTTGGCTGGTGGCGGGGCATTGGAGCACACGAATGGATGGTCACTGGCGGGCAACTTCGATGGCGGAGCATTCGATGATAGTGATGAGGTGGCTGAGGGCTGAGGTGATGGTAATGACGATGACGATGGCAATGGCAAAGGCAGATGGCCGCGAGGTGATGACGGTGACAATGCCATTGGTGCGGGCGTCTTGCATTGCTTGTGATTGGATGTGGCAGTCTGATTTTGGTTTGGCATTCTATGATTTTGGTTCGGATGCGGGTCGTTGGATGCGGATGCGGATGCAGATGCAGATGCAGTAACATTGGCGGCTGGTTTATTAGTGACATTACAGTTTCTGGTTGGGGGCGACTGTGGTGAGTGTTGCTGTTCTTGTGGTGCTTGCTGCTGCTGTTGCTGCGGCTGTTGCTGCTGCTGCTGCAGTTGCTGCTTAACCTTCAGCTTTTGCCTGCGTATTTTCGCATCTAGATCGGCCTTAAAGTCGGACTTTCGGGGCACCAGCGGCCTGTCGCCCGCACTGGGAGCGGGCCCATTGAAAATACTCAAGCTGGTGGGCTTGGGCGGCAGCTGTCGCCGCAGTGGCCCAGCATGCTCTACTGGCTCCTGCTGCTGCTGCTGGGGCTGTGGGGAGTGCTGGTCCAGGGGAGTGCGGCTCTGTGTCGCCTGCTCAGTGGATGCTTTACCTCTTTGCGGGCTGCCCCGTCCGAGGAGCTGCAGCTGCTGCTCGCTGGTGGCGCGAAACGAGGAGAGTCGCTGCTTGGCGGGCGCCACAGTTGCTGTCGGCGGCGCTCGCCCGGTGGCCGAGTCCGGCGAGGAGTCCGGCGAGGCGGCCAGGTTGGCCGGCAGCTGCTGCAGCTCGCGCATCTCGTGCAGCTGCAGCGCGTTCGGCTGCGGATCCTTGGTGCGCAGCACCACGATCTCCGAGTTCTGCTTCACGAACTCGATGTCCGGCGTGTTGGGGATCTGGTGGTCGTAGATCACCACCACGGCACTCCCGCTGTCGCTGCACGTGTCCACGTAGGCGTGCCGTGGCTGGCCCAGGCAGACGCTGTCCGAGGCCAGGGACACGGCGTCCTCCCGGTTCGCGCTGGCCACGAAGTGCGCGAAGGTGGGGTTCTCGTAGCCGCCGGCCGTCAGGCCACCGGTCAGCGAACTCGTCTCGCTCACATAGCAGCGACTCAGCTCCGAATCGCTGGCGCCCAGGAGGTCCCGATCCCGATCCCGGTCCCGGTCCCGCCGCCTGGCGGCGTCCTCATCCTCGCCGGCGAGCTCGTCGGACGTGGTGTCCGATATGTCCGTTCCGCAGCCGCTCGAGTTCGTCTGGTTGCTGATGGCGCACGGCTCGATGTTGCTGATGTTGTTGCTGCTGCTGCAGGCGGGCGGGTTGTTGTTGTCGCTGCTGCTGTTCGTCGCCGTCGTCGTTGTAGTGTTGGCAATGTTGTTGTTGTTGCTGCCGATGCTAGCGACCATCGGCTTGCCCTTGCCCTCATCGATCTCGCGTTGGAACGAGTCTAGTTCGCCAATTAAATTATTTAGTGCTTGTATTGAATCTTCGAAAGACTTGTCTGTTAGATCAGTTTCATGGTTCATAGTTGATTGATTGGTATTGATTGTTGGAGATGGTGTTGGTTGTTGTTGGTATTGTTGTTGTTGTGCATTTGGTCGTTTGGTGAATAATAGTTTACAGATGGCAGAGATTTTGGGTAGGGTGAACATGAACGTCAAAACCAAACGGAAAATAATGGTTTCAGTTGTTTTTTTTTTGTGCAGTTGTCGTTGCGTTCGCACACGACAAACCAAAAATTGTAGAGAAAAAAGGGAGGGAAAACAAAAAAAAAAAAGAAGATTTGGGGTTAAAAAATATTCACGATGTTTGTCAATTGTAAATAAAAATGGGCACAGGGCGCAATAAAGTGGAGGCGGGGAGTCTCATGTTCAAAGTGCTCTTTGGTGCTGGGTGGGCAGGATGTGCCAGGATCATAGACACACTCAACTTGTGCAAGGATCCTGCTGCTTATCACCGATGCTACTTACCCATTTCCTGCTGCTCCGCCTCGGAGCGACGTCCTCCGCCCCCAGAAGCTGGAGAAGATGCTGCTGCTGCTGCCGCAGGGATCTGGATGGGAGCAGGAGGCGAAACGGCTGCCGCCGCCGCTGCCTTCTCGAACATGGAGGCCTTCTGCAGCACGGAGGCGCGCGAGCGCTCGTCCGTCTCCTCGGCGCCGCCGTTGGCCTGCCCCTGATGATCCTGCCCAGCGCCCTGCACCGCCTGCTCGGTGATCTTGAGCACCTCGCTGGAGGGCGGCGTCGGCGAGCTGACCTGGTAGACGAACCCGAGGGCGGAGCCTTGGCCCAGACTGCTCCCGCTGGGAGTACCTGCGGCGGTGGACGTGGGGGAGTTGGTTAGCAGGGGCGAGTAATGGTTCTGTGGCGTCGAGCTGCCACTGGACGGCGAGGTGGTGGTGGTGTTCGTATTCGTGTTTGTGCTGGTGCTGTGGTTCGGCTGGCCCACCAGCGAGCCGCAAGCGACGGTGGAGTCGATCGACGGATGCGAGTGCAGTGACGAGGCCGTCGAGGATATGGAATGGGAGCGTGTGGCAGTGGCTGAGTGGTGATTCGGCTGCTGCTGCTGCTGGTGGTGCTGCTGCTGATGCGGATGCTGGTGGTGGAGCAGCTGGTGCGAGCCGGAGGAGTCGTTCGAGTGCTGCGACCCCGTCGAGTCGATCGAACTCTGCTGCTGCAGAGGCGGTGGCGAGGCCTTCTGTTGCTGCAGCTGCTGCTGCTGCTGCTGGTTGGTCAGCTTCATGGCCGCCATGGTGGCCAGCTCGGACATGTTCACGTAGGTGGGCGGCGTCTGGGCCGTTTGCTGCTGCTGCTGCTGCTGTGCGTGATGCGCTGCGGACAGCTCTGTGGTGTGCGGATGATGTTAGCGGGACATGCGGGTGGACACGGAATTAGTAAGACTGATGGGATTAGCCTAGGCAAGCGTGCACACAAATACACGGAGACAAGCTGCACGTGGACGTGGACGAGGAGGGGCTTGGGCGTTGGGGGACTCACCTTTCGTGATATGAGCCGGAATCGGAGAGGGGCACTGGCGCTGCAGCAGGTTGCTCCCGCTTCCCTGGCGGTGGTTGCTCTGCGCCGAGAGCGGTCGCTCCAGCGACGAGCAGCGCTGAAAGGGGATGGATGGCACTGGTTAGTCACAATCGCAGTAATGTGCATTTTTGGATTCAATGATGAGGCGACTTAGGGGACCTAGTTGTCGGTGGTCTAGCGGGGCGCATGCAGATGAGCGCGCTTTTGGATCTACGAACGGAGGGGGAGCTCTTCCGCCGGGATACTCACCACGTGGGCTGGCTTCTATGCCGAGTGCCATGGCCAACAGGACGAGAGAGACAACTTAGAAGCATGTAAAAAGACAATAGTCGGTCCTCCGTCTATTTCAACAACTAACAGTAGTACTTTTTACCCCAAAGTTATTTATTATTTATTTAACCTTCTTCCTAACGAGTTTTATGTTATTTAGAACTGATTTAGAACTGCTTTTCAAAACTATTATGCTTAATTTTGTCTTTAAATGTTTGCTTTCACGAATAAATAGTCAGAGAGCTATCTCATAATCGAACTGCTATTAATGAAACTAATTTTTAAACTCAAACAAAACAATTAAGTAGACAATTACATTATGCAAATTAAACAAATTAAAATACAATTTTTTTGGTGAGCTCGTGTAAAAGCTTATTTAAATGTAACTATATTCAAATACAAAAACCCCTCCACTCTTATTTAAAAATAGTTTCGTATTAATGGTATGGACTAGCCACATAATACTTACAACTGGCAAAGGTGGCCGACTGAGAGAGGCTGCCGGAGACTTCTGGGTGGCCGGAGTGGCCTGTCCGGAGGACGGCTGGCCATTGGAGGCGGCGGATCCGTTGTTCAGGCAGCTGTTCGACTCGTGAATGGTCTCCGGGTTCTGGAACGTGTAGACGGTCAGCGGCGGACGCTGGTGACCCTTCTCGTAGGCCGTCGAAATGGTGTGCGGACGGTCAGCGGTCGGAGGCAGGGTGTCGACCACGTCCTGGGAATGTGGGGGCCAGGTGGAGACATTCGCCGTCTGATTCGTTGCATTCGAAGTCTGGACAGGAATAAGGGAGTGATGTTAGTAAGGTACACCCACAGCAGATTGAAACACAAAAGGATTCATAATTTGGTAAATCGAACGGAAGAAAAACAAATGAAAACCTGTGTTGTTAGAGCTGGCGATGAGCAAAAGCCACTATCACTGGATTCACCAGGTTTCAAGCGAATTGCGGGCGTTACAAACTAAAGAAACGAAAACAAAACACAAAATATCGTTGATGAAAACCGATAAATGAGCGGACGCCACAATGCCGAAAGCGGATTGATGGGGGTCGAGGTCGAGGAGGGATCCCCGGATCCCCGGATGCGACGCACCTGCGACAGGGAGCGCGGATAGTGGTGGTGGCCAGGGGAGTTGCTGGAGCCGCTGCTGTTCATGCTGCTGATGGAGCAGACGGAGCTCTTCCGCGATCCCAGCGAGTTGGAGCAGCCGCCGCCCTGCGACCCGGATCCTCCGCCCGGCGACTCGGGGTACAAATTAATGCTGGCCTTGGCGTCGTGGATGAGCTCCTCGGAGGCCTGCGGCAGGACACTGGGCTCCTTGGTCACCAGGGCAATCGATTGCATGGCCTCCTGTTAAAAGTATTTTACGTATTTTAGATTATATTCAACTAGCATTCTGAATAGTAAAGCGCACCTGAAGATGACCCAACTCGGACATGACCTCGCACTCCTCGTGCACCACCGGCTGCAGCATGTGGACGAAGCTGCAGTAGCGCAGCCGCTCCTCCACCATGGCCGCCCGCAGGGACTTCTTCTCCACCTCCTCCAGCTCGGCCCGGCGCAGGGTGACGTCCTGCATGTGCGAGTCCATCAGGGACTGAAGGCCGTCGGTCTGCCCCTTGCGCGCCTTCTTCTGCAGGCGCAGCGTGTCGCTGGAGCGCTTCTTCAGCTCGCTGCGGCAGCGCTTGTACTCTTTGGCATGGTCCTTGTCGATGGTGGCCACCGTGCGCTTCCAGTCCTCGATCCTGTCCTGCAGCGGCTGCACCAGGCAATCCATGATGGCGCTGGTGAAGGTCTTCAGCCGCGTCTCCACCGCCTTGTGGCGCAGGCAGACGCGGGTCAGCGCGGTCCCGATCTCCTTGGATGCGCCTGCAATCGGAGAATGCATTAGAATCAGTTAAATAAAACCCTTCTTAAGTGGAAGTCAGTCATCTACAATTCCAAGTAGCTGGACCTGCATTAAAAAGCATTTGTTAGTTATTCACTTTTCTGGAGGTTGTCATTTGCCTAAACCGTGTCCTAATAAATCTTATTTAGGGTTGGTTTCTTCCACAATCTAAGAATTCTAATACTGTGAGAATGTATTTTAGTTAATCGTTGTGAAAGGAAAGGAAAGGAATTTCATCTTTATTTAATTCTTCTGAATTCAGCTTTATAAACACTAAATCTATGAAGAATATTTCTTAGCAAAGCCCTATACCAAAAGAATCTAGGACCTCAGAATCGATCTTCATGGCCCAAGACTAGTAAAACTTAAAATTTAACTTTAGTTTTTAGTTTGGGTAATTTATTTGAAATAACTTCAGAGTTTGCCCTACTTCGAAAATGCGCATTGTTTTTCATGAGTTTTTTTTTAAGCCAACCAATTAGGTCAATAAACATATAATGTATGTCCATAGCGAACAGAAATTCGTCCTTCCTGATGGTCAACGATTGTCAGAAACTAGAATGCATCATAGGTAACCAAGCCGAAGTGAAGGCATGAAACAGTCCGGCGGATCTGCTCAAGCCAGTAAGCATGCAATATTAAACAGTTGCCAAATTAAATTACTGGAGGGGAACCTCCGCGGGGAGTGGAAATGGGAAAGGGGGAAAAGCTGGCAGCGGAAATGTTTAGAGCATGCTGCAACAATCGCACGCCATGGGCTGTCGTTTCGATTTGGAGGCGCAGCAGACATTGCATGCGACACGATTCGGCGGGACTCCAGTTTTCCTCCTTCGGCAGCGAGTCCCGTGTGTGCCCATTATGCCATGCCAGAGATGGATCCGAACTGGGATCCGGGAAAACTGGTCAGGCTAACTGCCACTGCCACTGCCACTGCCACAGCTCCTGCTCCTGCTACTGCTTCTGCAACTGCAAATGTTTCTGCATATCAACGCAAAGTGACAGCCGGCCCGATTATCTCGGACTGCCTTCGGTTGCGAGTCCTCTTTTAATATGCAATTATCTGCCAAATAGGCAGCAGCTTATTGATTCCGCTTTGACTGGCCGCTCCGAGAGCCACTTGCTCCAAATCCCACCTAATTGAATGGCAATTAGCAGGGTGCCCAGCCCCAAATCCACCACCTTATGCAGATCCCTCACGATGGCCATGTGGCAAGTGCGAATCGAGAATCGAGAATCGAGAATCTCGAGTTGCGTTCCACCCTCGTTCGGGGTGACACGAAAAGGAGAATTGACACTTGTGCCGATGCTTGACCGAACTAAGCCAAGTAACCACTAAGACTAATGAAACCATTTAGCAAGTGCAAAGCACCAGGGCACCCGGTTCGCAGTGCCAAAAGGGGTGGCTAACTAATGGCAGGAATTACGAGGATATGCACTTAGCACCAGACTTTTGTAAAGGCCACAAAGGGGCGCGAAAAGTGGCAAGTGCTCAGAACGGGACTCGATCAATATATGCTAATGCAGAGCTCCGCTGAAGATGATTGAAAAAGTTGAGTCTTGCAATCCTCCAGTTGCCGTAAATAGGAATTCGGAAGCTTATCTGAATAAAGCCGGTTTGAACACAGTAGTGTATTCATCAGTGGCTCAATTGATTTGCTTTCCAGCATGGATAAACTGCATATTTTAGTGTTATTGGCGAGAGAGGAAGGAATTTAGCAGTGAATAACTAAGCTCTGCTTACTTTTGAATGCCTGAATTAATGCATAACAAATTATAAAGGAAATTTTCAACATTTATCTTCGAAATGAAGTTACACATGCTACTTTCCACCATGAAACCCTATGAAAAAGGAATTGCATGCCCGAGTGTTATTTCCAAATTGCATGCTTGTGAATATTATTACTTCATTACTTAACGAGTTTTTAATGCGGATTTATGATAAACCGTAGTGAGCATTCAAACATTTTTATCTTTCAGTCATAAACCACTGTTCCCCTTTGATTGCCAATAAGTGAATGTAAGAGATTCCCTACTTTTCGAACACTCTGCGCCAGTTAACATACCCCTCTCACTGACCACATGATAACAGCGGACCCGGAGTTAACATGCCATAGTTAACATACCCCTGTCACTGGCCACAGAATAACAGCAGACCCGGCAACCCTAGTGCTGATGGACAACAACAAACCGCCAACATGCCAGAACTCTGACGAACACACATATATTTTCTCTAATCACTTTGTAATAAAGATTCACTTTTATTTTGTACTCCGGACAACACGGTAGTGTTCTTTACAAGCTTCTTCTCCAGCGTTTTCCAGGGCGAAATTCGCTTATGGGAGACACCCTTCTACTCGGTCACAAGACTGTGACTCGCCTCGTTCGAATTGAGTGAGCCTAGATTTTTCACTCTGAGAAATGCAACTGCAACTTAAGCATGACAAATGCAAAATGTCAACAGTCACATCTTGTGCTAAATACGACATTGTCCGATCAAAGCTCTCCCTCTTCGCAGCGAGTATCTGACGAATATCTGGCAATTTTCGCATTTCCCGTCCCGAGCGAGGTGGACTGTGAGAATCGGACGTCGGACATTGCATAATGGGGCACTCGATGAGTGCGACGCAAGGCAGCCAATAAATAAGTATAAATAGCGAAGTGCGTGAGCCCAGACAGAACAGCTAGGGGAAAATCAACAACGTAAACACCGAAAGCGTGAATGTGTAAAAAATCAGATCGATGACCGCCGCCAACTGTGAGCAGCCGCATGAATAATGAGCCGGGGAAATACACAGATACAGTTCGATGGAGAGCCTCGGGGGAGGGGAACCCCGGGTATTTATGGGGGGCAGGCAGCCAACCCAGACAATCCACGAATTGAACTTACCTCTTGAATTGGTCGCCGCATCGGCTATCTTTTGGAAGGCATCCAAATAGGCGGCGATGGCCTGGATGGCGGCCCTGTGGACGGAGAAGAGCAGAGAACAACATCATTATTATTACTATTCGCCCAGGCAGACGGCTACATTTAATAAACATCTTTTTCAATTGCCCGTGGGCGACATTTCAATTAGACGACACAACTGCAGAGAGACACTGCAAAAGACAAACAATCTTCAAGTACCAGAGATTGAAATACCCTTTAACTTTGGTCAGTTTTAACCAAGTTACTTGTACAAGTTACTGTGCAGAGAGTTCGGCTTTATAACTACATATTATACTATTTTTAAACAAAAAACATTTAAAGTAAAATAAACAAGGATCTAAGCAATCTAGTTAATTTATTTTCTTATGTTCATAAATCAAATATATTTTACGTTAATATTTCTGTTTAAACGAAAACCCTATTTAACTAGGAAAATATATAACTTTGTGTTCAAAAACTTTTTGAAAAATCATGAAATGCCTGAAAGTGAATGTGTTTCTTTATGTAATCCATAAATTATTGTAAATACATAAATTACTGTATACTATAACTTTTTATAATCTTTTGAAGATTCTTTAAGTTTTTGGTGATAATATACATATCGACACCCTGGAGAGAGTATGCTTTAGGGGAGGTGGAATCCCGTCTGCGGGGTCTTGATCCGCTCAAGTGGCTAAGAGCGTCCTCACCTTTGCGCGGACCTGGTCAAGATGTGGGTCAAGCGCAGTGGGCAAGCACTCGGAGCGAGTTTTGGCAACTCGGCGAGGTGATTTCAACTCGGACAACAGGATTCGGGGCGATGATTAATGCTGCCGCTATATGGCGGCCATATAGAGTGCTTCTGCCCAGACATGGCTGCGGGGACGGACCCTCGTCGAAAGCAAATTTGGGCCAAGACTGAGCATGAAACACAACAGCAGGGAAAATAAAATAAAAAGAAACGCGAAGACGGTGTCGGTGGTCTCCGCCAAACAACAACAACAACAACAACAAATTTAGCAACTAAAGCAACAGCAGAAAGAGCACAAAAATAATCATAGACACAATGTGCCCCTGTGTGTGTGACAGTGTGTATGTATGTATGTGAGTGTGTGTGTGGGAAGTGGCAAGAATATAAAAGCAAACTGAGGTAAACGAAAAGTTTGTTTATCCATTCGCATGTTCTCGTTCTAAAGTTTTGCAACTGCAGTTGTTTTTTTCGCCGCTGTGGAAATCTCTTTGAAGACCGACAATTAAGTTCGTTGAATGGAGAAACCTATTTGGACCCAAAATAAGCTTACCTCAAGCATGTGTGCAGTTTTCCGGCCTTAGCTACAAAATCCTCCCACAGTGGTGAAGTATTCTGCAATGGAAGAAAATAATAAATTAGTTGAGTAACTTGGCCAACAAACAAACAATCACAACTGAATTACAACTGTTTCTTACGTAAGCAAAATCCCAAGAAAAATCAATAGGGACTGCTCGAAGTCAAGGAATGCAATAAACCAACTTCTCGTCTGTGCGAAAATTACATTCGGATGACAAATAAAAGGACAAATGGGGCGTACGTGTAACATAAAATGGGTTTTTCCTTTTCCCCCATTCGGGAAACCCATTGAAAATTGATGGTTGAAGAAAATCCCCTGTGGCGTTCTTAAAGTTTCAGTTCTCAGCACAAAAGTTCAAAGTTCATATCGTCATAGTCATTTTCACCGGATTTAATTTAATTGAATTTGACTTTTGTTGTCTGCGCATTTCATTAAACCCAAAAGAAAAGCAAAAAAATATTGTGCAAATTCAATGAGTAAATAACCCAACATGACATGAATGGATTCGCAAATTGAGAGACACATTTAATGTAATCAAAGTGGGGCATATCCATCCATATGGCAGCTCCACAGTATCCCTCTTGGGGGTTTGTTTTAATTAAACTATTTACCTTATCCAGAGGCAATTTTGATTAATGCAATTTGCATCTCAATATGGCAAAATTCGATAAAGAGAAACGAAGCTAATCATGGGAGAAGGGAATTGGCCAGGCTTTTATTAAAGACTTTCGTCCACAACCAGTTTGCCACCAACCACCAACCACCTCTTCCCAAATTCAGGAAAATGTGGTAAGCCCATTTGGGAGCGGATATTTAGTCAGAGTGTGAGCCAATAAACAAGCTGAAGAGCTCCCACACGGGTTTTCTCACATAATCCTGTCCAGCCGACTTATTTGGACAAGACCACAAAGAGTCGCCGCTGGCTTCTGGCCAAGTATCAGTGTCACGTTGGCCGAACGGCAGCTGATTGCTAAGAGCCGGCCGTAAAAGGCAGCTAAAGATTTTATGTGTGCCTCTTTTTTTAAAGAGAAGTAATGGCAAATAAAGAAGCGCAAATGGTAAATAAAAGCGAAAACAAGTTTTTCGCTTTGTTTTGGTTCGGTATTGCCCATAATAATGCTTCAATTACACAACAAATGACATTGAAAGCAAAAGCCAGAGGCGGAGAGAGCGATGGAAACTCCAGTGGGAGGCGTCTCAGTGAAGACACAAAGTGTTCCGATTTACTGACCTGACCAGCTCACCCGAATCCGAAACTTAATTCGTACCCAGCCATCCAGAGAGATTCATGCAGGCGAAATGCCAACTGAAATCAATTCCATTTCACTTTCGGATTTTTTGCAAACGGGCTAAATTAATGCCAAACACAACATAAAAAAAGCCATCGAAATGTCAATTGCAAAATCGATTTGAATGCAAAATGCCCAAAAGAAGCCGGGTCTGGGCCACGGCAATTGCATAAACAGCCCGGCTCAGAGGTAAACGAACGAAACAATGGCAGCGATAAAGCCGGAAAACACACAAACAAAGCCAACACAGCGAAGCACAAACAAAAAGTTGAACGGAAATCGATTTTTGGCCATTTTCTGCAAGCTTTTAATTTTTTTTTATTTTTGCCCATGCAACAGCGAGGCACAACAAAAACCCTTAACTGTTGTCAGCCCCCACATAAATGGTATTCAATGTGGCATTTGAGCGGCGATAATGGCTCTGGCCCCTTTCACAGAATATGCAAAATAAAATAAATATTATGCAGAAAAATTCGAAAACTGGATTTCCAAAACTATTGTTTTGCAAACAGAACCAGTGAATACTTCAGTTTCTAACAGAAAAAGGTCAACCATGCAACATTTCAGAAACACTTAGTTCTTAAGAAAGTGAGTTCATTTCAATTTGACTTTCAAAACAAACTTTTCACACAAATTCCTATTTATTTAATAACTAGCTTTCCATTAAATGTGTATCGTGATATCATCATTATAAAACTTAAAAACATTCCACGAATTTTTTGCGTGGGACATGGAATTTGAAAGAAAATCAATAAATTTAAGACAACATGCAAACAGATTGAACTCGAATGGGCCGAAATATATCAAAATTTTCCCAAGTTCCTAAGCTCATTCTTCCGATGATTGAACCACGTTTGACTTCGAAACGCAGCCCACATGCAAATTATTTTTGTTTATTCGTTGCAAAACCATTTTTTGTGTGCGAAAACCAAGCAACCGCCAGCGACAGCTTGATAAGCGGTTCTCGGCTCGATTGCGTGGGCTGCGGCTTGTCGGCTTTTTGTGAATGAACATTTTGTAGTCGAAGAGCGTTGCCACCATGCCACCAAGCCACCAAGCCAGCAATCCACACTCCAGCAATCCACTCGCGGGCCAAACACGCGAAGCTGTCATTACATTGACCAGGCCCAAACCATTCGCGTTCGCGTTGGCGGAAAAGTTGTATTTTAAGCTGGCGTTGGGAGAGAGCTCAGCTGGTCCTAATCTTAGTTCGGGTATCGCCTTATGAATGGGCGAACAGAGCTAAGGTGCAGAGGAGTCGGCTGGTTTGTTATCGTAAAGAAAGAAAAAGAAGATAAGCTTTAGTTTTCCTGGTAACGTAACAACTAAGTCTGTTTTTACTGAAACAACTTCATGAGCTGAATCAAATCTTGACAACTTTTACCTGTACAATAAATAATATATATTTTTAAAAGAGAGGATTTTTTAATAATTTAGGTGTAAGTATAAAAATTGAATACAGAGTTCACAGTAAGACTTGATTAAAGTGCGCCAATCCCCGAGTTGAGAGAACCCAAACCCAAACTTGTACCCAAAGTAGATCCCGCCAGTACGTGGTTGTATTGAAAACACTTTCCAGTTTGTGGCAGACATCGAAATCGAGTCTGTGCACAGAGGAGCCAGCCAGCAGCGAGTGCAACGTACGTGGTGCATCCATGTACACAGATACCTGGCCACCAACCACCAGGCGTCTCCGTCGTGTGTATCCATTTATCTTGGCAGGCCAACTCTTAGCCGGGCAGGCAGTGAGCTAGACACCTAAAAACCCACAATTTATGCCAGTCAGAGCTGCAAACTGGAAAAGTTCACAACAAGCACGGGAAGACCCACACCCATGCACACACTGGCACTATAAACTCTTGATCTTTCCAATAGCCTACAAAGGCGGCCCACACGAACCGACTCCTCAGCTGGTTCGCAGCCCCATTCATGCCGCAATTTTGTTGCCGCCGCTCGATGGTGCCCCAAAGATTCCCAGCGGCAGCTAGAAAGAGGCGGAGTTGGCCAAAACGGGTTCAGAGCCATCCCGTCGCCGCGTCCTACATTGCTCACATTTCGGGTTGGCGAGCACAAAGCCACAGCCAGAGCCACAGCCAGAGCCTCCAGAAAAAGCCGTTTCTTATGCAAAATCCGAGAGCCTGCGAAGCAGAAGTCCGCACTGATTGATTTTCTATGAGATCTAACGTACTGTATATGGCAGCCCGCGGCCATAATTTCGGTCTTGGCCAGATGTTGACTCGGGCGGATTGCCCGGGGGAAGGCAGCGAAGTCGTGCGCTGCTAATTTGCACCTAAAGACGGTTTTTGTTTCTGGCTTTTCGGTTTAGAAAGTAGAAAATTATTCATTATTCAGCGGGAATATGAAATGAAAGTGTTCCGAGGGTATCCCTCCGCTCGAAAGTTTTCGCAGATCCCCAGAAAAGCGCTTGGCAAATTGGCAAATCGATTGGCCCGATTTGAATCGATCCCAACTTATGCCAATCATCATCGGGTAATCCGATAAGCAACGGTTTGTCCGTATTTGCATACCTCCCATCTAACAATGCCAATCGTGACCCCAAAACAAAACCATCGACTCCCTGGCTAGACGGGTACATGGTATATGGGTACATGGTTGTATGGTATACCTGCTCCTTCCCCCATTCTCGTTCTGCCATCCGCCGTAACCCAAGAAGTTACTTGCAACACGCGGCCACAAGATGTGGAAACCGCAGTATGAACTCGAGTTGCCGACAACGCGTGCCACAAACCACAAAACAAAACGAACCGAAACAAGGACTGCGCATACGATCCAATCGCAAAAGAAGCACAACACGCAAGAAATGCCATTAAACTTGAAAACATATTTAAAATCCAATTCAAATGAATGCAATTTGCTTTAAAAGTTAATTTTGCCTGGAATTATATATATATTATACAGAATATACTCTATATTTCGAATATTTTTATCTGGATCTTATAAAATTTCAACCTATAAAAATCCATTCCATTTACTATTTTAACTTTAAAGGTTCTCCCCTGATTTCAACGCAAATTGAATTGGGACGCGGTACGTTCTTTTCGTCGAGTGCGCTTAACAAAATCACAAACTTATACCTTCCTCGAAGAGTCGGTCCACGAAAATTCATAAGAATAAGTTTTACATCAAAGGGCTCGTGTACCAACACGGTCTGAAAGTGAAAAGGTTGAACTATTACAAAACAATTTTAGCTTTGAATATCCCTTTCTGCAGTTAGTAATGTTTCTGCATTGCCGTCCTATTGGGAATTGAATTATTCAAATTGCACTCACACCGGGCGATTTGAGGCACTTTTTTCCCACCTCCTCGCGATTGGTGATGAAGCCGGTCCAATACTTGTACCAGTACTGGTTCGAGTCGTACATTATGGAGCAGAAGTCCCTCGTGGCCATGCTGAAGACAGTAGGTTCCCACGTGCCACGATTGAAGTGGAAAAGGTCCAGCTTCGCCTGCAAGGACGTCAGATTGAGCGAATATGTTTCCGAATAAAATCGGTGGGTGCGAGGGAGTTTACTGCGATTCGATCGGTGGGCTCCACATCCCACAACAAGGTGGCGTTGCCGGACACGTGGAGCCCCTCAGAGTCCAGTCTGATGTCAATGTCGTCGAAATTAGCTGCCTGGCGGGCGTTGATCGATCCGGGCGGGGCATCAAGGCAGGGCGAAAGGATGTCTGGATCCTCGAGAAGCAGTTCGTAGTCCATGGACCAGCAACTGCTCACGCCAAAAAGATCAACATCAGAGTTCTCATGATGGTTTCAGTCCCAATGATGTGGGATCAGAACCTTTATAGCAGCTGCCGAATCATGTGGGAATTTTTAGAATTTCTAACAACAGCAATCTCCCATCTAGGGATGTCATCGCCCATCCACTCGACATGCAACAAAATTACAACCATCTTGCTTGTCCGACATTGTGACTAAAATGGCCATCAAAAAAAAAATGCTCGTAAGTATCGAGAACTACAATATGCGCCCTGGTTATTGGTGATTACATCACGTAAAAACAGCGTTTTGAATTCGCTACATATAGAACATCAGTTAGAATATTAAAATATAAAAAAAAGTAGAAAAAACTGGGCTCCAATAACATTGCTTATTGGATTATACCTAAAGCCAAAATTGAGAATCCTTTTTGAAAGATTAACTTTTAGTAGTTTCAATACAAAGTCCAATAAATAAGAGTTATGCAAATAATTTTTATTAAAAACGAAAAATGAAAAAAAAAAAATGTATTTTTTTAAGATAGAAACATTTTTAAGCTATCGATTTCCGGTTGCCACAGAGCCTGAAAGTCTTAGTCATTTATCTTCTCAGCCTCTCCCCTGATTTCGAAGCATATGGAGTTCTTTCGCGGAACATCCCTCTCGTCGTAAGCCTCAAAGGTGATCACTGCCTTGTAGCGCCCCTGCAAAGTGGGCCCTCGGACGCCCATTAGACGCAGTTGCAGGTCGAACGGCTTGTGATTAATAACGGTCTGAAATGAGAAGCCTCGTTGAAGGAGACAGGGTCTGAATTTGAAAAGCCCAACTGCGGGGGTGACTCACGCCACGCGTTGTAAAGCACTTTTCCTTGATCTCCTCGCGGTTCGCAAAGTGGACGGTCCAGTATTTGAACCAGGACTGATTCTCGTCGAACATGTCTTTGCAAAAGTTCGGCGAGACCATACTGAAGAGGGTCGGTTCCCAGCTGCCGCGATTGAAGCGCAACACCACGAACCTGGCCTGAAATTGCAATAGCGTAAGTTGCAGTGAATCTCCCTCACGCAGACTGATTTTACGGAAACACGATCGTCGGGCTGCACATCCCACATCGTGGTGATATTTTCAGAGATGTGTATAATTTCCGAGTCCTGATTGAATGACAGACCGTCCAAGTTGAAAGCCTCGTCAATACCTATCGATCCTGGAGGTGGCTCAGTGCAGGGTGCGAAAACATCGGGGTCCTCGAGCAGAAGTTCGTAGTCTGCGGCCCAGGAACTGGCCAGAATTACGACGAGAAGCAGCGGAATGCTCAACATGGTGTTAAGCCAAAAATGCGATATCGAACCTTATATAGTTGGCACCGGTCCAATTACGGATTACACTAGCTTAACGGAGTTTGTAATATATGTATACAAATTAAGTTGGACAAGTACAATGTAGAGCTGATCTGTGATACTTATCAACAAATGTCACGAGCCTTTCCCAGCAGTGTTAATTTGTATAGCGCAATGAGTATCAGCGATTTTTAAAAGGCGAAGTATTATGAATATTTTTATCCAAATGTACTTACATAATTCAAATAATTTTAATTTTTAAGAGAGGAAACACGATTTGTTCTAGAACTTAAAATCAGTCGGGTTTATATGTGCTTGTCGCTATGTGAGTGGAAATATAAAAACCAAATCTATTAAAAATATCTAAAATGAATAACCGCTTTGCATAATTGGGAGCGGCAAGGACACACCCAACCCAGTAACAAGATAAATGAATACACATGCCCCAACTATATCACAGCTTGTATATCACAAATGCAATTTCATATTCAGTCGAATTAATTGCCATTTGATTGCTGTTGTTGCTCAAATTTAACATGCAGAACACGCGACATATTTTGAACCACCACGAATACGTATCAAATGCAACGAAGAGAGCTAGCTAGCCACATCATTGTTTCCCCACTTTCCATACAGAGGGAACAGCATCAACAATTGTTCCCGCAAAGTTATTTACGGAATAATGCAAAGTAATTAATACAACTAAGACGATGACTCTCATGCTCTCTAATTGTTTGTGGCGCTTGAAGGGGAAATGCAATTCACATTCTTGTCTCCTCTCGGATTTCAATGTCTGTTTGTGGCAGACAGATGGAACGGATTGCACTTCTGACTTGCGTCATTATCACTTTGACCCGAGCTCTTTATAGCTCTCTAAATGAATCTGTCTGAAAATGTTGAGAGCAGCAAACAGAAAATGTAGGTTTTTATCTTTTTTACATGGTTTAGGCAATTATAAAACTCTAATTAAATTGGAATATGTACATTTGGTGATTTTTATTTTACTCTAGAAAAATATTCAATAATTTCTGATTCTAAGCAAGAATTTTAAAAACTCAAAGCATTGTACACCGAACTTCGTAACTTTTTAGGAAGAAAAACCATAGCCTCTTTACGTAATCATTATACCTAGTCTGCCCACAGAGATAGATTTGCTCACAAAGCGAAAGAACCTTGCACCAGATATTGCTTTCCTGATGGCATCCTGTCCACATCCTGTTTAGCACAAACTTTTAACTACATGCAGCATGCAGAATGCACTATGCACTGTCATTTCCAGTTGATATTCAGCCTTGAAAATGGCTCTCATTCCATGCAAATGCGAAAACAATACCGGCGAGAGAAACAGAGAAAAACCGCGGGACGTTGTCATAGAAATGGAAACAGCTGCCAATGCTGCCATAAATAAAAACCCATTAGGTCTTGTCGACGGTATTCGACCATACAGCGATTTGGCTATAAATAAACAAAACATGAAATTTGACTTTGGTCTTACAGCCCACACAACCCCAGCACGAACGCAAATTAAACGCTTAGCAGCAATGCCAAAGTTCGCAGAAAACAATTAGAGAACACTTTCAATGGGAATGCTAAAAAAAAAAAAAAATAAATAAATAAAAAAAAAATCAATCGTTTCGCCCAACGTGGGGCTCGAACCCACGACCCTGAGATTAAGAGTCTCATGCTCTACCGACTGAGCTAGCCGGGCACTTGAAACGATGCTCAAAAATAGGGCGGCGCATTTGGTGTTGAGGATAAATTCTGAAGTTAGAAAAAACCAGCAGATTTAGAAGAAACCAGATGACAGGACATTTTAATCCACTTTTGAATTTTCATTCCAATGTTTCTCAAATAAAATATAAAAAAAAGAATATGTCTCCAGATCTTTCAGTCACAAATGTAAGATTTATTAAAATATTAAATTGACTGTCTACAAAATGTATTTCGAATTTTTCATAATCCAGAACTAAGTGTTTTCACTTTAAAACATTTCATATATAAGGAATTTTAAACCAATCAACTGAAACGACATGTTTTGACTTAGCATATAATTATAAAAACAAGATACGTTTTATCCAACATTAACAGATTACTTTTTAAGACAATAGCCGTTTTAGTTTTCCCACCCAGTGATATTTTCTTGTCATCTCAACCGATCAACAGACCATTAAAGTGGAAAAATTAAATCATTTCACAACTTTACTCCCGACGCGTTTAACAAATTTTTAGAAAAACTAGTTTTTGGTATCTTAATTAATTATGTGTTAGCATCATTTTTTTTCATCAAATGAATCCGAAAACATATTAATTTATATTCGTTTGAAAACTTGTGAAAAAAATCAATCGCCCAACGTGGGGCTCGAACCCACGACCCTGAGATTAAGAGTCTCATGCTCTACCGACTGAGCTAGCCGGGCAGTTGGAATAGCTCACGGGCTGTCAAAACAAGGAAATCGTACAAATGTTCTCTCGTGGTAAATCTATACATATAATGTCCTTAGACTTACTAACTTTCTAAAGACACTTCTATATTATAACTACGCATGGAAAAACGAACAGTTCGAACCTATGAGCCGTGGACTATGATTTTCATGCTCTATCGATCAGGGAACAGGTTGAAGCAGAACCTGCGATCAGAATCAGAAGCGGTATAATACTTAGGAATAATAAACAGAACCAACATAGTTATTAGCTTGTACAATAAGTTACGCCCGTTTGTGATGATTTCGGCAATGATATTATCGAATCCGATCAAATGAGCAATTAGAGTCGTTGCAATACTGCAGAAAACTACTATATATAGGAAGGTTTCGGCGAATGTGTATCATCGAATCGGAACGCTGTTAAAATGAAGACTGTGGCTAAGATACTGGTGTTCCAACTGTTTCTAGTTATAATGGCTGGTGCCATTGAATACCAGTTATTTGTGGACGAGGACGATGTTTTTGCGCCATGCGAGAATCAGCCTGGCAATCCTTCCAACTCGGATAGTCTCTTTGACCCGACTTGGAAAATAACCACGCATGGCGGCAAAGTTGCAATTGAGGCACAACAAACTGTCGTCTGGAAAGATGTCCAGCCAGGGGACACAGTAAAGGTAGGTATTCCCTAAGTGATTGGTTACCTGATACCTATTTAATTTTCTCCTAGCTCTTTGCACAAGTCTTCCGCATGGAGAAGAACACTTGGCAAAAGACAATGATCTCCGTAAACAGCAATAACTTTTGCAAAAACATGTTCGACAAAGGGCAGTACTGGTATCAGTTTTGGACGCAGTATATAAGAAACTCAGATGAGATCAAGACGAAGTGCATAGTTACACCTGGGGTAAGTGAATTTACCCCGACCTTATTCACTTTTACCCTAACTATTGTCCGCAATTAGGCCGTCATAAAATACAATCCTATCGATGTTGAATTGAAGGTCAATCTGAATGTTCCCAATATGAGCGGGCGCTACAAGGTGGTAGTCCAGTTTGATGCCTTCGATAAGAGCAATGTCAAGCGACCAGTGTCCATTTGCTCGGAGTTTCGTGGTAATATAACGAAGGTCTAATATCGAAAATTATATATGCATGCTGAGCAGACAGCGAAACACCATTAAAGTTTATAATCAAGTACAACCTACAACTAGATGGTTACTCACATTGGGGGTTCGCATTGGTTGTTAGGGGCAAAAGCGTGGTGCTTCCTTTCAGTTTATCATGAAGCCCCAAAGCAGCAAACCGAATAGTGCACCCAGCTGGTTCGCCGAGTTCTGCCAGGAGTCATCTATCCACGGCCTGCCCTACGTGGCCCGCAGGGATCTCCACTGGATGGAACGCCTCTTCTGGCTGATGATGGTCGTGGTCTCGGCCTACTTCGCCATCGGCAGCTGTCTCGCCCAGTGGGAGCGGTTCCGCGACAACCCGATCGTCTACGAGTACGAGTACCTCTTCGCGCTGCGCAATTTTCCCTTCCTCGGGGTCACCCTCTGCACCAACTACGAGACCCAGAAGGAGGTGGATGAGGTTATACAGGAGTGAGTTACATTTAGGGTCCTACAAACCAGAGTAAGCTTTTTGTAATGATTATTTATGAATGGTTTTTATTAAGAACTTGGGGAGTGAATCCCGCAGAAGACCCCTCCAAAGCAGCTTACTATGGAAACTTTCTTCGAGTGCTTAATCGATTGCAGTACGACTCCTTGGACCAACTAAAGCCTTTTGAGAATGATACTAGTTTGGACAACTTGCCCTACGTGGCTATGCTGCTGAAGCTGCAGGAGAAGGTTCTTCCACCCAAAAATCCTGCTGTTTTAGCCCCGATTATAACGGAGGTTGGTTTGTGCCAAACCAATAGCCAGCTAACCCGGTACGGAAATCCTTACGGCGTACAGTAAGTCTTAATAACTAATTCAAATGAACATAAATAAACAAATTATTTTAATAACTTTGCTTTTAAACTTCTAAACTTCAATGTTTGCTTTACCAAGAAATATCAAAACGACTTTGTAATTGTAAAAAAAGTAAAAAATAATAAAAAAGTTCTTATGTTGATATATTTAGTTCGACACAAGGAAAACTGGAGTTTTGCTCTCTTTTTTAATAGCAACCAGAAAATAATACTCGTAAATTTATTTTCATGGTGTATTCCTCTTGTAGAGAAGACCTGAATGTGACGGAAATAAGGCAGTGCGGCTTCTTCAGCGACTGTCAGATGGCGGAGAAGCCGTTCAATACCATCATGACCCATTTGTTTCTGGTGAGAGCTAATCATAATTTTCAATAACTATTACTATTTTTTAAACATTTTAGTACCTCCATGATGTTAATGGAATTATGCTGCCCCATGATGTTCGCACTGTTACGTTTGATGGCAAGGTGAAAAGTTCTTACGTTCTGAGAGTACTCCTCCATTCGATATCGGCGGATAAAGAGGTGCGAAATCTACCGGTGGCATATCGCAAATGTCGCTACAGTGATGAAAACAATCTCAAGTACTTCAGTGTAAGGTTAAGCTCTTTTTGGTATTCGAATGAAGGAGTTAGTATTGTTTCCTTATAGCCGTATCATCCGAGTCTCTGTCGATTGGAGTGTCGGATCATCTGGGCCCAGAGCTTGTGCCAGTGCAAACCCTTCTTCTACGCCGCAGCTCCTAAAGTTCCAATTTGCAACATATCTGGAATGCTTTGCCTAGCCCGCTCTGACTGGCTTAAAAAACACTGTGACTGCTTCCCGCTGTGCCTAGAGAATACATACAACATCATTGGCCAGGAAGAACAGAGTGGGGTGGGTGTGGAAAGGACAAGTTTCCTCAAACCCCAAAAATAATTATCCTAACACTTTCTTTAGGGCGACAAAAACTACAAGGGCGAGCATTTCGAGCGGACGACGATTATCAAACTAGTTCTTCCCAAAATGGGAATGAAGCGGAGGGTCGTTTTTAGCACGGATCAGTTAATAATGTCTTTCGGAGGAGCGATTGGACTTTTTCTCGGAGCCAGCTTTATGACTATATATGGTCTGATCTACTTTTTTCTCACTTTTCTAATTCCCAAAGGAAAAATAGGGAAAGAAAACTAACCTAAGGCACTTAAGGGATTTAAAACCATCCTGGAGATCAGTGTTATTAACTAAAGATTATTGTCTGTGGATTAAGCAGCTATCAAACACTATTACTTGTATTATCACTATAATCGGCCGTCCAAGTAGTGACGAATTGCAATAAAAAATGGGCATTAAACGGCACGCAAACTTATAATAGGCAATATTTTTACTATCGCGAATGGTTAAATAAACCTAATTTTAATTTGGGGTTTTCAAGATCATTTGTTGGAAATACATTTTTTTTTTTAAATTCAGTTATTAATTTTTAATTAAGTTGGTTTTTATGGTAGTTTTATGATAAATTATTCAGCTTTTATGCTTATTTTTCCTTTCTTTTAAGCTTAGATTGTCCTAATTCCACCGTTTAGTCTCAGCCATTCCGACAACGGCACTGTTTGCAATTGCTGCCAAGACTTTTGGTAAAGCTTCAGCGTGAGAGCTCTAATACATACATACACTGCCGCTCAACTGAATAGGTTCATGATCTCAGAGGAAGTAATTTGTCTATAATTCCTAAACCAGTGTACCGATTTCCATAATTTTTTTTTTATTTAACTCTTGATTTATTTTATAATAAAATGCTGAAGAAGGTTTTTCAAAAACATATTATTTATTCCTTATTTAATTTTTCTTCTGAAAGGTTAACAAAATTCATGGTTTTTTTTGGGTCATCTGAATAGGTTCAACCTAAAACAATTAAAATTATTTAAGTAACTAAGGATAATTTTCATATATTTTGAACTTAGCTGATACTTATGAAAATTTTTAGAGTACATTTTACTAATTTTAATAAAAAGTGAACTCTCCGTTGTCCGATATAACATCAAATACACGATCGGGAAGCGAGCTATACAAATTGTGCAGTATTTGCAGTGAAATTGTTGTCCAGGCTGTTTTAATTGCCTTAACTAAAGTTGTTTTGCAATAAAATTACCTGCCTCCTTCATATATCTTGCGCGATAGCAACCCCATACGTTTTCGATTATATTAAGGTCAGGTGAATATGGGGGCCATTCAAGTAAGTCCACATTTTGAGCCTTAATCCACTCTTTTACCACCCTAGCTGTATGATGGGAGCGTTATCGTGCTGTTAAGACCATTTGATAAAGTGAAAAGTATTTGAATAATCAGGAAACGCAGCCTTTATGATAGATTTGTAGGTTTCCGCGCTCGTTTTGCAAGTAACAAATTAAAGGTCGCAAGTGCCAAAAACTGATACCGACCCCCACACCATTACCCCACCCTCACAGCTATGTCGACGGCTAAGGAAATGCTCTTTCTTTCGAAGATCGTGATATTAATAGTTGTAGCTATTGATTTACGCTTCTAAATTAAATTGATTTTGGTGTGGGGGTCGGTATCAGTCTTTGGCACTTGCGACCTTTAATTTGTTACTTGCAAAACGAGCGCGGAAACCTACAAATCTATCATAAAGGCTGCGTTTCCTGATTATTCAAATACTTTTCACTTTATCAAATGGTCTTAACAGCACGATAACGCTCCCATCATACAGCTAGGGTGGTAAAAGAGTGGATTAAGGCTCAAAATGTGGACTTACTTGAATGGCCCCCATATTCACCTGACCTTAATATAATCGAAAACGTATGGGGTTGCTATCGCGCAAGATATATGAAGGAGGCAGGTAATTTTATTGCAAAACAACTTTAGTTAAGGCAATTAAAACAGCCTGGACAACAATTTCACTGCAAATACTGCACAATTTGTATAGCTCGCTTCCCGATCGTGTATTTGATGTTATATCGGACAACGGAGAGTTCACTTTTTATTAAAATTAGTAAAATGTACTCTAAAAATGTTCATAAGTATCAGCTAAGTTCAAAATATATGAAAATTATCCTTAGTTACTTAAATAATTTTAATTGTTTTAGGTTGAACCTATTCAGATGACCCAAAAAAAAACCATGAATTTTGTTAACCTTTCAGAAGAATAAATTAAATAAGGAATAAATAATATGTTTTTGAAAAACCTTATTCAGCACTTTATTATAAAATGATTGAAGAATTAAAGAAAAAAAATTATGGAAATCGGTACACTGGTTTAGGAATTATAGACAAATTACTACATCTGAGATCATGAACCTATTCAGTTGAGCGGCAGTGTATATCTATTTTATGTACTTCACGCGGACCAGCGCTGACTTCTCTACTGCGATGTGAACTACTGACTGACTCAGGGGTATAAAATCGTAAGTTTTCCCCAATTTACCATATTGTTCCTCCGTTCGTGATCTTTCATAATAAAACATATACCAATCTTAAAACCAAAACATTTGAAATTAAGCACATTTTGAAAAGGTGAAAGGGTCATACCAATTCCAGCTTTAACATTCAAGTTCTAACAAAAAAGTTTTTAATTAGTTTGAAATACCACATTGTTACATTAAAAAAAACCTCTTTGAAATATTGCATTTGTTCTAAAGGCTAATTAGTTTAGGTTAGATTAGCCAAAGTCAATATGCAGTCCTATCTTGAAAATGGTATATGCATGCTTAACATACAGCAAAACACCATTAAAATTTTTAATCGAGCTGCCCATGAACATTGGGGGCATTACATGGGTCGTTGGGGTCTCATGCGAGGAGCTTCCTTTCAGTTCATCATGAAGCCCCAAAGTAGCACACCGAAGCCGCCGGATAGGGCGCCCAACTGGTTCGCCGAGTTCTGCCAGGAGTCATCTATCCACGGCCTGCCCTACGTGGCCCGCAGGGATCTCCACTGGATGGAACGCCTCTTCTGGCTGATGATGGTCGTGGTCTCGGCCTACTTCGCCATCGGCAGCTGTCTCGCCCAGTGGGAGCGGTTCCGGGACAACCCGATCGTCTACGAGTACGAGTACCTCTTCGCCCTGCGCAATTTTCCCTTCCTCGGGGTCACCCTCTGCACCAACTACGAGACCCAGAAGGAGGTGGATGAGATTATACAGGAGTGAGTTACATTTAGGGTCAACCAAACCAGAGTAAGCTTTTTGTAATGATTATTTATGAATGGTTTTTTATTAAGAACTTGGGGAGTGAATCCCGCAGAAGACCCCTCCAAAGCAGCTTACTATGGAAACTTTCTTCGAGTGCTTAATCGATTGCAGTACGACTCCTTGGACCAACTAAAGCCTTTCGAGAATGACACCAGTTTGGACAACTTGCCCTACGTGGCTATGCTGCTGAAGCTGCAGGAGAAGGTTCTTCCATCAAAAAATCCTGCTGTTTTGGCCCCGATCATAACGGAGGTCGGTCTGTGCCAAACCACTAGCCAGCTAACCCGGTACGGAAATCCTTTCGGCAAACAGTAAGTCTAAATAACTAAAACAAAAACAATAAAGTCGGTTGCACTACAACCTAAAACCCAACAAATACCACAAGTTACACTGCTCGCCACTTGAATAGGACACCCTGTATGCTTCCTTTACATCGACTCATAACTCGAAAACGAAATAATAAAATAACGGAATTTTTGCATATTATCTGTGTCCACACTTTATTCGCTCTTTCTGGTATATTCCAAGATTTGGAATAGAACCGTTATAAAGTTGTGTGCACTTTTTGTGAGCATTCGTAAAAGTACAATGAAATTTTTGCGCCACTTGAATAGAACATCCATTTTATTTTGTCGGTATCGTTCGCACAAACACGCCAAATTCAAGTTACTTGGGCTTTTTCATTTAATTCAAGAGTAAATTAAATTAAAAAGTAAAAATGGGGCGTGGCACTTCATTATCTGAAGCGGAGAAAGGCAAAATCCAAGCCTACAAGGATTCTGGCTTATCTATTGCCAAAATAGCTAAAAAAATCGACAGGAGCCGTCACGTGGTAACCAATTTTTTAAATAATGAGGATAATTATGGCAAAAACATGAAGGGCCGCACTCACAGTGTACTTACTAGCGCGGACAAGCGACTTATAATCAGAGAAGCTTCCAATTCGCACGACTCTTTGGCAAAGATAAGACAAAAATGTGACGTCAAAGCAAGTTTGACAACCATGCGTCGAGTCATCAATAATGTTCCACATCTGAAGAGACTAAAAATCAAGAAGAAGCCACCTCTTAACCCGGTTCGGAAGCTGCAACGCCTTGATTTCGCTCGCGCTCATGTGACCTGGACTTCGGAGTGGCATCGTGTCGTCTTTTCAGACGAAAAAAGTTTAATTTGGAGGGTCCAGATGGCTACAGCTACTATTTTCATGATCTTCGAAAAGAACCACACCATCTTGATAAGTTGCACAGCAGTGCTGGAGGTATTATGGTGTGGGGGGCCATTTCTTATTATGGCACCTGTCAGCTTAAATTTGTTAAAACTACCATGAATGCATTAAGCTATAATGCAATATTGAAAGAGGCCTTTCCCCACTTCCAAACACTTTTCGCAAATTTAAAATGGATTTATCAACACGATAATGCCCCAATACATACGGCTCGGATAGTTAATTCGTATATAACAAGCCAAAACGTGGAGGTATTAAAGTGGCCACCATATTCGCCGGACTTAAACATCATTGAGAATGTGTGGGGATGGCTAACACGTGAAGTATATGGATCCGGCCAGCAATATTCGAGCGTTCCCGAGCTTATGGCAGCTATCAAATTAGCATGGGACTCGATTACGTTGAGTTATTTGGAAAAATTATACGCATCCCTTCCAAACCGAATGTGTGAAGTTTTGGAAAACAAAGGTGGCTCAACACATTATTAAAAAAATTTTTTTTTGTTACAAAATACCTTAAACTAGAATATATTAAGTAATTTTAATGTTTGAATAAAGTTTGAAAATTCTAAACATTTTTTTTGGGAATGTGTCCTAATCAAGTGGTGCAAAATGAAGACTGCACAATTGGTTACTAATTGTTTAACAATTTTTTTTTTTATACTTACAACTTTTTAAAAATATTGTAATTTTTGCAACACTACTAGATTTAAATTAACTTAACTAAAACAATAAAATTATGTTCCTAGATGGCTTGGCTTGGCAGCAATTAAAGTTATAAAATCTAGTTTAGAGGTGTCCTATTCAAGTGGCGAGCAGTGTAAGTCTTAAGTGCTTAAGTAAGTTTTAAGCTTAAATAATGTATTTTTTAACTACAGTAACACAATTAACTATATTAAGGGTAGACCATTTAAGTGGAAGCATCAGGCAACCCTATAACATTTAAAAGCGCTGCCTGATCGACAAAGGTCATAAAGTTCAGGAAGCTTCATTAGAAGACAAAATACTTTGAAACAATACACTCCAAAAGAACGCGCTGAAATTGTTCAGCTTTAGGTATATTTAAAACAACTTCTCAATTGTGAGAACCAAGCGTGCGTTTCGGGCAAAAAATAGAGTTAAAAGTGCTCCCCAGTGCACAACGTCTTGTTTATCCGCAAAGTATTATATATGGAATCCGTCAATGTTAATAATGATAATCACTCATCCATAACCCAAGCCGTACGAGCCAGTGTTGAGGCTTATCCAAAAATGTAAAGCTATCGCCGTTCTCAGGAGCTTGGAATCGCTCGGACCACAGTCCGATGCATGATTCATAGTGATTTGAAGATGTTTTCATAAAAAAATTGAAATGGCTCATAAAATGAAAGGAGCTGACTATCCGGGACTATCAAATGGTAAATCGGTACATACCAAGCCATGATAACCGATTTTTTTAATGCCAGTTGTTCGGGAAAATGGCTTGGATAGCTTCTAGTTTCTACAGGATAGCGCTACATCGAGGCCATTATATCCCGGACGACTCATATCAAAACAGGCGATTTTGACTGACGACAGAGGTCACCAGATTTGACGCCCACAACTTTTTTTCTGCGGCTATTTAAAATCTAAGGTATACATGATCAAGCCAAGAACACTAGCTTAACTCAGAGCCAACATACAAAAATTAGTTCAAGCATTTTTCCATGGACTATCATAAATAAATTTTTAAATGGAAATAAAAAAAAAAAATTTTTAAACTATTTTTTCAAAACTAAGTGCTTCTACTTAAAATGGACTACCTGTATGTAACAATTTCAAAAACAAATTATTTTGTAAAAAGTTTTTATTGGTTTGCATATTATTGGGAGTATCTGGTCTCTTACATTTCTTTTAGAGAATCTCTGAATGTGACGGAAATAAGGCAGTGCGGATTCTTCAGCGACTGTCAGATGGCGGAGAAGCCGTTCAACAGCATCATGACACATTTGTTCCTCGTAAGACCAAATTATAGCTTTCAGAAATTGTCGTTATGTTGATAAACCTTCCAGTACCTGCACGATATCAATGAAATTATGCTTCCTAACGATTTACGTACAGTCACATTTAATGCCAAGGTGAAAACCTCTTACGTTCTGAAAGTACTCCTCCATTCGATATCGGCAGATAAAGAGGTGCGAAATCTACCGGTGGCATATCGCAAGTGTCGCTACCCTGACGAAAATAACTTGAAGTACTACAGTGTAAGCGAAATTTCTTTGGCGGCTGTGGATAGCCTCAGTAAAGAGTTTTCCCTACAGCCGTATTACCCGAGTCTCTGTCGACTGGAGTGTCGGATCATCTGGGCCCAGAGCTTGTGCCAGTGCAAACCTTACTTCTACGCCGCAGCTCCTGAAGTTCCAGTTTGCAACATATCCGGAATGCTTTGCCTAGCCCGCTCCAATTGGCTTAAAAAGCCCTGTGACTGCTTTCCCCTGTGCGAGGAGAACACTTACAACATCGTCGGGGAGGAAGAGCAAGGGGGAGTAGGTCGTTCCCCCTCCTAAAATTCACCAATAACCCTAATTCATTTTTCTCCTAGGGAGATCCAAACGAAGGCACCGGTAAAACCAAAATGTCTGATCAGTTCGAGCGGACGATGATCATCAAGCTGGTTCTTCCCAAGATGGGAATGAAGCGACGGGTGGTGTTCAGCACGGATCAGTTGATAATGTCTTTCGGCGGAGCCATCGGGCTCTTTCTTGGAGCCAGTTTCATGACTATATACGGTCTAATCTACTTATTTCTCACTTTTCTGTTTGTCAAAGGGAAATATTGCTTAAAAATATTTAAATAGGTACAAAATTGGTAACCTTTTAGAAATATTTCTGAAGAAGGTTAATATTAACTACTGCCTTTGTGTTTGTGGTCGACTAAAGTTTGTGACCAACAGCTTTTAATATAACTAGTTAGTTTTCGCTTTATTAAGCCTCCAGTTTTTTTTATGTAGTTGTTAAAAAAAAAAAAACAATAATATATCTAACATAAAGTTTCACATTTTTAAAAACATAAAAATATTTTTAAGGAAATGGCTCTAAAAACATAAAAAAAAACAAGAATTGCAACCAAATCTAGTTTCTCTTCCTCGACGCACATTAGCTTACAAAATAAACACAAAGCAAATGAAATTGTTTTTCACTTAACGACATCAAAGTGCTTTGATGGTCGGGCCGGGCATCATAAGCAAATTAAGACTGCGGCAACTGTTGCAGGGCCGCAATGTGGAAGCCGCAAAGTGGCAGCCCGGTGGGCAGGGAAGAAAGCGACACGTTCGGTTCAGATGGGTTCAGAGAGCAGAAAAATTTCACTTTTGCGGAAAACTCATAACAAACTGCAGTGCGTTTTTCAGCCGTTTTCTGTTACCAGCGGCGCAGCGGCGCAGCGGCGCAGCGGAGATTTCCTATTGTCAAATGTGACAATTTGTCGCCTGTGGTTCGGTTCGGTATCTTCATCTCGAACACTTGCCACACTTGGCCCAAGTGCAGCCAACGGAGCGAAGCGGTTGTGTAAAGTTAACAACCTTTAAGTTTGCTCAATTTTTTGTTTTTCGATCTCGCTTGTGTTTCACTTGCGCGAATAAACTTTGGACTCGGAAAGCCAATCGAGAATTAGCCGCTTTTAATTGCCATCCCGTTAGGAAAAACTATTTCAGAAACTAGCAAATAATGTTAAGCCTTTTTTTCAGTTTCGACTTTACGCTTATTAGAGTTGCTGCAGCCTCTAAGAAGTTTCTGTTTCTCTCTTGGCATAGGCATAAATTTGTTCTGGTCTGCTGCCAAAAAAAACGTAAAGCGGTAGGAAAAAACCGAACTCAGACGGCGAGGCAGCCAAGCAATTAAAATGAAACTAATTTTAGTGGTTGCTGCTATACAGCCTTCTGCCTTTTGGCTTAACCTTTAAGCAGAGACCGGGGGAAAAAGACGGCCGCACTCTCTCCTGCATCTCATTTGCATCTTCTGGCACTTTGTGACATTTGCAATGGCATTTGCCGGCTGTGTAAAAGTTGGCCAGCAGATCTGCCCACAAAACAGCAACGCCGGCAATCTTTTGCCATGAATCAGGCCAAAAGCAGAGCGGAGCAAGGCAGCAAGGCAAGAATTACCTGGTAAGGTGATCCAAACACATTCATATTGCACATGCTCCGTCGGTACGAGTATGTGTTTCTGCTCTAGTTCACACTCAGGTTGGAAAAAAGAGCAGCCAACTTCTGCACAATTGCGTGCCGAACAATTTCCAAATTTCATAAATACAAAATGCACTCGCCCGCATCTGACAGCAGTCGGCGGGCTCCAGCTCCAAAGTTGGGTTCACACTCCCCGAGGGAAGTCGTCGTGCATTTTCCTATAAATAGCAATCTGCTGGCGGGAAGGCGGCACGATTCATCTCCCCTTCCCCCCGCCTCCGCTACACAGTTTATTTCGGTTCTATGTTCGCCGACAGACACAAGATTCCAACACCTGTCCATGTGGTGATGGCGAACAGCTGGCGGGAGAACTACAGTCACAATGTGCTGAAAATGTAATTTTCCGGGGCATGGCAAATGAGGCAGAAGCAACGGGAGATCTAGAATCCCAGACTGCCAATTCGCTGGCAATCAGAGGAAGAGAATAATAATTCTCGGCTCAAATGTATATTAAATTTGAAAATAGAGTAATGAGCGATTATCCGCTTTATTTGTTTACAGCAAATTTATTCATAATTTTTTATTTTTATTTGGGTAACAAAAGAAACTTCAATATTAGTTTGAATTTTAACCCAACATTTCAAAAGTTATACCCACAATACTTCCTTAAGCCAGTATGCCCTCTAAAAGAAAGATGGCAAATGTTAAAGTTCAAGTTATTTCTGCTGGTATTAAAAATAGAATGTAAGGCTAAAATCGGAAAAAGGGAGAGGAAAGATACATGGTGAGCGAAGCAAGGTGAAGTGGATCGGAACAGAGACGGGAGTTTATGTATTACCTGCTCGAAATTCGTTCCATTAGGCCACTAATCATTGGCAGCTGTCAGTAGTTCGTCCGGCGGCAAAAACCATCCCATGCCATCATATCATATCCCTGGAGCTCGCCCCACCAATTCCCTCCCAGGAGGCTAAGCCGCGATAAAGATTTCCCCCACTTCCAGAAACCATAGCAGCCGACGTTAAGGGGGAAATACAATTAGAAATTTTTTTTTTCGAAAAATTTTTTTTTGGGGTAATGTACTCTAAATATGTCTGAGAATAAGCCTTTAAAAGCATAAAGCCGTCCGGTCCTTATTTTCAAAGTTATACACAATTTAGTGAGGGTGTGTCATATGGCGGACATGCACAAAAGTAAACTTTAAACGCTTCTCCTGAAAAGTCGTGTTTGCAAAGTCGCCGTGCAATGTACAGGTCAGAGATTTTATTTTAATCGAATGCGGTTTTTTGCATTATGTTTGAAATTAAATTCTCCACACCATGAATATAACAGTTTTTCAAACTTGTTTGTTATAACATGTTTTTTTTACAAACAAAGTCGAAAAAAAAACGTTATTTTTGAAATTTTTTTTAACTTCAAATTTTTTAATGGAAAAATAATTTTTTTCAAATATGGAATAATTCATGGTGTGCGCTGTACCTTTAAGTTTAAAGCCCAGTTGCTGTTTTTTGTTTAAGTCGTGATCCACATTATTGATCATAAATGGGCTTAATTACAATATTTTTCAAAAAACTTGACTGATTTTTATTGCTCAATAATTACCTAATAACATGCAAAAAGAATCGCTAAGATTCATTTAACACCCTACTTGCAATCCACTCCCAAAGATAGCCCTCATTTCAGGCCTTCTAATTGTATTTCCCCCCTTAATTTACGCTTGTTAAATTAAATTGCCTGGCCCGACGTTATATAAGCGCAATAAACATTTTGTATGAAAGCAAGTTGCCACAAATGGCGTCATGAGTGCCATAAATTATTGATACCACACAACGAACAGATAGCAATGAAATCAATTAGTGATAAAAAAAATCAACAAAAAGTTTGCGGAGTAAAGTTTTGTGTTTCGCCACGAGCTTTAGATAAATGCGAAAAATGTGGAGGATTTTTTGTTCGACTTTGTTAGATACGATTTTGCAACTTTATTTCTTGCCATTAAATCAATTAGAAGACATATGAAAAAGCGAAACAATTTCAGCAACAAATTAGAAAAAACATACACTACGAAATTGTTGATAATGTTGTGTAAAAAACATTTATTTTGCATTAAATTATTGATTTGTCCGAGGATCGCCCGCCACCCGGCTGGTCTTTTGTACTAGTATGTTTGCTTTGACCTTGGCTGATGATATTTGTTTATCTTTTATTTGCTTGAGGCTTTTGTTTACCCACAAGAGAACTTTAGACCAACTCTGGGAGGTTCTTGACACACTGACAAACAATTATAGCACCGAGTCGAAACCAATTTAGCAAAAAATATTAATTCAACTTCGTTGCTTTTCTGTCATATGAGCGGGGTCAAAGTGAATTCGGTTATAATACGTACGTTTCCCTAAAGTATTTCAAAGTTCTGGGAACCCGAAAACGGAAAATTCAGTGGAAGAGTTCGTGTTTAAAATTACATTGAATTTCCGTAGAAACTATACAACGAATAGCGGGAAAACTCACCTTCATGTCATTGATAATCTGCTGGAACAGACTACCCAGCGCGGAGCTATCGCGTTCCAGACTTAGATCCATATTTTCTTGGTATATAACTGGCTTAGAAATCGATTGATTTTCGTTCGTCGTTGGGTTATTCGGATTGAGTTTATTTTGACGATTTTTATACTTGATTATTTTGTTTCATTTTGAGTGGAAATAATAAGCAATTTCAGCATTTCCTTGTGTTGCATGTGGGGAAATCTGGAAAGAAGGAACACATTAATATACAACAATTTATAAATAAGCACGCTCTGCAAGCTGATCCACAAACACTTCCGATCGAAATCTCTGTCTCATCCCCCATAAATCTTTGACATTCGTCGCTGATGGAGCTTAAGCAGACGACTTCTCGTAAATAATCAAAATGGTAAACCAGAGTGTCTTTCCAAACAAGAAATTATGCTTAATTAGGCTTATTAATATACGACATAGCGATGGAGAGTGTGGGGGAGCTGTCTGATGGCGTAGGCGCAGTACAAACTTTATTTGGGGATCGTTGACCCAAATTGAGAGTGCTTTAAGTGCCCCCGAGTGTGGGGTTCCTGCTGATACCAGGCCTTTGATTTATTAGTCATGTAGAGAGGCTAATTGTTAATTATTAATTGATAATTGATATGTCTTGGAGCGACGTACAGTACAGGAAGTTGCATACACGATTTAAGGCCGCTGGAATCGAAACTCCGGACCTGAGGCCCATGCAAACGACTCTCGTCGGGGAAGTGCAATAGTTTTGACCCATTTGTGGGTCGCCATACGTGACTATTCCTATGCTGGTTTCCGCGGCTTTCGAAAGTGCAGATAAGCCGAGAAAACTAACGCGACTCCAGTCGCCAGCAAGCCTTGGAAGCAATTAGAGGGGCGTCAAATTTACAGGTACACTCGAGCAATAACCTTCGACCAGGAACTGGCCAAAGCCCGGCTCGGGTCGGGTCTCAAGACTGCACTTGAGGCCGTATCTCTTCACTTCTATGATATATTGTTGTATTTCTTTTTTCTGATTACGACATTGACGGCTGCTCCGAGTGAAGTTCTTGGCTACAAGTGTTCGTTTGTGAGTCTGAGGCTGAGCAGCTCCACTGCATTCAGAAAGCGTTCACAATAGACACTCAAGCGTGGAGGAAGCCAAAGCCCACAAGTGATAAACGCCGCACCAACGAGAGCTGATTGCCTAGACTGCGTATCTTTCGTCCATGTCTGCGTGGAGACGCAGAAGAAAGCATCGAAGAACAAGTTTGGGAAAGAGAAGAAAAGCAGCGTGTTAGAGAAGAGTTTTCCGACTTCCAAATTATCAGTACTCCCACCTTCATAAGTAAGCCGAGAAAATCGGAGAAAATCGTTGAAAAACAAAGTAAAATAGTTAATTGTCGGATTGAAAAATAATAATCTGTTATTTGAACATCTAAAGAAAGTTAGTTAAGTATGTAGTATAATTCTTAAAGTTCAAAAATAAAACACATATCTATTAAAAAATGTTAATCAGAAGCATTAGATGTAGCTGTTGAGGATCACGAAATGGAAAAGCTTGTGTGCACTGGAAATATAGAACACGATCATACCCCGCAATGTTACAGGGTATTTAAAGGCGCACTGCAAACCAGTGAGGAAAAGTCAGACGCACATTCTCACAAACTGTACAAGTAGACTTTCCGCTGTCTCGCTTTTTCTTCGTACTCTCCTCTTTTTAGCTGAATAGTGTAAATGACCTCTCGAGATAAAATTGTGGCCACAAAGCAAACGATGACAGGCCCGTTTTGTTGTCGTTTTTGTAAGTGCTGCCGCTGCCGCAGAGTTGCAATTTCCTTTGCAGTGCGGAAATAAGTTGTTGTTGTTGTTTGTTGTTTTGGCAATTGACTGCGTTGAATCTGGTTTAAGACGCGTATGGTCGAGCATGTACACGAAACATTGACCTAGTTAACCGGCTGCATTTAAATCATAAGCCTCAAAACTGGTTGGGCAAGTAGCGAATGTTCATATTAGGTCTACAAGGCTTACCCATATTACTTGCACAGCGGAAATATGAGTTTTTCCCAAGATTGAGATGAACTCGCTATTGCTGGCTTGGGAAATCCAGAAAGAGCAGGGGCCACAAAAGCAACCTAAGGTCAGGCCTGCAGATCGTGATGCGATCGGGGGAACTATTTCGGCAGTAGCCAAAGTCCAAATTACCAAATCGTGCAATAAAAACAAAAGCAGGAAGACAACAATTTCGCAAAGTAGTCCCAAAGAAGAACTAGAAACCTTTTCCCGACCAGAAATGTATATTATATACACAATGAGGGGAACTCTGGGTAGTGGGAATTGAGGTTCTCACTTCGAAAGCAACCCGCAACAAAACTCGCTCAAATGTCAAGTTGGCAATGATGATGCTATGGTGTTATTCCTGTTGTGTCTGAATGATTATGCTGGATGCGTTCTCATTTCAGCTACGCATAACTTTCCGCCCTATTTACTATCGTTCTCTTTGCGGCTCTATATCTGCGGTTTCACAAAGATTTCTGTTGAAACAAACGGAAGCTGCGTTGGATTGCATGGGGATTGCACAGTGAATGGCCGGAAGACGGCAAACCAATTCATGGAGAATTAAAGGGTTCACCAGAGCAGACATTTAAAAATATGTATACATTTCCCGATTATATTGCATCATAAATAATAATGTTATTCAGATATGTATTTAAAATATCGCCAAGTTTCCAATTGTATGAATTATGCAGATACACAAGTATCATTACTCCTCTTTATTGCCTTGACCGCGACTGTATCTGTGAGTACATCAGCCATGCTGTGTTGCATGTTGGCTGTGTTTCTATTACAGGAAGTGACTTGACTGACGGGAACTGGGGAGGGAGGGGCAAGCGTGGCAGACACTTCTGTCAAGGGCGACAGACAGTCAAAGTTGCTGCCGTTAATTGCTTACCAAAAGATGTGAGCACACGCACCGCCATATCTGCCCCATTTGCCTTCCCCCTTCGTTCCCTGCGTTATTATGCGTAAATGCAGATGAGCTACTCTAGGGTGGACCAACCGACAACGTGTCGCTGCAAAAACTCTGGCGACTAAAACAGAGCTGAGGCTTATGATTTCCAAAAGCGAATTAAACACACACTTGGTCTTAAAATACACCCTGATAATTTGAGCACAAAGAAAGTATGAAAACAAAGTATGGATGATATTAAAAAGCTATACAAAATTTGAGATTTGCCTCCAGAAATGAATATTTGTGATTAAACGTCTTTAAAAATATATAAAAATAAGTATTTTAGTTCAAAAATAAGTTCAACTAACGTTGCAAACCCTTGATTGTTTCTATTTACGAAAGCAGTGAAAAAGTAAACCTTCTAAAAATAAATCCAAAAGTTTTCATTTTCAGCCCGCCACTTTAATGCACTGCTAGTGACTTCCATATCCACTCCGTCTTTATAAAGTTGTTTTCCTTGTGTTTTGTTTTGTCCCATAAGTTCTGAGTGGGATTTGTTAAAACAAATAATTTTACAGCTGCGTTGTAGATTTGTATACCTGGAAAAATAGAGAGCGTGTGCGGGAGAAGATCTCCAGTGTCAGGTTGGCTTATGGCAGATTTATGTGGTCAGTTGTAAGGTAAGCGATACGCTGTTGCCGGCGAATTGTGCATTGGCAGCAGACCGTCATGACTTTACACTTTCTCCAGCAACTAGGAGTATCAACAACTTGAACAACTACGGCCATCTGTGGTCAGCCAAGTGTCGAGATGTCTCGGCCCTTGGTCTGATCTTGGTCTCGGGGTCTGGGGTCTTGAGTTTTGAGTCTGGGGTCTGGTGTTTGTGACCCGGAGTTAGGAAAGCGTCGATCATCAAAAGTGTCGAGTGGTCGCTCGATGAAAAGAAAAGCGAAAAGAACGCGATGATAATCAAAAGATCAAGTTTTTATATGAACGGAATCGACAACGTCACCAGCACAAACTTACACATGTGCTCAAACATTCATGTTTATCTATGCTTTTCTATCTTTAGCGTCATCTGTGCTTTGCATTGCATTTTCTATTTGATGTTTCTGGGATTTGTGAGGGCATCTGCTTTAGCTCTCTCCCCCTTCCCCTTGCGCCGGCCGCCCACCACCCCCCTGCCACAGCCACCAACTCGTATGGCACGTCATTAACCCAAATTTTCTATGAATAAAATATAGCAAAAAGGAAAACACTGAGTGTTTATGTTTGCGAGCTTGTATTGGGAAATCTCTCTCTTTTTATTCTGTTTCTGTGCCTACTTTGATTTGATTTAATTGAATAATTCGCATTGCGTTGAACACATTATAAAATAGGCCAATTCATCGACAATTGAGGCTGATAGGCATCCCCTTCTGATAAGCTGCCTTATCTAATCAGCAGCAGCAAAGAATTGTAAACGATTGGCACTTTTTGGACACACATATACATATGTGGAAATCGATAAGTATCGATCGGAAGTTATCAAGCAAATGAAGCTGTCCGAAAAACCTTAAAGTAGAACACAAAACACATTTCGCAACACAACGCCCACAAATTTGTAAACACAAACTCAAATGTTCTTTTACGCTGGCCGCTGGAAATAAACTTTCGGCATTTAGCGGCGTTCAATCGATTTGTGCATAAAATTATAAGTTTACACATGGCAAGGCAGCCGAAACAAAAATAAATTGAGATACACAACATGACCCAGAGGCGGGGTACGGCTGTGTGGAATTGTTTCCCCAACACATTTTAGAGATTTTCCCCTCGAGAAACATCACTTCGATTACTCATAAAAATCTGAAAAATTTAAAAGGAACGACTGAAAATTGGTTACATTATTTATTTAAAATATAATCACAATTTGTGCTGTAATTTTTTATTGCCTCTTAAAAATTTCCAGAATTTTGTGCTTTCGGTTTAATTATCTACAAAAGTTAGGTTAGCAAGAAAAGTTGCTGAAGCTCCAGCTTACTTTTTAAAAAACAACATTTAAAATAATTCCTTAAATAGAATAAATTGATGGTATTATTCTTAACTTGCCCAGTGTAAAGGTGTGTAAATTTGCATTCACAAATTGTAACAAAAAAGTCCCAGATCCCACAGATTTTTTGTTATTAACATTAGTTCGCTCGTTTCGTTTCTACTTTTTTCAGCATTGTGGCCATGGCAAATGGTTATTAATGATTAACCAGAGTGCCGTTAGCCAGCACATGTTACTTTGTACTTTATCACGTTTGTTATGTTCTTGTTTGCCGGTTCCTTTAGCACGTTTTGTTCTGCTTCTTTATGACAGCTTTGTGGCCATCAACAAATGTGAATTTTCGCTGTCTTTTCCAAGCCTTTCCAGTCTCGTTAGCGTTTGAGTTTTGCACAGCTTTTGTATTTCCTGCATTAGGGAATGGCAGTTGCTAAAACGGGCCAGGGAATTCCAAGAGCATTTTTGTTTTACTAATTTGCCAGTCCCACCATAACTAATGTTTAGAGAAAAGAAGCGAGCACATAAGGAAATAGTTTTAGTATCGCTTCTAGAGCTGAACTCTTGACATTTGCAAGGCAGCACTAAAGTTTAAGATTTTTAATGAACACAGAGTTCTTCTAAAGCCGCGGAAATACTTCGTGTACATCCCATTCCAAGTGAAATCCCGTTGAGGCGAAGCTTATGTTAGATTAGACAATTTTCATTAGGACAAACCCCGAAAATCGAAAGTGGTTACGAAAGATTTCTAAAAACCAGGCGTGGGGAGTGGGCGACCAAACAGACTGGAGTTTGGGATTCACGGCTTTGCACAAATTCATTCACACAACAACTTACATACGCCCATGCAGTTCACCAATCAAACGAAAAAGAAAATCTTTTTGTGAGTGGGCAGCAGCAATAAAAAAACTTCGAGTTGCACCAACAACATGCTATACAAACGCAGCCATTTAAAATTACAAGTTTCCAGCCGTTTTACTTGTTTACCATTTGAAACAATTTGTACAGTAGATATGGGATAAACGGAGGACAAACCTGCAAAAAGTATTATTAACTAGTTTTATGAAATAGACATTTCTATATCCTGCGTCGTCTTGTTTATACTTTCAGTATAAAAAAGGCCCAGCTATATTGAGTCAAAAAAAAAGAAATTAATATTGTTTTGTAGAATTTGTCTATAATTCTTGTGCAAAAAAAACAGTAAAGGTAATCTGGATAATCTCTATCTATAATTTAAGAGTTACTCAAATTATTAGGCAGACGATAAACAAGAAAGGAAAAATAAATAGGATAAGAATAAGTCTAAGGCAAAAAGCTTTAGGAAATTTGCTCATCTAACAATTTTCGTATCTCAGAAGGGAACACGGTCTACCTGTGTTATTTCTATGCAACGGTGGGTGGTGGCAGTTGGAGTGGCCTTTCTTTATACAGATACAATTATTTATATTTCACTAGTATTTGTTTTTCTTCTTTGTGCAGTTTTGTTTGCATTTTATTAAGTCGCAAGTTGTTTTTTTTGTTTACTTAGCTTGGTGAGCCCACAGAGAAAAAAATTATTGAGTTTCAAACCAAACACATTTTATTCTTGCATAAAAGTTTATGAAGTACAAACTCAATTTAAAATAAAAACTACATATTTAAAATTAAAAAAAAATTTTTTAATAAAAACAAAAATTAAATAAAAAATAAAAAGAAACGTTTCGTTCTTACTCCGACCTAATTGAATACCAACTGTAAAAACTTGGGACTAGACTTTAGGTGATCTCGAAGACCACGGTATACCTCTTATAATAGAAGGTCGAGATATTTGCGATTTTTTCTGTGCAGGAGCAAGTTTCTTTCCAATAGCCGGCAGCTGTTTGCGGTTAATTTTATCTTTTTTTCTGTACCCCTTCTGCTGTTATTGTTGGGTTCTCTTGTTTTTGGCAATTGCACAGGTGCGGCTTTTGGATGATTTTCGGATTGGGTTACTCTTCGTGGTTCAGGTAACCCAAGGCGGCCACTTTTTAAGCCAAGGTATTCCGTGCATACTTTCGAATTCGAGTATTATTATTTGTCTAGCAAATGCACTGCCAGGCATTCCTTGCATATCCAATTATGGCAAGAACCCGAAGCAACTCGATTTGGTTGGAAAGTTCTGAAACATTTGTTTAGACAAATGTGCGAAGAAATAATCTCGGAGCGTAAACAAGAAACAAACAGGCATAATATTTCAATAATTACGCTTATCTGCTCCATTTGCCGGCGCGCACAAAAGTCGTTTGAAAGGTACGCAAAAAGAACAAAAACGTGCGATAAGGGAATAGGGAAGAGACAGCGGCGAAGGGGAAAAATCCACTTTTAAACATTTATTCTGATGACGAGCTGCACGATAGGTGTCAACGTGCTGCTCTGGTTCCTGTTGCGATTATAAATTGAAAAGGAAACACAAAGCCACCCCACGAAATGTCGACCCAGGCGGAATTAACAAAAAATTACCTCTTTTGAGATAAACAGAATTCAGGTAACAATCCCAAAGAGAAGTCCCTGCACTTGCGCAATTACCGCGCAACTTCAAAAGGGGAGTCGTACACAGAGAAAAATGTACAAAACAAGAAATCCTAGTATGTATTATTATATTATTTATTTTTGTTTTAAGTGTGCCTTAAATGTTATTTCATGTTTATTTAGGCAGAATTCCAATTTGAATTTAATCCGAAGCAAGTCGAATAAGATACGGTCATTGAAGAAGAAAAAATATGTTGCGTAGGCGACAAAGCTTGATATATTAAACTTGTTTTCTCGAAAAGGCGTTTTTAAAACCAGTGACCAAATCATAAAACAATTTTTATAAAGCATTTTTGGCAAAATGACTTCTATAAGTTTCAAATTCACAGTACAGAAAAGTTAAAATGTTAATACTATATTTTGTTTTATGTTAAATATTTGTGTTTGATCATAATTGATTTTAGGAAGAGGACACATTTTTATTAACCCCTTGTTCAATTCATTGTTCAGATAAAACTTGTTGTCTATTTTTTGACGTGTACAACGAATCCTGTTTGGATTGGCCGTGAAAGGAGTTTTTGGTTCTCACGACCACTTGGAATGGGCACTGGAAGTCCTTGAGTCTGAGATTCTCACTGGAATGAAGTCGGTTTGAACTTGTTGTTGGCAAACTGCAACGTCTTTCATTCCCCGCTCCGCACCTTTCCAACCCTCCCTCAGCCCTAATTATTGTCATTATTAGCTCACTCCCCACTCGATTCCTGTTGTTGTTGTTTGCTTCTTGAGGACCCTTCAAGAATACTTACAATGCACTTTCGACTGGAAAATGTCCCAGGGCGACTTAAATGCAATCGTTTGTTTGATTTTTTCGGTCGACGATGCTGCAGACAATTAAGCGCTGTTGTTGTTTCCTCCCCTGCTTCCCATCGTTCTCTCTTCGTTGTTGTTGTTGTTGTTGTAGCATTGCATTTCCAGGCGGCAAAAGCGCACACAAAGAGCCGAGGAGCGGGTGTGTGTGTGTAAGTGGGGTGTGCTCTCCCGTTATCCCCTCTTGTTCTGTCTCTCTCCCACTCCGGTTTGATGTGCTTTGCTTTTGCTTTTTGCTTTGTCCAAACTCAAACAAACTACCCTGAAGAACCGTTGATCCTGGCTGCCTTGTAGTTGTTGTTTTGTTTTCTGTTATGTTATACACTCACAGACACATACACGCACACACTCGCACAAAAGCAAACTGGCAGACAGACGCTTAATTTTCCGTTTTCCTTGGGAAAGCGCATATAATTATTCGCCGATTTTCGCACTGAACTCGACAATTTTCCGCGCTCGTTTTTTGGCAACAGCAAACTACGACGCGAACTTTTTTCCGGCCAGACGACAAATAAAAATTTGGCGCTGCAACCGTTACTTTCAAGCCTCCTACGACAGATTTTCCGAGCGCATTTTCATTTTTCTTCGTTGCGAGAGGACTTTCTTATAGACAAACAAATAACCGAAAAACAACCGCGACCGATTCGTTCGAGAGTGTCTGGTTCAGTGTGACCCTCGGTGGGAAGTGCAATAACACTTTGGCTGCAGTGAGACCGTGATGAAGGGAAGAAAGCGTCGTTATACGACACAAGGCCACACTTATTCTGTTAAAGGAAAATTAACTGTTAACCGATTCAATGAATCGGGAATTTTAAATGGAACTTTTGAAGGAGTAAGATTTGCTAATTAACTAATTCTACATTTGTAAATTTTTTTTAAGCACTAAAAAATAATTATTATGTTTCTATTGCAAGCGCTTCTCAACCTTTGTAATACATACATACGAGTTTAAAAAAAAAACATTTTAAGGAAACAACTTCCTGCTATTTTAAAATTTTTTCGCCCAATAATTATATATGTATAACGATAATTTTGAAACCATTCAGAAAACAAGACTTTAAAAACGCACTAACCGTTTACAACACAATAAAGACACTAAGAAAAATATACAAAAATAGTTATGTTATATATATATATATATATACATATACTGAGACAAATTCTACTTATCACCGATTCATATAACTTGGTTTGCTAAAAAAATAATTAAAAAGCAACAAATAACTATAACAATAAGGGTATTTATTTGTTCATGTTGTTGAGCTTGGTGCAGTAGATTATAAAAGTCATCGTCAGCATTATCACACAAGTCCACAGCTTAAGGAAATCAACGAATTAAGTGCGTATACAAATATAAAAACAACTTAAACGCTTTGTACAGTAAAGCAATACCGAAGCAAACAATACAAAATAGGCGATTCTCCAGCAGAGCCTCTAAAGCTAGTCCACTCCTTCCACATTGAGCTTGATGTCCGATTTGGGCATCAGGAGCAGTCTCCGGTTGTCGTACTCGATGGGAATCGTGGTCTCCGCACAGGGGGAATACCTGTGGTCCTTCAGCAGAGCCACCAGACCCACCAGCAGCTGCTGTTCGGCGAACCGAGCGGCAATGCATCCCCGCAGGCCATCGCCGAAGGGCAGGAAGGCAGCCGGCGGACGGGATCTCCTGGCCTCCTCCTCGAACCGACCCGGATCGAAGCGATCTGGATCCTCGTATAACTCCGGATCTCTGTGAATTGCCGCCGTGGGTATCAGCACACTGTTGCCCTTGGCAATCACGAACACCGATTCGGGCAACTCGAATTCTTTGGTAGCACGGCGCAGCAAAAAGGGATGTGGTGTGTGCAGACGAAGCGTTTCTAAAAAAAAACCAAAGCGGTTAGAATGTAAATGATACTCAAAGTTAAGGAAAAGCGCTTGATTTTTTAACACTTAATAGAGTAAAGTTATAAATTTTATAATAAAACCAACGAATATAACAACATGGATCATTTCTGTACAATTATTTGGGAACATCTGATTTAAATTGAGGTTATATTTTTGCTTTAAATTAAAAGTTTTTAAAGAACGAAGAACTTATCTGACATTATCTACATCGAAAGTAATCAAATGCATGGTCTTACATCTCTAACGATTTTTCGCACTTACCATTTAGGACCTGCTTCGAAAATTTAAGCTCTCTGAGGCACTCAGGTGTCACTTGGCCGCCCTGCTGCTCCAGTGTCTTTCTGATTTCCAGCCTGGTTCGATCCTGCAGCTCTGGCTGGCGAGCCAATTCGTAGAGGCAAAAGGAGAGGGTGGCGTTAAGGGGCCCCAAACCAGCCAGGAGGAAGCCAAAGGCCTGAGCGGCAATCTGGACATCGTCGAGCGGCTGGTCCGCGTTGGAGTAGAGCTGCAGCAACGTCTGGAGTGGCTGGCGATCCCTTCGGCGTTGCTCCTGCATTTGCGAGAGGGCCACTTTTTGAAAGTAAGCCATGGCTGGCTCCGCGTAGCTCTTGTACTGCAGCAGCCGCGCGACGAGTGGAAACTCCAGAGCCAGGTACGCCTGCCACAGCTTAAAGTCGCCCCAGTTGTTGCGTGTCCACTTGGCAAACTCCTGGTGATCCTGGCCTCCCAATCCGAAGGCCGTAGAGGCCATAACATCCACGTTGAACGCAGCCACCAATTCGCTGATGTTTCTGGTTTGCAGACTCGTTTTGCCCAGGTTGGTTTGAATTCTTGAGGAGATCTGTACGAGCCTAGGTATCAGCTTCTTCATGTTGGCGGGGATGAAAACCTCCGCTGATTTGGCGTGTAGAGACCGCCATTTGTGGCCGTCCAGCTGCAGGAGATTGGCGGACAGCGGCTCTCCACTCGGATTGCTGTAGAGACCTCGCGATGTGAAGTGCCCGGCGTCAGTGAAGACAATTTGGTGCACTAGCTTCAGGTCCAGCGCCAAGATGAAGGGTTTAAGGCAGGCGTAGAAGCCCACGAAAGGAGCCCTGCCCTTGTAGCCGGCGTAGACATCCCGTAAGGCGTCCTGGACGTGCCGCTTGCCGCCCACCACACCCTTTATGTTGCCCCACAGGAATTTGGGCTTCTCGTGGAGGATCCCGCGTCGCTTCCAGTAGCCCAGGCTGATCTTAACCAGGGCGTAGAAAATGGAGAGGGCACCCAAGGCGGAGAGCAGAGCGCGATGCAGCAGCTCCATGCTCACCCAGCTGTCTTTTTTCAAGTTACTCGCAGCGTTTGCTATGTTTAACAGCTGGCAGTAGTTGTTCGTCGAGGTCTTTGGGTCTCAGCTGCGCCGGCTTATCAGCGCCATTATCGGTCGATTGGATTCAATAATTGATAATGTCCATTGAGCAGCGGCCGCTAAAATGGAAGAGAAACTTGGCTATAAGGCAACATTCAATACGTAATAATAAACTGGGCTGAGCTGGTTTTATTGCTGAAATAAGTGCGGAGAGAAGTCACTACGGCTGCAAAATGAGGCACAGATTGTACGTGCTGGCAGGGAATTCGTCGACTGGCACCCAACGAACGTAGCCCTGATCGATTAACTGCTGCCGGGTGCTGGGCACGCCCACGAAATGGGGATCCTAAATGGGAAATCGAGCGATGAGGTCACCGGGTAATAGAATGAGATAACTTGCCGACTCACCACCACCAGCAGGAAGATGTGATCCTCGGCACTGCAGTGGTAGCCTACAATCGCCTTGGAGGAGGTGTCGCTCAGTCCTCCCATGGCGATGAAGCCTTGGTACTCCTCGAAGTATTTGCGAATCTGGCCGAGGATCTCAGGAGAACTCAGCTCCGTTGCGTGGAGAATCCTGCATGGCAGCTGGAATAACACATCGATCACGTAAAACTCCTCCAAAGTGCCGATCCAATCGCGTGACCCCTTGAAATCAGGTCCCTTGTCGTCAATTGCCACCAGGATGTGCTGTATATCCGGGATGGAGGGCACATGCTCTTCGCTGTTCCTTCGGCGCAGGATCCAGGATATGGCCGACTGCAGTGTGCGATATCCACATCCCCAACCCGCATCCTGGTGGCCATCGCATCCGTAGTGAAAGTATTTAAAAGCACCGCGGATACCCAACGTCTGTCCGCCCCCTGTGGGCGTGGCCAGGGTGCTCTGCGGATCTTCCAGAAGTGAATAGGCATACTTCTTTGGCCCAATCTTCAAGGGCACCGACGCGGAATCCCCAAATTCATTTACACAATTTTCCATCGCCAAAAGTATTTGATTTCGAAACTCGGAAATTTGATAGCCTACGCCTGCTGCACCAGTTCCTTTTTGTTTATTTACCTTTCGCAGACGTATTTGTTTTGTGAAAGTGAAATCGCAGCAGTGAAATTGGAATGCAAGTGTTTTTTCCTCCTGGCTAGAGATGGCACGGTGTGAAGTGTCATGCACCAATAACAAAGTCAAAACAATAAAATCTAAATAAATTATATATTAAAGTAAACTAAAAATATTTGAAATAAGCAACATAATTTAAAATTTTATGTAAAGACCCATTACAAATTATATTGGTAATATAAATCACTTTTATGGTTTCTTTTGCAGTCCGTCTCTAACCATCTTATCGAAATATCGATATCAAACTGGTTTTGGCGCCCTGACACTCACAATTCAAACATGTCTAAATTCTTTTTCTTATTATTCATGCATTTCAAATTTTATTTGAATTATAAAATTTACATTATTGTGTTTCGAATTCATAAATATGTTTTCTGGTGAACTTGTGTATGTAGGTGTTTCAACGCTTTATATATTAACACCATTTCTCCTGAATTGTGCTCTTTTAATTTATAGTTTTTTGGTGACCAAACTGTTTTTAGTACGTGGTATTTAAGAATTGGTAAAATTTTGTAGTACTCTACGACTACACTTTGTAAAATTTTACTTTCATTATTGAGTTTCAACTATTTTCTGATTGCTGATTGTTACTGAGTTGCAGATTTGTTAATGTTTAAAAGTTAGCTTAAAAAATGCATTGGATAACTTCACTGAGTTTTACAATAAATAGATGGTTTCTGCAATGCTTGTGTCTGTGCACCAATTAAAATACCTAAATTACATTGTGCGCTTAAAAAATGATTTGTTGTCGTTTCGTTTTTGGTTTGTGCCAGCAACGGTTTAAAAGGGCTCGATTAAAAATTATAAGTACAATACATAAAATACACTCATTAAATATATTTAGCGATATCACCACGATTTGTTATTGTGCTCTTAAAAATCATGTAACAGAAAAGATTAATATGCTAAATTATTATTAATATTATCATATTTATACGTATATGTTATGTATATTATAAATATCTATACCATTTGTATTCTTCCCCCTCTCTATCGGATTCTTCTCATAAATGCAGTCAAAATACGCTTGCGTCTAAAAAATACATTCCGCTCTTATCGTTTCCGCGTTCTAAGTGTGCTGAAGTTCTGCATCTTTCGTCTTTCATCATCCGTCTTACCGAACTACAGTCAAGTCTACTTCTGAATCGTTGCTCTAAGGTGAAAACTACAATTTTCTCCGGTTTCAAGTGTGTTTGTGTGTGGGTTAGGGTGGGTTGATTTTCAAGAAGCATTAGAGTCTAAGTCATCCAAGTGGCCACCTAACAATAATCGATGACATTTTTTTTTTTGTCTTTTTGTGGGTTCATAATAAAAAAATATTCGAAATTGTATGAGAATTACAGAGGCTGCACAACCACGTTTTTTTTTGATTTAACAAACAAGAAAATATTATTTCTATTTAAGTGAAGTTCAATTTAAATTAAACAATTGTTCATTTAAAATCGTCGAAAATACTGAATAAAAGTTTAATAGGAAAGGGAACACAAAAAAACCAAAATAGTTTTAAGTTTTTGACAATTAGGAAGACCATTTGGAAATTTTAGCTCGATGGAAGCGAAAATGTATCTTTGGCAATTCTGGCTGATACTATGGTCCAACATTAGTTTCCAATCTCATACAATGTGTTGAAAAATTGATTTGAATAAAATGAATCGATCTCGCTTTCGACCAAAAGTGGAATAGAATTTAGAAGGAGATAGCGGAGCGTTGCCCAAAGATAATTGTTCGCCCCCCAAGGTATTCAAATCGACCCATCCTACTGTGAGGCATCCTGCGGTGCTGGGATAAATGCAATGCCACGACCCCGTTTCCCTTACAAGGTGCAGTACTCGGTGAGAATGGGTATAGACTTCAGCAGCTCGTTGATGTTGTGCTTCTCCAGGTGCGCCACCAGCTGTTCGGAAGACTTGAGGAGGTTGACGCAGTTCTCAAGGTTCTCGACAATCTCCTTGGTCATCGAGTCCGACGACTTGCTGATCAGCTCGGCCAGCTTCTTGCCCACCTCGCACTTGACCAGCTCGTCCTGCAGGCGCTGTGCCTGCGCCGCCTCGCTCGCCTGCGAGAGGTAGACCACGGAGAGGATGCAGAGCGCGATCAGCGCTTCGTTCTGCATCACCAGGTGCTGGGCGGTGAGCATGTTGACCATGGCCTCCACGGTGCCCTCGTTGGCGAGGAACTCGCTCAGGCTGCTGCGGTCGTAGTCCTGGGTGAGCGGAATCCTGTCGGCGATCTGTTCGGCGGGTGCGTCGCCCTTGCGCGGCAGGGCGTAGGCGATTTTGCTGAGGTAGGCGTGCTTAATTAGCCAGGCCATGAGGCGCAGAGACTCCCCGGTGACGCCCGCATAGTCAGACGATTTGCTCCAGTGCACCAGCTGCTCGATCAGCGTCTTGTTCTTCAGCAGCTCCAGAGCGAGTTTCTCTGCAAGAACAGATGTGGTCAGAGGTGCGGATCGCGTGCGCTGTTCTCGACATACTCACCCTGTCCGTCGACCGTCATGCGAAGCGTGCCCAGCAGCTTGAAGACGACCGGTGGCTGGTGGATCTCCAGCATTGGCAGAATGGTCTGCACCAGGCCCGCCTGGATCACCGCGTTCTTGTTCGGCTTCGGGATGACCAGGTTGCGCAGCGCGGAGAGCAGGGCGTGCTGCAGACGCACGTCGTCCTTCACCCCGTTGTTCTTGGCCAGCACCTCGAGCAGCTTGTTCATGGTCTGCTGCTCCACAAAGTAGATGCAGTGGCTATCGGTGCGCGCAAAGTTGCCCAGGGCCAGCACGCCGGTGGTCAGCAGATCGATGTCCGACGAGTCCAGCCAGTCGACCATGTTCTTCAGCAGCGGTGTGGTGTACAGATAGGTCATCGATTCATCTGCAACAACCGAAAAAATCATCAGTTTCTGTTTTGAAGGTTTTAAACTAAGTGTAACTTTTACATGCTTTTTATTTTAACAAAAAACAACTTAGTAATATCGCATTCCTTGGTCCAACAACATACATATAAAGAAATGACTAATCAAATTAGGAATTCTAAAAAATAACTTAATACGCTATTAAAATATTTATCAATTTAATGGTTTTTGACTGCAATTAAATAATAGGGAATTTCTGGCAATTTCTATTTAAGTACATTAATTAAGTACATTGAGCAATAACCAATTTTCGTTTCAAATTTATTTCGTATTTGACCAAGAAATGGGTAATGTTTCTCATTACACTTACCACCCGTAAGAATCAAAACGATGAGCTCGCAGGCGAGCTTCATTAGCGCCCTGGCTTCACTTGTGCTGGCAAGGGTCTTGTACTTCTCCAGGAGGTTGTAGATGGTTTCGCACAGACCGTCCTTGGCCAGGATCAGCTTGACCTCGTCGCTCTCCGCCTGGTAGTGGAGCAGCTCCAGGCACATCTCGGCCAGGTCGGGGTTCGTGGAGGCGGCCAGGATGCGCGACAGCTTGATGTTCAAGGAGGAGTCGAAGTTCAGATCCGCCACGTTCTCGGTGAGAATGCTGAGCAGCGGGAGCGTGTTCAGCAGCAGGTCCTCGTGCTGTTCCACATTGGAGGCGCCGGTGTCAATGATGGCCTGCAGCTTCTTCATCACGCCCAGCTCCATGGCCCGCTTGGCCAGTCCCTCGCCGCCGAGCAGATAGTTGGACAGCAGGCCACCGCGCACCTTGATGAACTGCGCCGCGTTGGCCACGTCCTCGATGCTGCCGATGTCCAGCAGGCGCAGCAGCACGGCATCGCCCTCCAGCTCCAGGATGAGGTCCCTGGCCTCGTCGTTCAAGTAGCAGATGTTCCCCAGAGCCCGGCATATCTGTATGGGCAGCTCCATGCTGCCGTCGTGCGTCGGCACCTGGCGCAGGCACTCGAGGAAGGCGGATATGATAGCCCGCGTGGTGAACTTCTTGCGCTGCACCTCCGACTTGGTGATCTCCGCGATGCACTTGGCCGCCTCCTTGCGCACGTTCGTGTCCTCGCACTTGGTGAGCCCCAGGAAGCAGTCCGCCAGCTCGTGCTTGTCGAACAGCTTGGGGTCCTTGGTGGCCGAGATCTCGCAGAGAAGGTTCGTCGTGTTCGCCGGACTGACGCTGGTCGTCTTCAGCTTCTCAATTAGCTCGTCCATTTCAGCTAGGCGGAGCAAAGGAGAACGCAAATGGTTACTGGGTGTGAAATGTTTTAGCGAAATAGTTTAAAAATGCCAAAGTGAAAGATGAGTTCTTACTTAAATTCAAAAGGTTTTTCTTTTTTTCTAAAACCGTTTAGTAAAACAAATTTATTATATACTTGTTTATAACTTTTTAATTGTTTGCAAACAGCAGCTCACTATCAAAACGAAATGTAAATTCGCTTCTTCCAACGCTTTGTTCCTTTAACTAAATCAAAGGAATTCAAGTTTTACAACGAGCCAACTTTAACTTTACTTGACTTAATAAATGCTCGGTAATCATATTGTTTTATTTTCATGAGGTTTGAGTAGTTTAGTAAGTATGTATATTATTCGGAATTTATTTTTAGCACGGCAAACTGTTCCGTTTGAAGGAGCACGCACTGTCATTGTTGAGCACCGCAAAATTGATTGGCAATTTCGATTACCGTCGTTGGCTGGACGGAGTGAAGACAAATGGTCTCAAGGCGAGTTATGGGTAGGAGTCATGGAGTCATGGAAAAAGCGTTCTGCATTTACCGAATAGAAAGGCTTCATTTCTGTTTTTGCCTCTCTAGTTCGTTTGAGTTCCATTAGAATCTACTTTGCGGAAATGGCGAGGAGAATTTGTAAAGCGTGTTCCACATTAAAGGTTCATTTCGCCCCCAAACAGATGGCCAGGATTATAAAGGGACCCAAGATGGGCGTCAATTTGCATAAGTCCTGGCCAAAGGACATTTGAAGAAAAAACGGAAAAACAATCGGGATTTAATGTATTGTAATGATGGAAATTTAGGGCACTGCAAATGTGGGGACTGTGACAGGAGACTGGGGTTATTCATTGTTATTTTAAAGTAAAAAAATCAATGTACCTATTTAAAAAGCTTGAATTCATTTATAGATATGAAAATAAATTAATGGAAATAATTAAGACACACTTTTTTAATGCATACTTTGTTATATTTGTTGTTATTCTCCGTATTTATATACAAGTTCAATAGAATGTACACAATTATTTGGCTTAAACTCAAATTCAAATAGCGAGTTTTTTGTTTGAGGCCGAGACATAGAATCCCGCTTTATGGCCAACATTATCACAATATTATTATTTCAGTCAGTCCCTTTTTGCTGCCGAGCACACATGCTGGAAAACACATTCCGATAAGGCACTCCAGCAGGACTAAGGACTAAGGACGAAGGGCAAGGGCCAGACTCTGGCACTCGACAACTGGCGACAGTTGGTGGCAACGGCAACAGCAACAGCAGCAGCAGCAACAGCGACAGCGGGAACATTGAGTGGACTGGGGTGGGCAATTCAACAAACTTTGTGGAGCATAAATAATGAATAAGTGAAACAAAAAGCAAAAAGAGCCCTTCTGCCGGGCGGGCAGCCATCGCCATCATCATCCACATCATCAACGGCGGCAGGATCCTCGATTTGGCATAGAAACAGCAACAAAGGACACAGCAGCAGCAGTCGGAGCAACCTGCACAAGAGCAATAACAACAACACCAAACTAACTCGCAGACAAGTTGCACTCAGAAATGTAACCCCAGCTCTGATGAACACGAATAAAATTCCAGTGTATCGACTTTAATATACCTTAATGGTATTATTTGCGGCCATCTTAGACATTAAACTTGTGGGGCAGAACTTCATATCCACTTTCCTAATGTTCATATCTGTTGAAAATGTTACATCTTTATGTAAGTAGTTTCAAATTCGTAAAGTGTTTACTAAAAGGACACATCTCCTTCAATTTACGAGGGATAATTTAATGGGTAAAACTTAAAAGTATTTTTAATCAAGAAGTGAACAGGATGAAAAGTTTTAAATAGGTATAATTTACTGGACATTAGTTTCTAGTAATTCTATTATTACGCCCCGTTTTAATTTAATTTTAAATTTATCTTATTCGACCCTCAAAATGCATTTTAAGCAACACAATATACCCAGAGAACGTATGGGTGAATGGGATGCATCTGCATATTCAGGTATAGGGAAATTGTTGCATTTGTTTGTCCCGCCGCAGCTGACTGAATGCAATTGGACAGGTGGCAGAGTCGAGTCGAGTCGCCCATTGGAGTGACAGGTTGACGAGGGCGGGGGGATTTGGTCTTCTGGATGCGGGATGAGGGATGAGGGACGATGGACGATGGAGGGGGACAGGTGCAGTGGCTGTGGTAGCGTCACTTCCGTCTGACGGAGCTGGCAGGAGGTGGCCGAGCTCCTTTAATGCGTCTCGGTTGCTGCCTCACCGCCTTTTGCGTGCCTCCGAATGTTTGCTTTGGTAACTGGTACTCGTTGGTATTCAGAGTATGCCATTCGTCCATCCATCCATCCAACCATCCATCCATTCCGTTCGAGTTCCGTGGCAAGTTCGTTAGCTTTTCGTTGCGGAAGCGGCTACGTTCGAGGCATTTATTCGCTTGAATTTCTGGGGCAATTGCTTTATTTTATTTTCGTATTTTCCTTTTTTTGGTTTTTTTTTTGTTTTTGGTTGATGGTGGGGGACCTTTGCCCGCGTTTTATATCCAGTCCGTCGTGGTATTTTGTTTTCTCCATTAAACGAATCACTGACTTTGGCTACACACAAAACTAGTGCAAAACTTATTGTCGGTTGCATGTTTCATTCGTGTGCAATTTGCGATGTTGAAGTCGCTTAAAGTCAGTGTAATGTTGCTTTTTGGGCCTGTTGCCACCCAACGAATTTGGGAAATGTGGGTTAAGTGGGAAGCAGAGGCTTGGCACCAAAAGTGGGACCCATGGGAACCGTCTTGTTTAACGTAATGATTTTTTTAGTTGTATAACCAGGTGATGCAAGCCGCAGGTCATGAATATTGAATGAGTTTGCGGGCTATTCAAGTGTATACTATCACCTACGAGGTTAACTAAAAGTGACCGAGAGTTAGGTGAAATTTGTGTATTCATAACTTTAAATTAAGCATGAGAATGTTTCAACCCCAAGAGATTATAAAAAAAGAGTATTATTCAGCACTTAAACCAAGAAAGAACTGAAAGAAATCAAAGTCCGTAAAAACATATAATTAGACGTAAGTTAAAAAATGCCATTATCTTCAAAGGTACCTAATCTTATAACCCATTTTGAATGGGTTGACAGAGATTACCCTAATTAAACAACCTTAGACGTTTTTAAAAGGATTTCCTTTATTCTCCTCCTAAACTATTAGTATTAATATCACTATTAAAAGCATTAAAAAACTTGACACTCCTCCATTCTAGTCCTGCTGCAAGCGTGGCTCCTCCGAGGATCGGTTCTCCAGAAGCAGTGGACTGTGTCTCAACTTTCCCAGTTGGAGGAGGGCCTGGCAGGCGGGCGTTGGCATCTGGCTGGCTTGTTCAAACAGCTTCCGGTTGTTTCCCTGTCTCGCCCTCAAGAGCACTGTATCCCCTGGAAGAATAAACACATCTGTAGCCCGGGAATCTTTAAAGAGTTCTGGTCAAACTCACGCAAACTGCGCTCTTGCTTGCAATTCTGCTTGAGATCCGATATGTAAACCTGCTCGATTTCTATTTCCAGCTTGGCCAACTGCTGCTCTGTGTATTTCGCGAGCTCCGCTGGGTTTACATAGTATGCCACATGGTTCGTCTGACTGACGCGGCGAAAACTGTGGGTTCTAAAGGAAATGCGATCGGGATACAGTCACCTCAGCATCCGAGTGAGTCCGGAACTCACCTGGTTTGCTTGAAACTGTAGGCAGGTGCTGCAGCTATGTAGTGCATGGTGATGAAGAGGAATACCAGGGAGGCCACCACTCCGATCACGAGCTGCTCGGTTTGGTAGAGTGACTGCCGCTGTGGCATCCGTTGATTGGCCGCCTGATACGGCCTCCGATCAGCCTGCTCCTCCCCATAGACTCCGCTGCCACTCAGGTAGTCCTCGTAGTCCGAGCGGTTCTGCCCGTGGTGATCGCCCACTGACGTCGCTATGTTGTACTCGATCCGCTTCTGGCAGTCCGTGAGGCAGTCCGCCGCCTCGCTGATCCGCCGGAAGGCCTGCTCCGCTCCGGGAGCCCGGTTCTTGTCCGGATGGAGGCGCAGCGCCAGCTTGTGGTAGGCCCGCTTCACCTCCGAGTAGGTCGCGTGGTGCGAGACGCGCAGCACTTCGTAGTGGTTCTGGCAGCGCAGCACCTTCTGCACCACGTCCAGCATCTCGAGCGTGAATCCCTGAGGCAGTGCGTCCGACTGGCGGGTCGGGCCGTACATCCGCTGGGCCTCGCCCTTCAGGCGCAGTCTCACGAGGATGTTCTTCAGCTCCAGCAGGGCCATGATGTCCGCATGTTCCCGCAAGCTCTCCAGCTCCTCGTTGATCCGCAAGAGGGCCTGCTCGTAGTCTCCCAGGCAGAGGTCACTTAAGACCTGATCCACGCACAGTGTCCTCCGCTGATGGTCTCCCATTGTGGATCCTTCCGTTACTGGTTTCCGAGTCCCTCCTCCTCCTTCCCAGCAGCGTGGTAAGTAGACAAAAAGTATTCGGTTTCTTTGTTCGTTTGCAAACTTTTAATTTTGATTGGTTGATTTGGGGACAATTCTGGACAAGGCGACACTTAACGAGTTAGTGGGTTGTTCTAAGTGTCTTCGGGATTTCAGTGGTAGCCAAAAAACTTAGTCGAACATCAAAGGTTGTATGTAAATGTGTGCTGGGACCACTATATCCTTAAACACAAATTTAGTTTGATCTATTGTTAATGAATCTGAACAGTTGAGAAAAGTGAACTATAGTCGGGTTCCAATTTCACCACATAGAGTATATTCAAATTCAGTTAACCTTATACAAAGTTTATTTATTTGTGCTCAATCTTCAATGCAGATAAACTGAAAGTTCAACACAAGTTGTTTAGTTGAAGAGCCACTTGAAGTTGGTTGAAACGTTCTGTCGATGGGGGATTCCCCCAAAATGCCAACCCTCTTGTGGCCCCAAGAAGTATGCTTCACAACTTGTCATGGGGACATGTCCTCCTCGAAGAGACTCGAAAGTTAATTGAAATTAATTTCTATGCCAATTTGAATAGGGCACGAACTCAATTAAAACAGAGCTTGCCACCCCCACAAAATTTCCTCTATGCTCCGCCCTCCTCCAGCCATTTATTCTCAAGGCCATTAGGAGGGCCAAAATCTTATTAGCAGTAAAAAGAATAAAGCGAGCGAAAGGCAGGGTGAAGGCAATCACAAGTCAGCCAGCTCCATAGATGAGGCAAATGAAGCAACGACGCCAGAATACGCAAAAAGGAGGTGGAAAAGGGCAATAAATTCGTCGCTGGGCAAACTACAATAACAGCCAGCTAATCTGGGTAAGCTGCGTGGAACGAATGAAAAAAGCCCAAAATAATAATAATAACAATAAAGAGGCAGCAGCTACACAGCTCGTCGAGGGAAGCGGCCTGTTTTGGCAACTGATATCGGCCTTATCTGAATCAGAGCTTTGGGGTTGATGGAAGCCGCAGCCGCAAGGACGGCAGTCAAATTGTGCCAAAGACGGCGAGCGAAAGCGTCGACAAAATGCAGTCACAAAGGACCAATTAAAGTCCAAAGTGACTGAGCCACGGGGAAAACGTGGCAAAAACCTCGCAGCTGGGATCTGCACAGAGAAGAAATTTCAACGGAATTTCTTTGGGTAAAAGTTAGTTATCATGGCCTTGAAGTTTCTTAAATTTGTCTTTTAACCATCTGAGATATTTATTTGTATTTTAATGCTTATCGAAATGATGGATTTCTTTTATCCACCTTAATTATGACTGTTGGATTGATGAAAGAGGCAACAATTGATATTTAACCCTTAGTTTGTACACACATTATGGAAACAGTTTTAAACTTCCATTTCTTTGAGTGAGGATTGGGTCTCGCTACGCTGGGCGCAGCTGGTGGGTTTCGTGGGCAAGTGATGGATAAAGTGGTGTGGGGTTTGGGATGCACTGCCGTTCCTCAAAAGGGGGAAGTTTTAAGAGCCCGGATTGCCAGCACGTTCAAGTGTTGTTTGTTGTCGTTCTGCACAGGTTCTCCCTTTGGGAAAGGGTATACAAACAGTACAGTCCGTGAGCAGTTTGTGTTTATGTGTTTATTCAATGCAGTGACAGTTGAAAACTAAGAAGTTCAGAGACGTTGTTTACATTAAGCAATTCTCATCGGTGACTGACCTAAATATTGTATACATTTTTCATGTACATACCTATGGTTACATTTTGAAAACCTTAACAAACCTTATGAAGTATTAATTGAAATAGTATATATAATATATTTAAAGAAAGTAATTATTATCTGTTTTAAAAAAGTTAACCATTGGAAATACAATAACTAATAATCCTAATAAACTTAGCTAAAATTTGTTGGCCTATCAATTAAAAGCAAAGGGTATAAACACCCTATGTTTCAACTCTGAGCATTACTTCCATAATTTTCTTTCTGGACCATATTTATGGATTAATTCAGATTAAGTACGTCAGAAACAAACTATTGTTGTTTGTAGAAAATCATGTGATAAAATAGGACTTAAAACTTAAAATGTAAGCTGTTTAAAAACTCTTATTCTGTTTTGAACTTACATAAAATAGCTTTGAATACAAAATAAAATTGTTTATGTCATGTTAAAATGTCATTATGTCGACTGATTGTTTTTGTAATATCCGAATGATTCGTCATTTAATTGATGATAAAATAAAATACGATTTGTTTGCTGTGTATTATATGAGTTTGTTTGCTATGTCACCCCCCGGGGGATAAAACGAATTGTGAAGGGCTGGCCGTGGGGAGAGTGTTGAGACACGCCGGTGAACCTGGCACCTCGCAGGAGGCATATTCTCATTTATTAATGCGTCGACACTGCTGTTCCCAGTCGGCAAACTCCACTCCAAATCCTGCGGTGGAGTGGGTGGCTTGGGTGGATGGTTTGTGCAAAACGGTGGTGGCCAATGCCTCAGCCACACTTAAATCCCGCCAGAATTGCCGGGGCCATTAAAGGATAAAAAAGACCGGGATTTCTGATTGGGAAGTAGTTGGTGACCCCGTTGATAAAGGTGGGAATCTGCTGCTGTGCAGCCAACATTATGCCTAATCCTACGATCTGCCCACTGTTGAAGGGAGAAGGGTAAATATTGATTTTTCTCACATGTCTCCGGCAAACACACATCTCGTCTAGGGAGCCCCATAAACCCCTTCCCCCTTCCCTTTCCACCTTGTTCACTGAACAACTCCCCCCCAAGAATTTCAAGCACCTGGCAACGATTTTGAAGTCTTCGCAGCTCGTAAATGCTGCACTGCATCCATAAAATGTTGCACATAAGGAAATAGACACACACAATGACTCGCATGAGTTGCATTTGTTTATATTACGAAAACAAGAAACCCGAGTCTCTTGTTTGCGCTGGGTGCTGCTTTTAAAAGCGAAGAAATGCTCAAATATTACTCACTCGCCATGTTTGCCGCCTTTGTTGATTATTCCGCTGCTGTTTCTACCGCTCCAGTCACCGTTTTTTTGTGTTTTTGTTATTCTGCGGTCGCTTTTGTAGGCACGTTATATCACTTGTTAACTGGTTAACACTGCTGATGGGTTAATGGCTGCTGGTCGCAAGAACTGAACACATTTCACGGCTTTCCCGTCGCGTCTCCGTACAACTTCCGTAATTTCCGCACTTTCCGAATTTTCCGTCGCGTCCACACGTTCAACCGTACCAACAACTAAAATTCTAGTGTGGCCGCGACGGGTAAAGCGTACTTCAGGGATACTGAAAAATACCGAAACGCTCTATCGACCTTATCGTCAGATAAACAAAGTCTGGCAACGCTTTTTAAATTTTATGGCTTGTCTACACTAAAATATTCCTATAATCTTAAGGAATTTTGTTAGAATAAATAACTACATTCTTGATATTATATATTTATTAGCTTTTTTTTTTTAAAGATTTATTATAAAAGGATCTAAAATCCTGTTTCACTGATTCAGGCTTGACAAAACAAATTAAAGTGGGCAGGCAAGACCATATAAGAGCTAACAAATTTTTTTCAAGCATTATTAACACATATGTAAATACTATACTTTCTTTTAGGTGCATCAAAAGTGCCAATAATATTCGGCTATAAAAAATATTCGCCGTATGTGCAAAGAAGAGGTACCACGAAAAGATGTCTATAGATTGGACGGCTTTATATGATTACATTCATTAGAATGTTGAATAAATAAATGCGAAAACAAAGGAAATCAATACCTAAAAATATATACAAAGAATAGCAAAATAAGCTAGTTAGCTAGCTTAGCATCACAATCAAGAATAGGTGGCAACCCTATTCAGCACATCCCACACAAAATAAATTGTTTACCACAAAAAACCGTGCTGAAATTGAAAAAACCCGAGTGCAGCCCACCGCCGAGCATTTCAATTGACCCCAAAGGCGTTTGGCAAGAGTTTTCCGGAGTGGTGCATACTTGATTTTCCAAACATTACCAGAAGCACATCATTCCATTTGGGGAGCCCCTCCGAACGAACAGTCGCGATTGCCCGGTCGTCCACGAACGCTTATAAAATTGGCAAGATAACTAAGCAGAGCACAAAGATGCCGCCAGCATCAGCGGTGAACAATAGTAACGCAGCCGCCCAGGCGGCGAAGGCCGAAAGGGCGGAGAAGCTGCGCGGAGCACTAAAGGGCTTCATCGTGGCAGATCGTCAGCGGCGCCAGGAGGAGTTCGAGGCGCAGTGCGAGGAGCAGCGGCTGCGGCGGGAGCGCGAGGAGCTGGAGCGCCAGAACCAGGTGGCCCTGGACGACACACGAGGCCAGATCACCCGGCTGGACGAGCAGCTAGCAGACCTGCACAGCCAGAAGCACCAGCTCACCGTCCAGCTAAAGAAGGTGCTCAACGAGGATGAAACACGGAAGAAGCTGGCCAAGGAGAACGAGCTGTACGCAATCCAGCAGGCTGCGGCCTCCGTGGCCAGCGGCCCGGTCTTCCTGCCGCCCCTCCGCCTCCAGCACCAGCACCACCCACTGATGCAAAAGGTCTGGGATCAGATTCTGTGTCGCCCAGTTTCTAATACTCCTCTCCTTATTTTCCAATAGCCTCCGACCGGCGGACAACCCGGAAAGAGGGGAAGGAGTCCCTCGCCGCCTAGTCAGCAGCAGGCTTACTACAAGAGCGCCGCAAGCTACGCCCAGCAGAGTAAGCCAGCGAGAGGTCGAGGACGTGGTCCTCAGGGCCTCCAATACAGTGAACGCTTCATAAAGCAGGCAATCGAATGTCACTTGAACGTAGGCGTATTTTATTAGTGTTATCAGATTGGTTAGAGATGGTTTTAAGGACTAAATTTGTTGTAATCTTAAAATCTTGTTGGTCGATAAAATAAGTTCAATTTTCTATTTTCAAAAAATATAAATATTTATCCTGAATAAGAATGTTTTTCGGGCCAAGGCCAGAAATCATTAGAGTTGAGATTACCTTTTCTTATTTGTTATATTATGCAAGTAGAAGCCATTACGGATTATTTGCAATCAGCCGTATTTAAATATGACCTTGTTAAACTGCAGATTTCATTTCAAGCTATAACAATTCGTCTATAACTGAACTTGATTGACCAATGTCTAAGAAAAAGTATATATTTGCTCCTTGAAGCTTTCACTGTATTTGACTAACTGCTCGCTAACACCCCGCCCCGCTCATGAGAAACTCATTCGACTGCGCACACTAACCGCTAACAACACAGGCACACAACTTATGTTCATTTCGTTATTTGTTTACGATCGATTCGCAGAACACGATGACTACCGTCGTGCCGCGGACTATGCTAGATTATCATGGAACAGTAAGCACCTCACTCGCAATACCAAGCCCGAGATCCTCCGCCGGAACGCTCGCAGCCTAGATCCCCCAATGAACCCCCCGCTTTCCCTCTCTTCCAGAGACCACGGCGCAGTATCCGGGCACGGGCACGGTCTTCTACCAGACGGCCGCCGCTCCGCCGACGACGCAGCACCAGGCGGACGCCCGAATCCAGTCCATCTACAATTACAACCTTCCTCTGCGCCAGGCGTACCACGTGGACCTGCCCAGCGCCACGGTCAGCAAGCCGCCGGACTCGCAGTCGCCCAAGGCGCAGCCCATGCAGGTGCTCCACATCAACCTCGACCAGCCTGCCATCTCGCAGGCGGACCTGGTGGCCCAGGCCGGCGGCAGCATCTCGGTGAAGGCCGCCCAGCCGCAGGTGACCATGGAGAAGCTACCCGACCGCTACCACATTCAGGTGAAGCACGATGGCCAGCCGCCGAGCCTCGTCCCACCCCCGCCGCACCTGCTGTCGGAGGGCGTCATCTACAAGCCGCTGCTTAGCGAGCTCTCGCTGCATCCCAACGTGCTGCAGATAAGCAGCAGCCAGGTGGGTCTCCACTCAAAGCTGGCCACAGCAATGGCAATTAAGATGTTGTCGAGGTTGCCTTAAAAATCTATTCTAATACAATCTCAGGCGGCAACTTTTAAAAGGGATTCCAAGTCTAACGTATCAGAAATATTTTTAAATATGTTTACCAAGTCTGAGATAATGTACTCCCTAATTGCAGTGTGAGTTTATTTTCCAGAGTAATGTTTAATGTAAGAGAACAGATTTATAAGTGACAAAGTTATTAGTCTTTAAAGTTTAGAAATTTTTTAAGTTAAATGATGTATAACAATTTTTATCATTGACAAAACTTTAACACAAACTTAACATCTGGCCAGTTTCCTCCACAGAATCCTAAGACGGCGGGAAGCATCACACAGGGCTACGCCCCCGGTCGAGGTGGATCCGCCCACGAACAGCAGTTGGCCCGGCAACAATTGGCGATGCTTCCTGGTCAACCGGGGGCCCCGTCCGGATCCGTTTCCGGGTCCCCCCAGCCGCCTCCTGGCCAGCAATTGCACTACACACGCGGACTTTATTAGCCCCTGAAAAGGGTTTAGCTATGGAACTCACTCACTGATATACTTACGATTTTAAATGGACATTATACTGACTGCGCTACCCACGTGTAGTCGACACACGAAATAAAGCACACAACTATGGCGTCCCTATTTTCCAATCGATAACTCAAAACTATGATTTGATATTGTTTGGTATGCGCTGGTTGGCATGGGTATATTTAAATTGCTGTGGTTGGGGTGGTGGATTAAAATTACTTACCCGCAATCGATTTTAGCAGTCACCAGTTCCTTAGTTGCAACCTACTGTTCGCAGAGTAGTATAGTAAAAACGCTACATTTCAGAGAGTCGGTCAACATTTACAATATAATGTTAAATGTCTATTAAAATAAATACGCGTATAGTCACCACTAATCTTTAGAATGAAGATTATTTTCGCTATATAATATAGTCGTGGTTTTTTGTTAGATTTTTTAAAGTTTTAGCTAAATAGTTTTAAAACAGAGAGACTAATTCAAAAGGAAAAAACAGACGAACAAACCTACATGTCTACATATGTAGATCGATTCAGTTGATGCTTATCCAGAATATACATATATACATACATACATACATATATACTTTATGAGGTCTGTGGTGTCTTGACTGAAATAAATTGCAAGGTTATAATAACCTATTTGACATACCTTTCAAAATATCTAAAAGAATTCCACAACAAATTATTTGCCATGTTATTTTTACTGAAATTGGTTTTGTTTCACCATAAATCGCAGTTTTTTTTGGTTTATTCAGCTGTCAAACAATTTTACAGGCAGAATAAAAATTCCAAAAATGTTTCCGATTAAATCAAATTTTAATATCTGATTTTGATTTTTGTAAATTTGTGTTACCATTAAAAATATATATTCGAAATTTAAAAATAAAATTTTAAAATGTATACAGATTAGATTTAGATTACCTTTACATCTAAAAATTCCCAAACGTTCTCTTGATATTGGCAAACAAAGAAAAATGTTTACTAATGTTTAATCACACATTTTGTTTTAAGCTTGTTATTTTTTTTATGTGACAAAGCAAAATATATTCTGAAGAATTTGGTTTTATTGTTTTTGTAAAATGTTTAAAGACTTTATTATTTTGAGTGGGAGATGCTTATCATAAATTCTCCTCCTGGGGGATTCCACGAAATTTTCCCGCGTTATTAGTGCTACGCTAATTTGAGAAATTGCTCGAGTGTGACGCATTGTAGTTTTCCAAATCCCGACCGCTAGCTTTTCCTGGCCGATAATTGCCCTCCCCTTGAGAGATAATCTCACTTAAGTCATTCCCTACTTAACGGTAATTTGACATTTACAAAAAGACGCTCGCTGGAGAGGAAGCTAACCAGAAATGACAAACAAATGATTCATAATTGATTCTATTTTCTCGATAATTGGGAACGTTACACAGGGAAAAACAACGAAAAAATTTTGTGTGATTCATTCTGGAGAATTTTAATTGTAATGAAAAACATCCATGTATGTACTTATTTTAAAGCATGTTAAGGTCAGGGCCGGCGGAAGGCGTGGGTAGTACTACCCACCTGGAGCTTCTGAAGGTGGGTAATTACCCACCTGAAAAACAGAGATGAGAACCTTAAAGTGAGCTTAAAAACTCACGGAACATTTGAAACTTATTTTCAGTTATAAGTTAGTTAATAATGAAATCAGTTCAGAACAATATGTTAAATTTTATTGCTTGTTCTGATTGTTTCATTAAAATTATTTGTTACCAACCGGATGGTAAAAAATTATGTTCATTTTAAAAAATGTTCATATTGATATTGGTCTTATCGAGTTAGATATTTTTTTATGTGCTTGTCGCTGTGGAAATACATTTAAATACGGAACAACGTGAGGTTAATTGTGCGGAGCACACTTGTTAATTAGGAATGCCAGCGGGTGCGACAGTTGGCGTTCTTTTCTCCAAATCCAAAAATAAAATACACTATTCCAAGCCACGTTTTCATTGGATTACGTAAGTTGAAAACCAGTTTCTGCTGTTGTTGTTGGGGTTGCCTTGTTGTTGTCAGTGTGTCAAGGAAAAGTTACAGACAATTACAACGCCCTTCTGTCTGGTAATTAAAAACGGAAGCCATGTCCGAAGCCATACAAGTAGTGACTAGGTGGCTATTGAAACTTCCAGCCCGTTGGCCCAAACTGGTTGGCCCGGCTCAGTAGCACTTTCATGAAAAGTCCGCCCACGACAATCCAAAAACCGCAAAACACGTTCGCCAGCTGCATTGGAAATCGCATCGCAAGTTTTGTGGTTAAACGCTGCAGTCCAACTTGTATAACCTGGATAACAACAAAAATAATAGAATTTTTAATTTAGGCATCTAAGAAAATGGACAAGGAATAGATCAATATTAGGCAAAAAATATTTGGTAATTGGATAAGCACAAACAATCGAGTGGAAACGTGGATTTCGTAGTCTTTTAAACAGCATTCAAAAGATATTTTCTGAAACTTTTTATAAATACACATACAAAAACATACGAGTTTAAAGGATGTTTTATTTTCCGTCATAGTCAGTGGATGGGAAAACTATTTTACAATGTCGAAAAGCTAAACTCTTTATTAAAATAATGTAATATAAAATTATTGGCATCTGAAAAAACGTGTACATATACATACATTCAATTAGTATAGTATAGTATACTTAATTATTATTATTATTTGATATGTATGAATATGTAAACCTGTATGTATTACAAAATGTTACAGCACTTTTTAAGTTTTCCCAATCTCGATAGCTAGCAAAAAAACAATCAGCGACCGCAGCAAATTTGCATAAGTAAACAAAGGGCTCAGTCAGCTCGATTGGTAACAGAGAGGGGTAAACAAGTTGGCGCACTTACCATTGGAGGAAGGGGGATGGCGAAGCGTAACCAAAACAAATACTCGACGTGTATCAGTGTGAGTGCGAAGCAACAGGCGGTTGGGGCTGCCTTAATCGCTATAGCGTAGCTTTTGACCGATCTCGTCGTTCAGTTTGCATTGAAAACGACTCTCGAACGGTTGGTTCGTAAAGCGGAGCGCGCGTAAATTCATTCAACAAACAGAAAAACAAAGCGGAAAACTCAAGGTGTGTGTGTGGGTTTTGTTTTCAAACTGCGTGTGCTTGTGTGTGTGAGAGAGTGAGTTGAAGAGAAGGAGCTCAGCCAGTGTTGAAAAGTGGGGAAAGTGCGATCTTAGTAGCCACACTAGTTGTCCCGGTCGCACTTTAGCAAATGTCAAAGTCTGTTCAGTAGAAAGACAGTATTGTGGCTAAGAAAAGGCGAATCAGCGACAAAATTAGCCACTACGTATAGATTAGGCCAACAAAAATACATAACGAATCTCTGTGGTAAAGTGACATCAGCCAGTGAAAACATAAAACCCAGAACAAGAAACCCTAACCAGCGAACAATTTCCAGTTCTTCCAAATGGAGCCGGCCAAGGATTTTGTAAGGGCCAAGTACCAGGACTTATGTAACTTCCTGGAGCGGGACACGCGCGGCAGCGAGCTGGCCATCTACGGCACCTCGGCGCTGATGCTGGCCGTGGCCTATGTGAAGCGGAAGCCCGCCTACCTGGTGCGCCAGTTTAAGCAGCCCTCGCACATCCCGGAGCGCTTGATCAGCGAGCGCGTGATGCACACGGGCAGGATTGCGGGCGTGAAGCAGCAGGAGCAGGACACTCTGCTGATGATCCAGCACCGCCCTCTGATCCCGATCTTCACCAGCCGGCGGCGTCTGCTGCCCGTAAAGCTTCCCGGCGTGCGAGTGAATGCCAACGGGTACTCCTGGCTGCAGCAGTGCCTCGTCGGCCGCGAGGCCACCTTCCTGCCACTGAAGTCCGCCAAGGGGCAAGACTTTGTCGTTTGCCAGCTGTGCTTGGTCCACCCGCCCAAGGGCAACCAACTTCTGGACGTCTCGGAGACCCTGCTCAAGCTTCGCTTTGCTCGATTCGCCCAGGATGCCGCCGCCGCTGTGAAGAGGAACGGAAAGTACTACCAGCACCTGAAGAAGGTGGAGCGCTCCACCGCTGAGAAGGAAGCCTGGCTGTCCTGGGCCTCCGGCTATCCGTACATCTGGCGGCGCTACCACGAACTGAAACAGCGCTTGCTGCCCAAGGAGAAGCTGCTCCCGGAGCTAGTGCGCTGATCCAGATCTCCAAGATCCTGCCTTTTACTTAGCTGTAGGGTTAGCTTCCCACCTTTAACATAGTTGTAGGGCTAGCTACTCCCTACTTTCGCCAAATGTGCTTTTTTCACTAACTTGTGCTCTTTTTTTGTGCTTTTTTTTTTGTAAATTAGCTGTTTAAACAGAACCGAAATCCTTTTGCCAAGAAAACACTTAAGATGAAATACGCAAGACAGTCTTGAAAGTACATTAGTTATAGGACTAGCTAGCCACTAACCAAACGAAAAAACGACAATTGATGCCCTGGCGGTACGTGATCGAGTGCTAATTTCCACACCCAGTAAAGCCTCAGCGTTAGCATTTTTCTAAATGTTCAAAATAAACAAAATGTTTTTATCACGGATGACATCAGTGCGTGTGCCTGTGTGTGTACGTGTACGTGTGCGTGCAAGTTTTCCAAATAAAACGATTGAATACCTAACTTTTAAATTTGTATTTGACTTTTTCTATTCGATTCTTTTTCCGTTCCCCAAACCATCAGTTGCAGTTGTCCCTCCATCTCCACCAGTAATCTCGTAAAGAACTCAAGCACAATGAGCTGCGGAATCTCCATGGTTAAATATATACTATTTATATTCAATTTGCTCTGTTCGGTGAGTAGAATTAATTTATTGTAGATTATATCATTTCCCAGCGCCATTGGCCAAGCCCATTTCAGTTTTCTCAGCCTTATGCTTGCAATGATATCATAAGTGTGGTACGGTAAAAACGGGTTTTTCCTTAAAATGTGTATGTTTTTTGGACAGTTGTTTTGAGAGTCGAGGCCTACAAACTGGTTGAGAATGTTACTCTTAAATTCCGTAAAGGGGCTTGTTGAAAGCATTTAAACCATCGAATTTGTTATATCATCTTAATGAAATTTACCTTACCATTTCTAAATGAAAACTCATACAAAAATCAAATGAAATACTTTCCTTTTTCGGTTACGAATCGCTCTGTAAATGTAATATGGGGGCAGAGCTTGAGATCATCAGTATGCCAAACCTGTTATTGAATTTGGGCTACCATTGTGACGTAGTGGTTCCCAAAAATTCTGTATTAATTTGTGTATACTACGTGTTTTGTTTATTCGTTGGACTGCTGAAAACGAGTTTGGTTTGGTTAGGCTTAACAGAGTTCCCCACATCTTAACGCCAGAAACATGCATCCCATTAGTTGGCCAGCTCGAGGTTAACTGGTTTCAAAGAGCCAGCAACAAACAGTCGTTGAAACACCAGCCAGCAGTGGCGTTTTCGATATTGTTTTGCAACTTCTAACTAACTGCCCCAAAGTCGTTGCACCGCCGGGTGAAACTGTACTTCGGCTAACCAGTTTCAGGCCCAGATTTGCAGGTGTGATTGGACTGCGTCGGAGGCCCAGCATTTTTACCGTCACGCGACCGTGGATGTCATTCTCTACAGCGGGAAAAATTCTTAATTACATTTCCAAGTCAGAAACTAACAAATAAATAAAGGATAAATCAACACAAAACTATCATTAAATTGAAGGAATTCCTAACCCAAAATCTAAGCGCTCTTTAAATAATTTAAATGAGTTAGTCAACAAGTCACTGTTGACTATGTATTTCAGCAATTTATTGCGTTCTAGTAGACGAAAATTAGGTTGTTTTGACATGATGGCTATTATTAAAATTGCGATTCTAACTAAAAAACTGATTATACAACTAGTATGCGTTGTTTTTGTTGTCTGTAAAACACACTCCCACTTTGTCTAGCAGTGTTCAATGTAAAGTTACGTAATTTAATGGGAGGGGTGCACCCGAATATAGTTGACTTAATTAAATGTGAACTTGCTCCCATTGCGAGTCGAGCCAAAACTCGGAAACACAAATTTCTTCTACTCACGCAAATAACAAAAAATGGGGACGTAGACGGTACACTTGAACTCAATTCTTATGGATTGGTGGGGGCTGATTGACAGAGATGAAAATACCAGACAGTGGGTGGGTTTTTTTCATAATTAGACTTCTGTAACAGTTCTCTCTGTTCTGATCCCATCTGATCTGATCCAATGAACTTGTGAACCCATCTGCTTAGTCATTGCTCAATTTTGTTGGTTGTTAGTTTTATTAACGCATCTAATCTAGAAAATGCGGTCTGACGCAAGGTAATACAAAATCAAAGCCTAAGCAAATTTGTTTTTGATAGTTATCGTAGATTACTCGGAACTGTTATATTTAATCTAAATTAACGAAATCAAGCGAACAGATAGGAGATAAGGTTTTGATATGCATGGACATTACAGGTAAACAGCATAGCCTTTAATTATAATTTAATTTTACGGGTATTATATATATAATTCTACTATTGGTCAGATAATCGACTTAACCAAACCAAAGTTCATTTTTTATCTCTTTGTTTTTCTGCAGTGCATTGCACTTACTCTATGCTTTTAGAACAAAGTGGGATAAACTTTTAACGTTAAAAAGCTTTTAGTTCAAAATAAAAAGCTTCTGGTAATCCCAATAAACATTTTCTCAGTGAATCATGTCGTAACAAAATTTTGATTGGAAAGGATATATACTTATACCAAATTTTAGAACGGGTCAATTCTTGGAAATAACTTTTTCAAAAGAGCACTTACACTTAGAGCATTTTAAACATTTACATGATAAATTGGTAGACCTTTTTGAAGCACTCATTATATATTACTAATTAGGCAATCAGCCTTATATTTTCTATCTTAGGCTTTAAGTTCTATGACGCTAAGGCAACAACAAATTGTTAAGCTCAGATTTGTGAAATGGTATTTCTTTTTTAAACAGTAGGATCGAAAGGATTGTTTATTTAGAAAAAAACCAAAGGTATTGGGACTTGGCTAAATGGCTTAGAGTCGTTTACAAATTTGTAACATTTAAAATACTATTCTTTCAGATATGTGGCATCTTGCTAATCGTCTTTGGAGCTCTGCTGTTCAGCAAAGTCCACAACATCGATGATTTCGCGGATGCCCTGAAAACGCAGCAGGTGCCCGTGACTATGATTATCCTGGGCGCCGTTATCCTGCTGATCTCCTGGTTCGGCTGCTGCGGAGCCATTCGCGAGTCCTACTGCATGTCCATGACGGTAGATACCTTTAATTGCCTTAACGAACGAATGATTATGATATACTAATGATTTATCACCCATTGCAGTACTCGATTCTGCTGTTCGTCCTGATGATCGGCCAACTGGCCTTGGTCATCTACATGTGGGTGCAGAAGGACAAGTACTTGGAGATCATGGGCGGAGTGGTAGAGAAGGCCTGGGAAAACCGCACCCGTCGATCAGACTACATGGATGCCATTCAGATCAGCGTAAGTTCTCCCTAAATACTCAACCTTTTTGAAGGGGTTTTAATGCTCAACTCCTCTTTAATCCGATCAGATGCAATGCTGCGGACGCAGTGGCTACAATGACTACACCTTCCAGGGGAAATTCCCTCCCTCCTGCTGCAGTGACACCAACAACTGCACCACCGCGACGGTTTACAAGAACGGATGCAAGCACGCCTTCGTCGATTTCTGGGACAGGAACAGCGACATCATCAAGTACGCTGGCCTGGTCATCGCGGGCATTGAGGTAAGTTCTCCCACACTGAACAGGAGTTTCTTGGTTGGGAATATTCTAAGTTACCTCTAACTTAAAAGGCTAAATGTACATGAATTGTTTTTACCCGTAGGAATTAAATTTGGCACTCTATTTGCTAATAATTCCTCCCATTCAACTATATTTCTTATTGATGATGTTTGATTGTGAATGATACTTGATTGCGTATTTTCCTTTTGAATGATAATACGATTTGTCGTACAAGATCCATTTTTAATACAATACTCTTATGCATGACACACCAGGAATTCCATCCTATGTAGTTTGGCTACAAATATTTACAAAATGTTCAACCAATCTCCTGTAATTCTTTTCAGTTCGTGGGCTTTGTTTTTGCCTGCTGCCTGGCGAACAGCATCCGGAACTATCGACGCCGTGCGGACTACTAAGCGCTGGAAAAGCAGGCCTTTTACTAATTTTAATTGAAACCGAAAGTACGAATGATGTTGCCCAATTTTACGAATATATCACCTGATACAGATGGCCATTGAAATTTACATAATCTCAAGTTTTAGCAGCAAATCCCATATCGAATTCGAGCTGATCCCTTTTTTAAGATCGTTAGTTGAGAGCTGTATTGATTGTGCTAATATTTTTAACTGTACAAAATAATTTATACTCCTAGAGATTGCAATAAACTGAGAAATTTATTATATTCATCACTGCGTGCTTGCTGTTATGCGATGTTTAAAAAAATAGAAGCATTACTAAACTGTTTGATTGTGGGTTGGGGCATTAAAGTTGTTCGATAAGACTTTCCTAGTGAACCTGAAAGAAAAAACAGTTGCGCGAAGCAACAAACACAGAAATTGATTGCCGAACTTATCGATCATTGCTTTTATTGGCATATTTCCATAGAACTAACCTATCAAGTGTTTATATTTAGCTGGCTTAGTGGGACTAACATGCAATCTTATCTTCGACCATTGTTGTTTATCTGTTAAGGGAATCTGAGCACTTTCCAATGTCAAAGGGAAGTTCTCCTTCCCCAAAAACCCCAACAATTATCAAAATCTAAATCGGGGGCGTTAGAGCTACGGTTGGAGTGCCCTCAGGAAAAAGTTTATTACTCGATTGATAGAACATAAACCGATGCGATAAGATGGGGGACTCACGAGGAATCGGTGGCCAAGTAACGTAGTTTGTGAGTCAGAGAAAGAACCAAATTTTCCCATTGATAAGGCCAAGTTGTGAAAGGCAGGAAACTGCTGAAATGCTAAATGATTCATCTTAATAGAGAGCCAACGCCCCCCAGATTGAACTTTATGAATGTTAGATAATAATAATAATTACTGGCTGACCAACAAATGATTCATTCAGTTCAACAAGAACCTTGCGTAGATTACCGGGTTCGTACAACCCCAATGGTCTAGTAACTCCCTCGGTGCAAAGCGATCAACTGAATGATTTTTCAAGTACATAGGGAAGAGAGCCGACACTGGAAGTACATAGCGAACTTTATGGCTGAGATAAGAACTCTCCAGATAAGATGGCACTTCGAATTCGCTTTAATAGCCGGGTTCTGCCAGATGGCCAATTCAGTCTGACGAAAATCGTCGCTTCGAACGAACGGATTATCCAGCGAACCAACGACAAACCCGAAAACCCGGCACAATGAACTGTCTCTCCGCGATGTTCAAGTACCTGCTGTACTTGCTCAACCTGATCTTCGTGGCCGGTGGCATCCTGCTGATCGTGGTGGGCTCCATCATGCTCTCCACGATGGGCAACTTCACCAGCTTCGAGGGAGCCGTCAACACCCAGACGATCCCCATCACCATCATCGTGATCGGGTGCGTCACCTTCGTGGTGGCCTTCTTCGGATGCTGCGGCACCATTCGGGAGAACGCCTGCTGCACAACGATTGTGAGTCCTTGGATAGCCCACCCCTTCGATTTGGGATATTAATTCGCTTTCCCTTCCTTTGCCTCCTCAGTACGCCATCTGCATGCTGATTCTGTTCGGTCTCCAGCTGGCCCTCTCCATCTGGATCTTCGCGGCCAACGACAAGTTCCTGACCAGCATGGCCAAGGCGGTGGACACCGCCTGGAACGAGAATGATGCTGCCCAGGGCTATCCCATGGACACCCTCCAGTTGGCCGTAAGTTGATAGTCATTCAGTCAGGGAAACATTACCACAAGCTCTTGTTTGAGGTTACCACATTCATTTGAATCATTTGATAATAGAAATTTGCATTTCTTATATATCACAAAAGACTTTTAAATTTGATGTTAATGAACCCATTCCTCGTTGCAGTTCAAGTGCTGCGGCAACTCGGGATACGATCAGTACGGCGACAATGTGCCGGCTTCCTGCTGCGGCTACACGGATCGCAGCAGGTCCTGCGAGTTCGCCATTTACTCCCAGCGACCTGGCTGCAAGGAGGAGTTCGTGGACTTCTGGGCCTCCAACACGGACATCATTCGGTGGAGCAGTCTGATCATCGCCCTCTTCGAGCTGGGCATCTTCATCATGTCCTGCTGCCTGGCCAGCGCGATGAGGAAGCGCTAAGAGAATAGTCTGACCCGAATTCCTGGCTATAGCCAAGATCCTAGCATAAATTCAAGCCCCATTAGTTCATCACTCACCGTAAATAAACTGAAATAGGTTAAGCCAAATGAAATATTATTGCTTATTCGCTGTCTATCTTTGGCCACCGCCTATCTAATCTGGACAAGTTGATGTTTTTGCCGAAACTATGTCGCTATCAGTTAATAAGCTCACGGCCAGGTTTGTGAGATCAATTGCCCTCAGGAATGAATCAGCTCCATATGCCAACTGTTATCGATTCCCCACCATTGAAGCTCCACTATCTATCCTTCCTTGGGACATGATTACGATATCGGGCACCCGCGTATCTTTCCCATATCGCACGGCACCGTTGGCCAATTTAAAAACGGTAGCCCTTCTGGAAGACCAGTCCAATCGAACGACAGTAAACGACGCGAGAACGCGATAAAATCAAAGCAAATCACAACTCCCGTGCGATATAATTATTGGATTTATTCTCTTTTCTTCGCTAAGACCAAAAAAAGGATAGCAAAATGGGTTGTCTATCGGGAATAGTCAACTTTATTTTATATATTGTTAATATTGTGTTTTTGGTAAGTTTTCAAACAACAAACAAATTCGAAAAATTGTTAAACTAAATAAAATAAAAGCAATAAATATTTACATACACCGATTGAAAATTAAATATGGAATCAATTCAAGGATCAACATTTTGAAATATGGTGGATAATAACATTACATAACTTGTGTTCTGCATTTTAAAAGAGTATTTATTTATTCTAAAAATTAATTTTAAAGTATTAAAAACTATTAAATTCTGTAGACCTGAAAGTCTCCTGTGTTGACAAAAAAGGACCAACTTGTCGGGTTTAATTATTGCGAGGTGTTAATAAAACAGGATTTTCAAAATCTGCATAAAAACAATTGTATTTGTCGGTTTCTAAGTACACTAGTCTCTCAGTTTTAAAGCTATCTTGCTAAAACTTTCCCAAAAGTTGTGTAGTTATTGCACGCAGTATATAGGTAGGAACGGGCCGGATCGGCAGACTATATCGGGTAGCTCCAATATCGACTTAATTTCTTCCATATGTCGTTTTCTAACTACTATTGAATTTCGGATTAAATTTTATCAAAAGCGGACAACTCTATCATATACGTGCCATAGGAAAGATCGAAAAATCTATATAGAAATAACGGAAATAAAATGATCATCAGACAATGATGATTTTTGGAATATAGAGTTTTCTAATGACTCTTGAGTTTCAAATTAAATTTCATCAGAATCGGACGGCTTAATCATATAGCTGTCATACGAACAATAGTCGAAAATATGGAAAATTAAATGAAAAATCGTCATAGCTTCGATGTTGTTTAGCCATTATGTATTTTGATCGACATATTTAATGACTGCAAGGGTTTGCCGAAGCTAGCTTCCTTTCTTGTTTTTTATTATTTTAGAAAGATATCAAATCAGGTTTTTAGGTGTGTGAATAGAAAATGAATTCAAAGATTTACATTTTGGAGTATGATGACTTGGGTGCGAAATAAAATCAATATAATATAATAATCAAAAAATCTTGTGTTCCTAAAAGTTTTCCGTGCTGGAAACGAACATTCCTGTGGGTTTTCATTAAAGCAAGCTGTTTGTAAACCTTTTTCAAAAAATCTGAAAAAATCTAAACATTTATTCTAATAACACTGTTTTTTGAAAAAATATTCTCATAAATACATTACAAATGTCAGGAAGCGAATTCACACTAATATTTCTATGAAAAAAACATTTTGAAATTACGCATCGGTCGCTTCCATTTCAATTTGCCATTTGTCACAAGTCTTATCACTATTATTCATTAGAATGTACTGGCAAAGTAAAATATACTATCAAAAATTGTAAAGCCTGCGGGCATACACGAATTTTATCAGCTAATTGACATTATCTGAATTCTGTAATATAAGTAATGAGTCCAAAGACCACACTTCCGTGGAAAATCATATAAATATGTCCCTAAGGCCAAGGGATTTTTTTTGGAAAAATCAAATGCGCAACAAAAAATAAATCAATAAAGCTTTTAATGAAACTTAGTTATTAATATTTTTACAATACACAAAATACACAAAATATTCAATACTGTATGAATTCGAAATATACCACGAAATTAACAATTGAATGTTCTCGAGAAGAAGGAGTTTAAAATCCCTATATCCTTTCATAGTACCTATACAAGAAGAAGCAATTTCGTACAACTCAACTGAAATATCTACTATCTTTATCCAGATCGTTGGCATCCTTCTGATCGTGCTGGGCTCGATCATGTTGTCCGATCTTAGCCACTTCGATGCCGCGGGAGATGGAACGAACACCAACACCATTCCCATCTGCATCACCGTTCTGGGAGGCCTGATCTTCGTGGTGTCCTTCTTCGGCTGCTATGGAATCTTCAGGCAGAGTGCCTGCATGACTGGAGCGGTAACTAACCATTGTAGCTAAGCCTGGAAACCCCAAACTAATAGCCTTGACTTCGCAGTACACCAGTATGGTGTTCGTACTGTTCATCCTGCAACTGGTGCTCACCTGTTGGGTGTTCGTGAACCGAACGGCGTTCCTGGGGGACATGAGCAACCTGGTGAACATGCTCTGGCGCTCCCAGGACTTCGGTGCCATGGGCGTCCTGGAGGAGACCTTCGGCTGCTGCGGCGACACCAGCTACACCAACTACCTCAACCTCAACCTGTCGGTTCCCGGAACCTGCTGCGGCTACTTGAACCGCCAGACGACCTGCCCTTCGCCCTCGGTATACGAATCGAGACCTGGCTGCAGCCAGAAGTTCGTGGAGTTCTGGAACGACAACATGGACATCATTCGCTGGTCGGGCTTGGGTCTCTGCATCTTCGACCTGATCGTCTTCCTGATCGCCGGAGCCCTCACAAACTGTATGCGCAACCAGAACGCCGGACGACAGGTTTATGCCTAGATTCTGTACGAATTTGACCATGATAAACAATAATATTTATTAATAAAACATTTTACCAATTACATAAAATAAACCTAATTCTTAAAACCGACAAATCTTAAATTCATTCATACTCTTCTATCGCTTTCGTAGTATTAATAGCTTCCATGCTTCCACTTTGAATAGGGAACTTTAAAATAATGGGATTTTCGATTTACTTTAAATCTTTAAGACAGGGATTAAGCTTGGAGCAGTATATCATATTACAAAATATAATTATTTAGTTTTCGGCAAGCCGAAGCTTTTATATCCTTGCAGTCATTAAATATGTCGAACAAAAAAAGGGCTTATGATATAGTCGTCCGATTTTGATGAAATTTAATTTGTAATTCAAGGGTCGTTAGAAAACTCTATATTCCAGAAATCTGCTTGGAATATGCTTGTTTGATAAAAAACACGATTTTATCGTTGGGATCGTTGCCCAACCGACATAGTGCTGACACTACAACAGGATGCGCAAGACCACTCGAAATCGTTGAACCACTAACGTTATGCAGACATTGCAACAGGATAGCCCAACCCATCGCCACAGAAAGTTGACACGACCAGCCACTTCAACAGAGTTATGCATAAACACTTTTATTTCACTTTGTATTAATGTATAAGCATTTATGTACTAGTATATAAGAATGTACTCGACAGCGGCGGCTTGTTGGCCACCGCTGAACAATATACGATTGAGTCTAGAAAATCAACTCAAGGGATAAAGTCTTATTTTCAAACGTTCTATAGAATTATAATTTTGGAAATACCAACTATTATTTCGGGCGTCCCGAATCCTAGCAGTTACCACAATTCTACTTGGACCCGTAGGCGGATACTATAACTTGCGCTGCCGATCTACGAACCAGGATGGATCTTATTATCTTAGTAACACTGTAAGCACATACACGTACACAACTAAGGTGAAGTTATCTTGTAAATTAAAATGATTAAAAAATGCCAAGTGTTAAAACTGTGAAAAATCAACAATAAAATACGACATGGGAAACAAAATAAAGTTAAAAAAAAAGAGAAGGAGAAAAATCTCAAGATTTTACAATCTGACCCGTTCACAATTTTTTTTATGTGAATCATAAAACTTAAAAACAAGAAATATATATACTATAATAAAAGATATATGTATAATAAGTTCACTTTAATTTCGATGAATACACTGAAATAATCGGCAATCGGCAGAACATTTGCTTTTGTCAAACTGATTAAAATTTAAAATAATTATAAAATAATAGAATTACAATAGAAAGATATGTGAAAAATGAATTGTCAAAAATATATATTACTTGTTGTGTCTGTTTAAAAAAAAAGAAGAATGAGTAAAAAGTAAAATGATACACATTTTAAGAATAAAAATTTATCAGTGTGAATGAAATACATAGCTCTAAAATCCCATCGCGAGTTTAGCCGGTTTCATGTCTGGATAATATATATTTTTGTTTTTCTCTCAAAAAGAAAAGAGAAAAGAAAAGAAAAGAAGAGAAAAGAAAATACTAATTGTATGAAACAATAGAAGTGTTCCACTTTTTCACGAAACAATCCTTACAATCCCATGGCGTGTTTTGAAAAGGGTGTTCAGCAACAAGAAATTCAAGCGAATTTCATGGAAAGCTGGTTTCAGTTGGCACTTGAGTTCTTCATATACAAACTTTAAACAAAAATCTTCTATTACAAATAACCTTATACGATTATACATCAGTTGAGATTCTATTTCAAACCAAAACAAAGTAGACAAATATAAATTTATTATCCACAGGTAATTTCACAAAAGTAAAACTCCTGAGGGACCACACTACTACACAAGCCACGCGCCAACACAAAATTACGACACATAAGTACAATATACATTTTAATTTTAAGATTTATATTATCATAACAATACTATAGAACAAACTTGTTTCTTCCTACGTAAAAAATAAATTAATTTAATGCCTAATATTTCGAAAGAGAGAGAAGAGGTTGTAAAAAAACAAACCGAAAGCGAACAAATCTCTCAAGCAAATTCTCTGTCCTTAAGACCTATAATTACCCCTTCACATCCGACCATGAATTCTAGGACCAATTCCTCACCTTCTCACCCCAACAACGCGGTTGTCAATCCTGCCGAATTGTTCTCTTCAATGAGGATTCCGGATCCAATCCGTTTCTTACCTCCGTATTCAGGGGACCCGTTCACTCTGAACGAGTTCATCACTAATGTAGAAGAGATAATATTAATGATCAGAGGCACGGACCAAACACCGTATGGCCGAATGTTACTTAGAGCAATCAGGCAAAAGATAGAAGGAAAGGCGAACGCGGTAGTTATTGCGTCAGGAGCCGGACTTATTTGGGACGAGATTAGGGACGCCTTAATCAGACACTGTAGGGATAGAAGAGACGAAGAAACATTAATGACGGAGTTATATAATTTAAGACGAAAACAGTTGTCTTTGCAAAGATCTTATGACCAAATCTCTAAAATCAAATTAGCACTGTTCACAATAATCCAAACCGAAGAAACTGAACCAGTGGCAATTAGAGTCAGACAAAAAATTGTATCTCAAACTTGCTTGACGACATTCCTTGCGGGACTGAGGGGAAATCTAGGCGCCAAAGTCCGAGCCTTCAGACCGGCAGGGCTAGAGGAAGCCTACGAAAGAGCAATTAAAGAACGAAATTTGTATTTTACTGAAAAAGCCACACAGTTGGCACAAAATAAGCAACCAAGCAGGCGAGCCGACCGTTTCAGGACAAACCAAAGCCAATATCAAAACAGAGGGTATAACCAGTATCAAGACAGAGACTATAATAGATACCACATATTTTCAATAGACAGATCAATTATAACACAGAACACGACTACCTACAAAAACGAACGAAAGAAAAAATTAATTAAAGAATTAAAAAATTAAATGAACACAGAACCCAACCAACCTCAGTTAATCCAGACGATATAATATACATGAAAGGAAACTGAAGAAATCAAATAACCCCTCCTTTCTCAAAACACAGAGTTTTAAAGGACAACAAAATTACACTAATTTCAACAAGAACCCAAAAATTACATAAAGCCAAAATCAAAAATAAAATTAAAACGAACCCAATACCCATTGGTCTTACAGATTCACGCTTATCGCAGACCAAGACTTTAAAGACCAACAATTAGGAAACGACACCCCTTTGCTTAAGATAAATTTAGGTCAAGAGAAGATCGTACAATCATATAAATATCTCACACACATAATTAACTTGCAAGACTTTTTAGATATTGTGGTAAATTTCGAAAGAGCAATTAATAAGGGAAATGATAACGTAACTTCAACCACTAAAAAAACAGAGTAGAAATGTTGTTACCCAAGAAAAGACAGAGACGTGGACTATTAAGGTAGGGACAGGGAACTTAGACGAATAAATAATTAAAAACAACTACAGAAAATCAAAAAGAAATAACATTGAAGACTAACATGCAGGAAGTATTTAATAATGATATTCAGGGCAGATTTCAGAATATTACAGAACACATCAACAAGGAACAACAGATAATTAACCTCTTCTTGAAGAACTCCAAAAGGCTATTTTTAAAACTATAATATAAATTCGGAACACCAAATATAACATACAATTCAATATATATCTAGAATTAATATGAATATAGATGTATTATAAAACTATTTAAGTAATATCGAAGAAAGTTTGTTATTAGCCAAATTAAAAATCGTACCAACCTTCATTGTATCCGAACAAGAATTAACTAGACAAGAAATAAACGATTCAGATCTACTTAATTTGTCAGACGAACACATATTCGAAATATTAAAACTAGACACATTTCTGATCGGAACTAAGATAAATTTTAGAATAAGGATATCTACTTTTAAACAAGACATTATTAGACATTATTCCTTTACCCATAAACGAACCTAAATTCATAATATAACCTAATTATATGGCATATCTTAATTCGAAAGAAGTATACTATTTCACGAACAAATGTAATAGAGCAGTATTTCCCTAATTTTTGGTGGGTACTAATTGCCATATAGATCTTGAAATTTTGTGTGTAGATGGGTCGCGGTCCCGACAAGTTTGGGAAACACTGTAATAGAGTTTACAAATATTTCATATGTGAAAATTCGATTTAAACCCAAGATAACGTTAATACTGAATGTTTAGCTAGTATACTCTCGTTAAACACTACCAAATGTAAAGTCAGAGACACAGCACACATATTAATTTTAAACACAATTAACACTACCATCGAATCTAATTGTACTTTCAATAATTGTGAGGGATACATTAACCAAATTCCCTACGATAAAGATATGTGAAAATTCGAAGAAAAAATAGAAGCTACCATCCCTATCATTCAAAATATCAACTTTACTGAAAACATTTATGACATTAACTTACACAAAATGAATCTAAGATAAATCAACGCTACCAACTCAATTATCTACTGGAAAAAGTTTACAACTACTAATTTTAGAGCTATATATTTAATACTATTAGTTGGAATTTAGCAACACTTCTTTTGATCAGCACAAAGAGAAAAATTGTATTCGCTACTATACCGGATCCGAGTTTCGGGACATCCACTCCTTCGTTATGGCCATCACTTCAATCCAGGAGGGGAGGAGTTACCGACCAGTCGGAAGGCAACGAGCCTGTGGCCAAACCACCCAGAGCTGCCCTAGGAATGGTACACTGACTAGTGGCCACACATATACACTTATGTATGCAACTATGTTGCAATCTATAAACATAGCCCAAGTCAGTCAACGACCCACTGGAATCGTTGCCCAACCCATGTAATGCTGACACTGCAACAGGATGCCCAAAACCACTCGAAATCGTTGAACCACTTCGCCACAGAAAGTTGACACGATCAGCCACTTCAACAGAGTTATGCATAAACACTTTTATTTCACTTTGTATTAATGTATAAGCATTTATGTACTAGTATATAAGAATGTACTCAATATACGAATGAGTCTAGAAAATAAACTCAAAGGCTAAAGTCTTATTTTCAAACATTCTTAAGAATTATAATTTCGGAAATACCAAATATTATTTTGGGCGACCCGAATCCTAGCAGTTACCACAATTCCACTTGGACCCCTAGGCGGATACTATAACTCGCGCACACGGATGCAAATTAAATTTTATCTTGTTGGTGAATTTAAAAAAATATATTTTATTTTTTATATATACTTATTTCGGTGATAAACCTTTTATCTTTTAATACAGTTTCACACAAGACACTTTCTTAACAGAGATAACTGATCGCGATGCCGATCTGAACAGGACTGCTGCTTAAATTTTAAATCGGCTCCAATAAACCTCGGCCAGGTGCTTTTCTTCTTTGAGTTTTTCGAACTCCAATTTTTGTTTAGAATAAAAGCTTAAGGTGAAACTGTCGCATCTTATTGTGAAATTCAATTATGCTGACCGATGCAATTTGGTGGGGACTTGAAACTCAAACGGCGCAATTGATTGCGCTTCAAACGGAAGCTGATGTTTACTTTAGATTTGATTTGTTTAGCTTAGCTGGGGAACTAAGATCGGGCCTCAAAGCCAAAGACAACAGGAATGCAGAGTTTGAAAATATTTTTTATAAAAGCCGTAAGTGGCCTGGTTTCATGGTTGGATAACTTGCACGCACATAGCTGAGCTTAAATTAAAGACCTGCTATCGTATTCTCAGGTTGCGTAGTGTGCTTTTGGGCGCACGTTTAAATATTTGCGCAAGACTTGTTATTGCGTAAGGTTTAAATAATCCTTTTTACTATTTGATTATTTTTGATTTAATTCCGTAACAGCAGCATTTAAGAGATCGTAAATATTTACTGTTTAATTGTTCTGAAACTTGTTCCTAACGAAATAAGCTAGCACATATGTACACTTTAAAATATTTAACAGCAGACATAGCTTTATAAGCAAAGAAAAGGCTACATTTTTACGACTAATTGCAGTGGACTACAAAAATAGCTGCACTGAAAGATTTCAAACTGAGCATTGATAAATTGCTCAAAAGTGACTTTATAAATCCTCCCATTTTACTTTGATTTTCATATAAGGTAATTGACACTTTGATCGAAATGTTTTCAGTTCCACTGTTTGAATTTCTAGTTTATGACAACGTTATTAAGATGCTCTGGTCCTTCTGGTCCTTGTAATGTGGCTGTTGTTACTTACGCTCGTTTTGCCTTTAAGTGAGAGCGTGAGAGAGTGAGAGCTGTCAGAGTTGTTGGAGCTGAAAGGGATTTTCATCTTGGGTTGATAACCCACTGGAAATTTCCAGTAAAAAAATGTTAAAAAATATCGACGCATTTCCGCGACTGTATCGTATGTAGAAAAATCAAATTTTACAGGCGAAGCTTTTTCTTTGTTTTTGTATTTCGGTATTTTTGTGCGATTGCAGTATTTCCATGCAAATTTGTATGGACATACGATAATTTCGCCCGCACATTGTAACATACGATAAAATTGAAACTTAATTTTTATCGGAACTATAGGGCTTTCAGTTATAATATTTCACAGGGTAGTAGGTCATTAGGTGCCTAACAATTTTGCATTAAAATCTCAATTTCGAAAAAAAGCGACATACGATACAGTCGCGGAAATGCGTCGATATGTACTTATGTACAATGCTATTTACGTGTGGTTTGATTGGTGCAATAAGCCTGTAGTTTCTGAGATCTTTTAACTATTTTACGATGATACTTTCTAGTATACATAATTGTGTATTCACATAAGTATAACCCTGTAAGGACGGCGAGTTTTTAAATTCAGATGCCCATTGACATTGCCTAACATAGTAAAGTGCACTTGACGATAGCGTTTGTTTTATATAAACATTTTATTTATTTACCATCGGAATTGCTGAATTCTGTGGCCACTTTTTCCATAAGTTAAAAGGTACTGGCGCTTGGTTCAAGGCAAGGTAATTTCCTTCCGATGGTTAATTAAGCCTTCAGGCAGCAGCGGTATGCATTTGTGTTAAAACACGTGGTAATTGTTTTCGGCGGATCAACCTTTAAATTCCACTGATTGCACCAATCTGCAAGATAATCGAGATGTCCCTGTACATAATACTCTTAAACTCCTAAATGGAACTACCATATCTTGACAGTGAAAGCGGATATATCGCACAATTAATAGAGCAGTGGTCCCACAAAACTGCTTTGAATAACTCCTTTTCTAATAAGGTAATTTGTAACTTGAACTTGTATTCTTATTAGGATTTATTGGTACCTACAAAAGCTGGCTGCATATTCAAGAATTTATGTACAGCTAGCTAATAACATTTCTAAAACGTAATTAACTCAAAAAAAAATATTGGTTTGTTTCATATCTTTATTTGTTATTGATTCCTTCACTTTTACTTTGTTAAAGGCCTTGGAGATAATCTTAAACTAGATTAATCAGTGGCGAATGCAGGATGTATGCAGCTCCTGGCAAACATTTCTGCAGCATACTTTCCAGCACCATATTTAAATCACTTTTGCACCCAAGTGAAAGGCTGAAGACCCGACTATCCACTGAGATTAACGGAGGCTCCAACGCTTAGTAGTTCTGTCGCCTCTGGGAGTTGCGGGTCTGGTTGGCCAGGCAGCAAGCGAAAATAAAGGCCACGAGCTAGGAGATATTTCAATGGTAAGGATGGCTGTTTGAGTTTGAAAAGTTCTGAGTTGCAAATACCTCCACAGCGGTCACGCCCAGTCCAGCGTACTTGATGATGTTAACGTTGGTGTCCCAGAACGAGTCGACCGCCTTCAGGCAACTGGATCGCGTCATAACTTGGCTGATGGCGCAAGTTCCGTTGGAGGGGGAGTCGCAGCAGGAGGCGGGATAGGTAAGGCCGTAATCAGCGAAGCCATTCAGACCGCAGCACTTGAACTGGAATAGGAAAAACATGCACACAGTTATTACATCTCAGATTCAGAAGGGGATTTCTATAATATTATATAGTATGATACTTACGGATCTCTGCAGAGTGTCCATGAGAAGAGCGTCTGTCTTGCGCTGCTCCCAAATGGTCTGCACAATCTTCTCCAGGGACTGCTGGATCTGCACATGGTCCACCCACACGTAGATTATCAAAGCCAGCTGGCTGATCAGCAGCACCATCATGATGGCGGAGTACTGAAACAAAGGGTAAAGTAAGTCCAAGGGATTCTGATTCGAGGAGGAGTCATTGGGAGTCAACCCACCGTGGACAGGGCACAGGCATTCTCGCGAATGGCTCCGCAGCAGCCCATGAAGGCCACCAGGAAGATGAGGCAGCCGAGGACCAGGATGATGATGGCCACGCTGTTGGCCGTGAAGGTCTCGCCGACGTTCGAGAAGTCCTTTATGGTGGACACCATAATGGAGCCGAACGTGATGAGCAAAATGCCGCATATCTACAATTGGAAACCAGGAATTAGCTATGTTAGTCAATGTCTCTGATAGCAGTGGTGGTGATTCAGGCCCATTGAGTAACAACCTCCCCCGCCCAGGTTTTACTGTCGATCGCTGCGGGAACTTCACATGAGAAAAAGCTCACTTTTAATATGGGATTTAATTGTGTGTACTATGTACATATATAGATTACTGACAAACGCATACCGCAAAAAAATTCTGTTCTTTATTTTAGAGACCACAACGATTATAATATTTTAAATTATAAAACTACATTGAGGTGTTATTGTAAATTGTCCTGATTTATTTTACTTACTCTAAGCTAATTATTTAGAATTTTTCAGGAATCAAAGGAGTCATTTCTGGGTTTAATTACATTTAGAAAATTTAATCACAACATCCTAGATCTTGTGGATCCCCCTCTGAATACTGTATGCGATCGTATTACTCATGCCGTTATCTTTTTCGAGTACAGTGTGTTTTCCGACAACTGTTTCACCTCATTAGCCGTAATTACGGTCGGCACTGGCATGCGATGATTTATTTAAAGAACGCAACGCTTTTTAACCATTTCTTCCCATTGTACCCCCTTGTATACCGTTGTTTTTTTTTTGATAAGATAACTTTCAATAGAAGTATGTATCGGGAGGTACACGCAAAAATTTTAAGCTTGAAGAGTTTATTTGTCATTTGCAGATAAGATATTGCCTTCTCCACAACTAACAACTGACTAATTGTGATCTTTGTATCTATTGGGAAATTATTCTTACCACAAACAGTATATTGAAAATAAATAGCACATATTTCACAAACACTCCGCCACAATCCATTGCACAAACTTTTTTTAACTCCAGTCGGGTTCAAAATGAAAACTGTATTATTCGATGGGTATTGTTTCGTTGTTAGGTCGTAACTAAAAAAGTTCACTGCATGGCAATTACTTATTACTGGATTCACTATCGCGGAAAGCTTTGACAAGCTGAAATTTCTGTGGCACCCGGTGATAACAGGGGTTTTTTTTGTACTTTTAAGCCGAAAAGTATGTTATATTATATGAGTTGCATTGGTGCCCATTTAAGGAAGCCGAATTTAGGTTAATTTTAAAGTTCTAAAATTGCTGTTCTTAATTAATTTTGATCTTGAATTAGCTTTTCTTGGAATTTACATTCTGCAAAGCAATTCAGATACGTCATATGCTTTAGAGCTAATAAATATTTTTGAAGTCTTTTCCTTAACGGACCATTGTGGCAAGATTTGTAATTCAATTCAAGTCAATTAAAAGGTTACATAAGTTTTGTATAAATAAAGTACTTTCGTTCAAGAAAAACGACTTTCGAATATTTTTTGTCGTATGCAGGTAAAAGACAAAATTCGTCTGAAGTTTAAAAAATAAATTGTAAGGAACCAGAACCATTGTAAAGTTAATGTCGGCAGCTACAGAAGTTAAAGATTTGTGAATGAATTTATAATTATAAATGTGGTTTATCTATTGCAAGAGGCAAAAATGTTTATGTTATATATATTTATCTATACTTATTACTTTATGTTTGTAGTTAACATAAAAAAAAGGTTCCTTTTCATTACATCTTTTATTTAAAATATTCTACATGTTAAAAGATGTTGGGTGTCAAAGCAATGTATTAAGCCATTCGTTTTATCAAAGTTAGATTCCATGGTTTCCGTACACGCTTGTTAAAGTTGGCTTTTTTAGGATTTTTGGAATCTTAAAGGTTCGCAGACGGCATATAAGACAGCTCCCGACACGGTCACACTGATTAAAAAAAAGTTGCTCGACTTGAACGGACGCGCATTTCGGTGGAATTTAATTTGGAAATAATTTAGAGACGAAGGTAATGATGCGTGTTTAAATTAATTAAAAATAGTGCGATTCTCGGAATTTGATTAAGCGAAGTGTCAGCGGAAATTGGTAGACGTTTTTTATATTTTCTTTGATCTATCGGCGGGATTAAAACATTCAGATGCTGAACGCTGAATAAGTGGTTGCAAAAAAAAGGACACGAAAACAAAAGACTGCGTAGTACGACAGAAAATGTGTGAAAAGCGGAAGAAAATTGTACGAAATTACGAGAACAATGCCGGTTTCTTCTTCTTCTCCTTGTCTGAGTGCAGTGAACTTTTCTTATTTTCCACTTGAATCTTCGAGCCCCATTGACTCCCCATCTTCGCTGTTGTTGCTGTTGTGGAAAAGTTGCATTCTGTGTGCGCCTTTTGTGTTTTCATTCGCCTTTGTTGTTGCCCGGGCAACGAATTCCGAAGGACGCCAAAGAAAGCGGCGCGATAATGGATGCTTTAATAAATCCTTATCGTAATTGGCTGTTTAAATAGTCTCCCTGATTTATCTCGCGTTACCAAGCATTGCATATGTATATTTCCGGATGTTTGTTTATTTGACAATTAAAGAGTTAATTCTGTGAAATTGCTTAATTTGTAAACCCGTTTTAGCTCAGTTAATTAATTTTCGCTCTTTCCGTTTCCACTAATTCCAGACGGTACAGTAAAAACTCATCAACATGGACTGCGGCACATCTCTGGTCAAATACATCCTCTTCATATTCAACACCATTGTGTCGGTGAGTATAAAGCCAAAAAGTTTGAACATCTAGTTAATAGCCATCGAAAATGAAACTGAATCCGATATAAAACCGGTACGAAAGAGTTGCGTGAAAGCCAAATTGGGACACGACTGTTACGAAAGTGCTGTTGAAATACGAGTCTATAAACCCAGTCGAATGGCATATGCAACGTGCATACTGAGTTGTGGGGTCCCCCGATAAATCCACTTAAATAATAACCGCCGGTAATTTCAGACGCCCCTGAGAACTCGTGCTTTTCTGTTGTTTGCCTTTTGCTCGAGAGTCGGTATTGAACTTCGGTGATGTCATCGCCGCTGCTTCCATTCAGCTTCCATTTCAGCAACTGGATTTTTTGCTTTTGAGGCGATTCCCCGATACCGCGAAGTTTACCCTTATTTTGCTTGCCTCAGACAAGAGGAATTCGCAAATTGCTGTTGCCTTAAGCCCAATGGTTCTGTGAATTCTGCAAAGATTTTCATATACTCAGAATAAGATTATATTTCCTCTTAGCATTATAGATGAAAAAACATCGTTTACAATTTTGTTATTGTAATTAACGTCATAAAAAAAATTCTTTTTAAAAGGTGTGTGGAAATTTGAGAAGATGATTTATTTAAAATGATGATTTGCGTTTATCTGGATGTGAAAAATCATAGCTTATATTTTTCAAGCTTGTGTAATTCGAAGCGATTGTTTACTTAATGCGAGAGCGATTTTCCAAACTTGGCACATTTCTGATGTATAATTGTTTGCGGTTGAATGATTCACCAAAATCCGCACAGGCACAAACGCTAGTATTGTATATAAAAAAAAAAATAAAACATTAAACTGTGCTTAAAATAATAATTAAAACAAATAGCAGTACAAGGCTCATAAAATTTTGCACACTTAGCATTCATTAGGGCGCCTGCATATAACCACAAAGTGAGTCACAAAGTCAAATCAACAAACTGAGAAGCGAAACGAATCATAAATATAAAAAGTGATACACCTTCGGTCAAAATGTCATTAACATTTTTTATTATTATTCACTATGTATAATACAGAGCAATTTTAAATACAACTTCAGAGTATTGATTCAATTTACTTCCAAAATTGTATAAACAAATTGAAAATATACAATGGTTTTTCCTACGAAGGCTTAGTCTCAAAACTTACCAGATTTTCTTAGTTAATTTCTGCGATTTATGGCCGCCTTTGGGGCTTTTTATTCGCCCGCTTTTGTTGGCCCAAACATACCTGCATATAAGTAGGTAAATGAGCAGAAAAGCACAAAGAACGAACGAAAATAAAAACTTGTTGCTCTAGAGAAGAGCGATAAAACAAAGGCAACAGTAAACAACTGGTTGGCGGAGCAGAAGTTTTGTTATACATAGTCTACACTTACAGTCTGCCGTTTTGATATTTATCAGCTTCACCCGAGTATATAGCTGAGTACATAACACACTTGACAGACAAGCCAAATAAATTAACAAGCCGCTTTTAGAGCTCGCCGAGCACCAATACACATGAAATGAAAAAAGCTGCCGCAACGCTTGAAAAAACACCAGCAACAAGTACAAAACCTGAACAGCATTTCGCAGCTTGATAATAAAAGGGCGAAAACAAATGGAAAGCCGTGAAATTAATAAACCTACGTGTTTAAAAATGCATGTCCTAAAAATTTTTGTATAATGATTAAAATCTCTGGGGTGTAAAAATAGATGACAAATCTCCATTAGATCTAAGATTTAAAATAAATAGAATAGAATAAAATATTACTATTTTAATTGGGCCAAGACTGAAAGTACTTATATTTTTGTTGTCAAAGTCTGAGTTCCCACAGTCTCTGGTTTAGTATTCCCCACACCACTTCAAATGCGAGTTAGAACCTCACGTACGAATCTCGCATGCCGAATGACAAACCAGTATTACTATAATAAGCGCAACAAGTCAGTCTCAGCTGCTTGTTGCCAAAAGGGCGTGCAGTGCCGCCCATGAACGTAAGGCCAAGTATTGAATGACCTGCATTCGGAATGTCGATTGCCGTTTCCTGTGCCATGAGGCACCGAACAAACAACTCAGGAGTAAATATTGACTTATCCGTCTTGCTGGTTCAAAACTCGTTATTGAGAGAAATGTGGCGATTTTGCCCAATGACGTGTCAATTTGTGAATTCATATGATACATTACTATTATTAGTATTCAACCCACACGACTTGAGACCTCTGACGATTGTGTGGGGGTTTGCTTCTCACTCCAGATCCATTTAGGTTGTTATGTGGAATTAAAGTATAGTCACATTTGATAAAATGTGTAGTAACTTAAAATAAAAAGCTAAAACTACTGATCGCTCTAGGGTACTTTCCTCTCTGTCTGAGTCGGCTTGAAAGATATCTATTGCATGACTTGAACAATTAAATTGTACACTTCAATCTTGAAACTACACATTCCCAACACGCATTTGTCCTGTTGCTCGTCGGGTAATTTCATACCGCCTAACTAAATCGCCTGCTAAACTATATTTTTATATGTCGTCACGTCCGTTTCACTTGTTCGCTTTGAGGATGCAGGCAGTTTGGCGCCAAGCAAGGCAATTCGCAGCTCTGGGTGTGGTCGCCACTCAAATAAATATATATTCGCATATCTATCTCTTTATTGCGGTACGCAAACTTCCAACTATTTTCCTTTCCTTCGAGGGTTGTTTTCCGCTTAATTTTATTTTTTGGTCGGTATTATGATCTCAGACCCTTGCTCCGCACATTCAGCTATTTGCTATGCGCAAAAGCAATTTGCATTAGATTTTCATTTCAGTGTGACGTCATTGAAGCTGTCGTCGACAGCTTGGAGCGGAATGTGGCCGACAGCATTGTCTCGGCCATGTTTATGTGGATTGTGTAATGTCCTCGTTAGCTGAAATCGGGCTAACACAAGTAAAAGCTGGAGAGGAAAAGTTGGCGGCTGCAAACAGGTTTCAAAACGAAAACTGTTGTTTCAGTGCAGCGTTTTGTTTATTGGTGCTGCCAAAGTGGAACAATTAGCAGAGTGGCGGAACTTTGCTTTCTTTTGTTCGGATTTTTGAATATTTTTGGGTCAATTTTGACATGGAATCAAATCCAGCCGCCTCCGCCCCGCCCACAAACACATTCAAAGCTCTTCGCGCACAGCCGCTCGAATTCTAAATCTGTGGAACTACGGGCAGCCAGCCCACACACCCCGTAGATATGTATCGTATAAATACAGACACAGTAACCGCGAGCATCATGTGCACATAATGAAATCAAGCAAATTCAATTGATGGCCGGGCAATTGGGGCTGCAAGTCGGGCAGTCGTCGCTGCCGAAAGATCAAAGTTAATTTGCATTGTCTGGAGTCTCTCAACCTCGGCAAAGCCCAGAAACTACAATGCACCACGGGCCTTGTCGAGATTTTTACGGCACTGTCATGTGCGAATGTCACGGGAGGCGGCTCTCGGTTCCCGGAGCTCATCTCGGGCTGCCTCAAGATTCCTTATCTAATCGGATCGGATCGGAAGGCCTCTCCATTGTTTGGCCAGCAAATACTTTTGGACCAATATCGCGTTGGTAGTCAAGTTGTCGGGCATTACGTAACGCGGTTACTAATTTTAATTATCATCAGCCATCCGCTGCTGATGGCGTGCCTGGGCCAGCTTGAAATCCCTGAGGTCAGCTCCAGGGTTCTGTGGTAATTAAGTCTTTTTAGCATGGTAATTGCGAAAGTTCTTCCACTCCGGCACTTTCAATTAAAACAAACGAGAGCGAGCTGATTAATTTGAACTATATTTAGAGCTGTTCGTTGAATGTGCAACTGCACTGTTTATCTGATGCATCTGATGTTTGCCTTCTCTTTGACCGATTGTGGTTCATTAATTTCGCTACAGAACGGCAAATCGAGTTCTAAAGCCTCTGTCCGTTTCATAGATGTGTGTCCTTCACGACTTTCATTACTTACATTCTTAAAATTACCTAAGTTCATTCGTCTAACCACCGATCTCTTCTCCGCACTTAGGTCATCGGCATTTTGGGTATTGTTTATGGCGTGCTGATCCTAAAGAGCATCGGAACAATCGAGGTCAATGGACAGGTGGGCTTCCCCCCACAGGCTCTCATGCCGATCGTGCTGATCAGCTTGGGATCGATCGTGGTGTTCATCTCGTTCCTCGGCTGCTGCGGCGCCATTCGCGAGTCCGTGTGCATGACCATGAGCTATGCCGTCTTCTTGCTGATCCTGCTGATCCTGCAGCTGACGCTGGTCGTGCTCCTCTTCTCCAACAAGGACAAGTTCGATAAGACCATGGGCGACGTCATTGACAACGCCTGGAAGTCGGACACTGCGCAGGAGGGAGGTGTCTTTGATGCCATCCAGAAATCGGTAAGTGCCCTGAAGTAAGCCAAAAACTTTACGTATTTAACATTGGTGCTCTGGTTCCAGTTGCACTGCTGCGGAGCATCCTCTTCTCTGGACTACATCGCCAAGGGCCAAGCTCTGCCGAGCAGCTGCTGCGAAGGCACCTGCCTGAACCCGCTTAACGTTTACGGAGGATGCCGTGGAAAGTTCGTCGACCTTATGTCCGCTGGCACTGACAACACCAAATATGTGGGCATCGGTCTCATTGCAGTGGAGGTGAGGACTAGTCCGCTAGTTGATATGGGCTTATTAACCTAACCCACTTATTAACCGAATTACCCTTTCAGCTGATCGGGTTCATCTTCGCCTGTTGCCTGGCCAACAACGTGCGCAACTACAAGCGCCGGAACGCCTACTAAGGAGACGTGCGCCCATCACCCACATCGAGAGGCACACCCGCATCCAACAGCACACACTCCTCACATTCTCATTAAATTTTACAGTCGTTGAACGCACCTACACAAAGGAATAAACAATAATAATTTGAAGTATGCCATTTAGATGGACACTTGTCATGGAGAAAACGAGAAAAAGCTTAGTTTAAGGCGATATGAAACGCTTACAATTTTTATATGCTATGTTTTATTGGTATAACTCGATTTTTACCTACCGAGCGAGCAGACAAAGCAATTTCCAAAGCCTTTGTACAAACATTTACTTGTTAAAACCGAAACCCCAGGAAATATTCAAATAAACACGTTAACAATGGTATCTTTGTTTAAAATTAAGCATATAATCTATAAACTGTTGAAAATCCCCGAGCGAAAGAAAATTAAAAAGAAAAATATTTATTCAAGTAATGAGAATCTCCTGGTAAGATTTAAATTTGGAAATGCGCAAATCAATAAGAGCTCGAATTGCATACAAATCTTATAAATAAAGCATTTACTACGTATTTATATAACAAAGTCATTGTGCTAGTGTTATTACTGAGGTCCTTACAGTGGAATTCAACCCTCTATTAGAGGAGTCTCCTTTAGACTGTTTTTGTTATGTCTTTATGTTTCCATGACAATGGGGGAGACTACTTCATATTTGTATACACTGGCAAAGGGTATAATTCGGGTGGCTAGACTAATCTATATAGTCTTATTTACACATTTTCCAGTACATAGCTAACCAATTATATAGCCCATGCAGTTCTCCCATGAGTGCAAGGAAATTTAATGAAACAAATTTCCCGTACTTAAAAATAATTGAGTTCACATTAATACACGCGTGCCCCTAATTATACAATTTTACTAAGTTTGGAAAAAATAATGTTACATTAACCAAAATTAGCATAGTGGAATAGTTCACTTTGAACCTGTTTTATCTATGCAATGGTGACTACTAGAGTACTTCTATTTTTATGACGTGGCTCTGTATAATAGCTTTGTTATTCCTTGATTTGATCCTTCGAAGTTTCATTGTAAGCTTGTTGGTGCGAGTTCAGTTTCCTAATACTTGCATATATTTATCGCTTAAAATAACCTATGTCTTGGACGATGTTTTAAACATAAAAGTACATTACTTAATATATTGTGTTTTTTACGATTTAAGAATATGAAATTATTAAGTCATAGGATTTCATTCAAAAATTCTTAAGACAGAAAACAAGCTTTGCTGTAGTTGGAGACAGGACCAATCATGAAAGATTATTTAATGAGTTATAGTCTAAACTAAACTAACTTACAGAAGCTAGTTTTCGTTTAGATATTATTTGTTTCTTTCCAAGCTTTACAAATATAATATATTTTTAATATAAACGGTTTAAAACTTATTTAGTTCTTTTAAAAAATAAGGAATAACTTCGTGTTTCAGCGCTGCACTTTTAATAGTTAGGGTATAGTTTGCACTTTGCGTATAGTTTTTAATTTACCCCTTTTTTTAACAAGGACTAGTTTTTTGTGCAATTTCAACAAAACAAATTTGAATATTAAAATTTACAAAATTTACTTTTATTCAGCTCTTAAACTACTTTTAATTGTTAGGCGACTCTGACGACCACTGACTCACCAGGAGACGGTGATCACGAACATATGGATGTACTTTATGGAGTTTAAATGGTCTCTTTCACTTCTGAATATATAATATATTACCCTAATCCGATTAATTCAACATTCTCAATACTTCGGCTATTAAGTTAAGTAAGGACTTTTAGTGGCCTTAATGCAATATGATAATTTAGGGGTAGTTCTTTTACTTTGTAGTTCTGCAATTTAGTCTTGCGCCATGTGTAGGATCATCGTCATTCTATTACATTCTGCTTTTACGATTTTAAATTTAGGTTTGGTGTGTGTGTGTTAAATATATATAATATAATTTATACAAACTTGAAGTAAACATTTTTAGGTGTCCTCTATACTTCTTTCCGGGTTGAGTAACGTAATAAATGAAGGTATGTTAAAGGATACTTAAATATCCCTATACCCTTTGAAATATGCTTATTTCAGGATGTGAAGATCTGTGGGCCCTCCTTGGATTTTACCAATTGTTTAACTCAGCTTATGGTCTAGTTTTAGTCTGTTTCAGGTCCCAGGTATTCTGCAATACTATTCTGTACTAGCATATTAATTAATTATTATTTTAAACTTTAGACAAAGATCGTACTATTCTCTTGGGGCTTCGTGTCTATTTCCATAAACACTATTTACATTGTGTGGACTATAGGACTTTGCCTGAGAAATAGAGTTCAATTTGGTGCTATCGAAGCAATTACATCTGCTTATTTGGAGGGTAAATATAAATATGTACACAAGTATTGTAGTGGTATTATTATTTTCGATCAGCTTTTAGTTTATCCACAATGTACGTTGTTTTTTCGTACTACGTCGAATTTGTGGTAAGTTTGACAGTCCTCTGCTTTATACATACATATGTGCTTATATAGTGGTATGTATACTAGTCAAATATCCTAACTAACCAAAGATAAAATGTACTATTTTCAAAGGTAATTTCAAAAATATCTTTGTTTAAAAGGTGTTTATAAAAACAATTGTGTGGAGCGTTGAAATCCGGATTGTTTTTAAAGCAAAGGAAACACAAAATACTAAATAATAATTATGTATTTATAATTAACATATAATAACCAACTTAATTTTCTAGCGTTACAACTAAACTGAAACTTGTAAGTCATAATCAAAAACTGTGGTCGCGACCAGTTTCCTTTTCCTGGTTGTCTGGCAACTCACTTGCTTGCGGGTAAAAGCTCAATCAAAAAGCTCTAGAGAACTGAGGGCACGTCGGATGACAGAAGAGAGAAATCATGGCAAAATGAGTATAAGGTATGTAGTTTTGTTGGGTGCAAAATTGTTTTCGTGGCTCTCTCGGGTTCTCTCAAAAAATTAACGCGCTTGGGAAAACGTTGTCTCATATTAAGTTTCTGTGAAGCAAGTTGAAAAAAGCGCCTCATCTGATGGTGGGGTGATTGACTAAGGCCACTTGAAGTCCTATGCACCCCATAAGGGTTAAACAACAACTATATTTCGGTTTCTTTCGCACTCACGATGAAACACCCTTTCACTCGCACTCACTGCGGTGCGCAATAATGGACTGACGGATCCGTTGAGACTACCTTATGCTTATTCTAAGTTGAGGCGTCGAAGCAACCGCATCTGATCCGAAGGTAGGGCCGCCAATGAGTCATTAGCTTTCCGCTCGCTGCGGAAAAGTGCCTTCGCTGATTTCCCAGCATTGGTGTCAACGGCACACGTTGTTAATTGAAGAAAAATCGCCTTGGAACCGCTGATCTTCCAGGGCACTTCAACATCGGCCAGAGACCCAGAGAGCGAGCAGTGATCTCATTGCGTGGAGCTTTTATATATAGGCGAAGACTACTAAATACAAGTTTCGCGGCAGCTCGCTCTCCATTTTAGGCGGCTTTCCAGGAATTCAAGGCATCCAGACCCCGGAATCGGAGGACCAGAATCCGCCATGTCGTCCACGTCGAGTGTGAAGCTGGTTGTTTACGCCCTGGACGTACTTTGCTCCGTGAGTAACTTTCGCTAGTTAGCCGCCCACCTTCCAGATAGCCCACACCAGCCATTACGGCAATTGAGGCGTTGTAAACAAAAATTACGGACAATGACCACTTGATTCGATTTCGCAATGATCGCATATGTTTGTCTGATTGCTTATCAAGTTGCACACATTAAGAGTCTGCACACATGGCGTATCTTGGTATCATGGGAACCCACGACATGTGTTCCCAGTCTATTCTTCTTATAGCAAACCCGTTCCCCCCATAACAGTTTGTTGGTTTATTTATACCACTTAATTACCATCACTGGTGAGAAGGAACAGATGCCACCGGCGGTCGTTGCATATATAATGCGATCGGCGTGTCCATCAGCCCATCCAGTTTGCATTGGCAATCGATATTATGCGTGCTCCGATGTCCCGCCCAAAATGTTAGTCATGACTCCAGATAAATCAGTTGATGTCGTTGGGTGGCACCGTCATAGAGATTGCAAAGGAAGAGTATTATTCATTGTTTTTCCGTCACTTCAACTGCCTCATCGATGGTTAAGACTATTACGTCACTCTCTAAAATAATCCCTTGCGACAGCATACACCAATCGTGAATAATTTAAGTTGACTCAAACAATAACGTTTGCAAACAAGCTGCACATCGCGCTTCGCTATCGGATATGAATAGCAATCAGTGACCTTGTCTGTGTTCGCCATCCTGTCGGAATCGTTTGGCGCGGGTGACCTTCCTGTGGGCGCCACTCTGGCTTTCCCGACCCGATTCCCCACTCCCGAATCCCGCCAATTTACTTGGCGTCTATCCCTGACGCCAGACGGGCTAGTCTGCGGGCCGCCCCCGATTAGGTCCATTGCTAAAGAACTTGTGCGAGGTCAAAAACGCTGAGAGTGGAACTAGACGTCACAATTGGTCCTGAAAATTCTAGGGATTTCATACTGCTGTTGAAGGCATTCTTATAGACAAAAGCATTAGAAAGCCAATTGGCAGACTTGTAAAAGAAGGATTGTGACCGCAAGGATATCATTTAAAATTTTCAAACCGGTCCGATTGTTTTCAAGGACCATTTAAAAGCCAGTTATTTTGGATAGCCAACACCATCAGTTTAAATGTCATTAAAAAGCAATCGTTGTTATTCTGCAATAATTTGTTGTAAAAATAGAAAACTGTCGTTAAGTTAAGTTTGTTGTTGTTACAAAAATATAAGGATAAACCAATTACAAGAGTATATAAGGGTAACGCTCTTCTGCAAACGCATTGAAATTCCCAGAAAATGATAATCAATTTCTCATTACAGTTGCTGGCCTTGGTGCTGATATCGTTTGGCCTTTATGTGGTGGTGTCCTACGATCTGAACGAAGTCGGACAGCTATCGGCGTACGCCTACGTGGCACTCGGAGTGGCTGCCCTGGTGGTGGTGCTTTGGGGATACCTGTCCGCCTGGCGGGAGAATGTGTGCTGCACAGTCACAGTGAGTTTCAGATGCACCCATCCCACCAAACATTTGTCCAACAGTGGTTACTCTTCCCACAGTTCATTGTTTTCCTCTGCCTGGTCATTGTGGCCCAGTTCGCCGTCGTCTACTTGCTGTTTACCCAGGAGAAGTCGGTGGCCTCCAACCTGGCCAACTCTCTGGAGTCGACGTGGGAGGAGGAGCTGAACAATCCCGGAGCCATGTCGCTCTACCAAAACTGGGTGAGTAGAGCAGGGAACGATTCGAGAGCGACCTAATTCCAACCATCTACTCCCTCCCTCCCTCTCCATACAGTTCCAGTGCTGTGGTCGTGGCAGCCCTCAGGACTACATAATCAACGGACGCCTGCCTCCGGATACCTGTTTCCAGAACCACGACAAGAGTAAGCCCGAGAACCTAATCCGCACCGGCTGCCGGGTGGAGTTCGAGAACTACTGGATGCACTTGATCCACATATTCAACATCCTGGCCATCGTGCTCATCGGACTCGAGGTAAGCTCCCCCGAGTCTTGCTTCTAAACTATTGCGTTACAAAATCTCTTCCTGCTTTTCAGCTCCTGCTGAGTGTCATCTCCTGCCGCCTTTGCAACAGCATTCGCAACGATGCCCGTCGTTCGTACTTTTAGGACTATAAAACACCACATACTCAACTGGAGATGCAGTCAACTTGTTAAATTTGCAAAACATTACTCTATTACTCTATTTTGAAATGGCTTGGCAAGTCTTGGGTGCAAGACTGAAGGGAAAGTCTGCTGTTGAACTTTCGAAATTGAAACTCTCTCGTTACCAGCACTTTAATGATGTTTAACCTTACTCACACACTGATTTCTGTGAAAACACACAAAGCAACAACAACAACTCACGAATATTGTTAAGAAGGTAAAATAGTTTTATATTATTTATTAAAAGATATTTCTAAATAAATGAGTCAAAACCCAGTCAAAAATATATTTGTTTTGTATTTCCCAAGTACCGAACCACATGGCGATTTTTATGATATTCATTTTTCTTGGTTAGCAAAGGTAAACTGTGAGTGTACTCGTGTTTTCATTTACCTTACCTGTGTAACCTAAATATTTATTAAAATTGTATCACACATTTGATTTGTGGAAGATTGTGCTATTTATCGATCCAAAATCGCTTATCGTACGCTTGTGTTTTTGTTGTTTATTTCCCTATATAATATTTATACAAAACCTGCGCGTATGGTTGCAAACACAGTGTGGTGCTTTTGGAATTCAAAACATTGCTAAACCAAATTCCGCTGTAGCTAAAAAAAACATAAAGATTCCAAATAAATTGTATTAATTGCATTGTTTCAATATCTATAATCGTATCTATGATGTATATATTTTCCAAATTTTTGTCGCTACTTGAACAAATGAAATGTTTTCAAAAATCCAAATAATTCCCAAAGTAGATATAGGTAACAGGTTTTTGTAAAAAAGTTTTTTTTATAAATAAATCAAATATATATAAAAAAAAACTATTTAATATTAAAATTATATACAAAATACTTGTTTTTTCCTTTGGTATAAGAAATGCAAGAGGGTATCTATAGGCTCTATTGGTTTTGAAAAGTTCTTGGAAACACCGAGTTTGCATTGTTATTCTCGTATTCAGTTGACCCTTTTTTTTAAGTGTATTAAAATCATAGGCCAAAGCTTCTCTCTTATTTTATTCAAATAGTTCGTCATCTATTTCTGTTTATGTGTACCCGCTAACGAACATATATACGTAAATATTTTGTTGAGCCAAAAAACATTTCGCGTTTTTGCGGCCAAGCGTTCCGATTCCAATTGGACCGAAGCTTTCGTTCCGTTTCCCGCCGTTTGGCTTGCCAAACGCTTTTCGCGCTATCAACAACGTCGGAACGGTCGGAACAGTTTTCAGTTAACATTCGAGCGGTGAACATGAACCGGGTTTTGGGTAACCGCAGTAACCGTTAGAATCAATATAGATATTTTCCAACTGTCAACAAGCGCGAGTTGCCAAGTGTTAAGAATAATAAGAGTACCTGACACACAACAAATATATATTTTCACTCCTTTAAATATACTACACTGAACAAAATGGCCTGTTCCACAAACGTGTTGAAGGGCTTTGCCCTCCTCTGGGATATTCTCTATGCTGTGAGTAAAGGGATCGGGAGACATTAACTATAATGCCATGACAACTGCGCCCAGAGGCAGAAACATGTTTCGTTTGCTATTTTCGTGAGGCAAATTGGTGACCCCAAAAAGCATTAAAACATAAATTAAGCTGAAGCTTAACCGCTCTGTCCAAGGCTAATTGCAGGAAAATTACTTGACTTTTGCCCGCCGTTGGCCAAATGCCAGATCTTGGCCAAGAAACGTTCTCCAGCTTCGCCCAAGTTCGTTCAGAGATCCATCAGTCTTTGATGTAGCAGTTTGTTTATATGGAGGGCGTTGAAAACAAACATTTGAGGGCTCCTCAGACTCTAATATTTTGTAACTAAATAGTTGGATAGTTTTCCAATTAGTTCGCAAGCATTTTAATTATTATTGAAGGTTTTAGCAATTCGGGTTTGTATTTCATTTTCATGCGAATTAGCATTAATAATCATGGAAGAATATGCACGGATATCTAGTTCAGCCAGAAATATTGCGAAATGTATTCCTAAGTTATTTGGTTCTGCACATTTCTTTCTGCCTTAAAATACATTTCTAAAAATGATAGAATATTTATTTACTTAGTTTTTGTTGTTTATTTTTACGCTGAGCTTTTTATTTGGGTCTTTTCTGCGTTAAATGGCTGCCAAGTCGAAACTTGGTCACCCACGCCGTCACTTAACCCTGAACAACAACATATAGAATCTTTATTGGATCTGTGCTGTTATTTAGTTGGTTTTACTTGAAACAGATTTTGGTTATGTTTGTGCCCGATTATATACGTCTGTTGATGTCATTCTCTAGACGTTTTGGGCATCTTTCTGGCATTTGATTTAAATGGAATGCGCGCGAAGGCTGCGGAAATGCCAGCGAGCTCCACACGGCGTATGCGCGATTTTCCGCGTTTGGTTCCAGGCGAGTTAACTCTCGATTTGCGCGCTGAGAGATTTCAATTATGCTGGAGCCGGACTGAAATCACTTCATCTGCTTTAGGGTAGGGCCCAACCTTTGTGTCGCGGCCTTTAGTGCCCCCTGCCGACAGAACCCACATAAATCTGAGCCGTTACAAGTTTCGGCCATTCATTTGAAGCGCTGGCACTGGCATTCGATCTACCTACTCGATTTAGTACTAGCCTTATCAGCCGATATGCAAATTAGCTGGCCGCACTGCTCCACTTAATTGTGACCCTGCTTACTCTGGTGATAATTGTGTTTAATTGCTGGCCTGCGTGGGGAAATGAGAGCAAATTAATAAAACTTTGCTGTTACTCTGTTGCTAACACACAGCTTTCCTTATCGTTTTTATTGGGCAGCACCTGAGTGTCTCCTGAGCACATTAGATAATCATGACAGGCGTAATAGTCCCCTTTAGATATCATAACGTTGAGTGGGGCTGGTCCCAGAGTAAACAGCGATCATAAGGTTCTGCTTCGAATTAAGTCGCAAAGCTCGCTGCTCAATTACAAAGTCTAACTATGGTTCGATGGTCCTAAGTGAATTCAGATTCCCGCACGCTTGGCTTCCATTTCAACTAATACAATTTGTTTGTTTCCGATTTTCGAGCTTCTTAGAACGTGCCTCTGTTTTTTGGGTTTCCGCGGGCCCTTCGGGTTATGTCAGCGCCCATTTTGTCTTGGCGGGATTTGGGCGCCGAAGCATAATAAATAACAATTAAATGGCGTTGAGTGTGGACCCAACTATCTACGAAACAATGCCAGATGTCTGAGTGCTACGTGCCCAGTGGATAACAACAGCTCATCTCCATTGCCTCGTAAACATTAATTGATGAGCCAGCGTCGATTCCACAAAGCGCTTCGATTGCAACTCTATTAATGTAAATGATATTTTCCGCCGCCTTATTTGGCAAGCAGCTCATTAAACTCCTCCTAAAGTGAATATTTACTTAACTGCCCTTAGAGTCAGCGCCAAACATAGGCGTTACACCCAGTTTAGGGCTTCCTAATCGTTTTTGGCCACGGATTACACTTGAAACCAGCCCTGCCGCCGTGATTAATCGGCGAAATCATTCATAATTACCTCGTTGGCTTTGAGCCGAATTGGTGCCGACCGAAACGTAAGCTTTTCTAAGCCGGGCCCAGTTGGCTCGAGTGACAAACAAGCGAGGCGCGTTAGGCCAACTTATTTGCCGTCTGGCTTGCTTGTTTGCCCCTCCGACAATTGTAAATTGAATAATTTACAAATTGGTGGCGACAACAGGTTGCCGTGTGCAAACATCAGCACTGTGGATTTATAATTACTACGCATTTCGAAAACTTACTTTCAGTAGGAGGATGGTTTTGTATTCTTTGCGCTTCTTTGGGCAAAGTGCCAAATTACAAAGAGTCTACATTTGGCAGGAGAGTGCGAAAAAGTGCGCTGTGTTTGTGGATCTCGTGAGTCATTGTTGTAATTTTAAAATGCACCCAGCGATGCATTCGAAAGTGAGAGGCGAGCGAATTTCAGGAGACAACTCTGCGTATACGTAATGTTTCGAGAATGAGTAAGCACGTTTGTCGGGGGAAGTATGATTAAATCTTCAAAGTAACGCCTGGAGAATTTCCATAGAGAAGTGCGATTTGCCATTTGCATATTGACTCAACGTAGAACCTTCAATCGCTACGGTTTTTTCACCTTTCGGGCAAAGTAGAACTTATTTAACTTTTCAATCAACCGCTTCCCACTTCTCTCGCCGACAGCTGTTTGGCCTGGTTGTGATTGGCCTTGGAGTGCACATTATTTACAAGTTCGAGCACTTCAACACGGCCGCCTTCGTTGTCATTGGCGTGGGCGTGGCCGTGGTTCTGGTGGCACTTTTCGGAGCCTTGGGAGCAGCACGTGAGAGCAGCAACACATGTAAAGTGGTAAGTTAAAACAAAATATGAGTTCTATATATTTGAAATGATTATTACTATTGATGTGAGAAAATTCTTGGTTATTATTTTACACCGAAAACCTGAAGCTTAGGCTGTCAACGTGCAACTTGTCATTACAAAAAGTGTCTCAACTTATAGTTGTAAAAATATAATTAAAGACTTCTTGTTGGTCATATTAATATCTAAATTATTTATTTTAAAATACATTAGATTACATGTAGATCCGATGATCATGTTTATGTTACAGCTCAAATGTCATATACTAAGCCAGAAATAGCAGTGAAAATGGTAGTTATTTGCAAAGAAAACTTGTACGTATGCTATGTATGTAAGCTATGTATTATATATATTATATATACAAACATTTATCCTAAATGTTTCTTGGTAAAAGTGGACACCTAGTACATTGTAGGGAGTTAAGCAAAATTGAGTTTTACCAAATTTCGAATTAAAAACATTGGCAAACCTTAAAACCTTCTGGTCAAAAATTATTTATTTCAACAATCTTAATTGTTCTATATTTCCTTTCCCGCTCAGTACGTGGTTATCCTGGTTCTCCTGATCATCTTGCAAGTTCTGGTCGTGGGTATCCTGTGGGCGTTCCAAGAATCGCTGCTGATAAACGTGGACAAGACATTCAGCCAGCTGTGGAAGGACCAGCCGGTGCCCATTAGGCCAGGAAACCAGAGTGAGATCGCCAGCGTTGAGCGATGGGTATGTGTACAGAAGTGTCGGAAAAGAGGTGTATTTCAAAGTTTTGTAATTCCCTGGCTCTTAGTTGGACTGCTGCGGCAACGTTGGACCCAGTGACTATGTTCTTCCACCAAACAGTTGCTACAACAGCGAAACAGATGCTCTAAATCTCAGAGGATGCAGGCAAAAGTTTCTAAACTACATTGCCGATCGTTTTACGACGCTCAACTTTGTCGCCTTGGTGCTAGTTGTTGTTGAGGTAAGCCAATATTCCAACTACAAGTTTGTGAACTAAATACGTTTCCTTCGCCAGGTAATTTGCGCCTTGCTAGCCTATGTCCTGGCCAACAGCATTGTGAACCGCTGGCGACGCTCGAAGTACTATCAAAAATAGGTCAACGTTCGGTTTTTGAAAACATTGCATTTCGAAAATTCAAGCTAAGATGCGCATACTTAAGCCAAAGAACTCTCCATACAACTACTTAATCGAAAACTCAGCAGAGATTCCACAACAAATTTACTTAAGCGAAGTGCGTTGATTGTATTCTATTTACCAGTTTGGATAACTGTTTGTTAAAGAGCGGTGTTTATGCCGTTTAGAATGTAACTTAATCCCTACACTAAGCTCGACTTAAGCCACCATTTTTGTAACAGCATTTCGAGAGGCCAGACCGGTGAAATAAAGAATTGTTCGAAGATCCCATCTGTTGACATCATTCCGATGGTAATGAGCCGCCAGCAGAGGAGGGGAGTGGCCAGAAGGTGAGGGTGGACACATGCTGACTCACATCTTGGGGAACGCGTGGGCGAAAACGCCTCACGATTGTTTTCGTTTTCGTTGTCGTTGTCGTTTTCGATTCTATATTTTCTGTGGCCCGTGCTCGCCTTTTGATTTTTGTTGATTTCCCCCCAGCAATATTTATTTGGCCACTGCATCTGGCCAACCGGACCGGATGGCGACAGAATCCGAAGCAGACGACGACGACGAACCTGTGGGTTAATCGTTTCCCAACGACAGCTCTGCGAGTCGCCCCAGACAAACAAATGGAGATTAGGCGACTTTAGTCGATATTTTGATGGCGGTGCTCAAGGTGTGCTCGCCCCCAGCGGAAAAACTCTTGTGAAAGTCTGTCGGGAAAATCGGAAAACCGAATACCGCGCGCATGATGTACTGCACCACCCGACTGCTCAGATACATTCTGTGTGTCATCAGTGGCATTTGTGCCGTAAGTGCTTAAAATAGACCCCAAATGGCTGACATTGAAAGGGCTTGTGGCCGTCGTTTAGCTAGGGGGCTGCCTGCTCATCTGGTACGGCGCCTGGCTGCTGGACAGCCTCTCCGACCAGCAGAGGGCGATGGGGATGGACCACGGCGAGGACCTGGCCGCCGCACTCTGCATCCTCCTCGGCGTGGTCATCATTGTGGCCAGCATCTTCGGCGCGGTGGCCGTAGCCAAGGACTCCAGGACCCTCTTGATCTGTGTGAGTTACTTTTAAAGTTCCTGTTAAAGCTTGTTATTGTGTGTGGTAAAATACGAAGAGGTGGCAGGAATTTTTTGAAGACCTTAAAATAACATATTTAAATTATAAAATATATTTTACTTAACTGTTACAAATATCTAACACCTAACATTTGTGTTAGTTATTGGGATGCAGTTAAAAGTTGATTTTCACAATCATTGAAGTTGATTTTATGTGTGAAACGAGATAAGAATATCGAAAAGCTACTAGTACGAACTTCGATTGATTTGATTTTAAAAATTATAACTAAATTATAATTAGGTGCTATGTATGGATTAATTGATTATTATGTGTGAAACGAGATAAGAGAATGGAAAAGACAAGATTTACTAAGGGAATTTCAGATGATTTTAGAATAGTATAACTAAATAACAATGATTTATACAATTAACTGCTAAGAATATCCATCTTGCTTAACTTTCAGTATGCAGTTCTGTTGGTCTTACTCCTGATCGTCCAGTTTGTAATGTTCAGCATTAGCTATGCCGCCAGTCGGGACTCATTGCCTGATTCTCTGAGACAGGGCTTCGATGATCTGTGGGACTTGCAGCACGAGGGCAACAGCACCCTGAACATATACGAGGAGTGGGTAAGTTGGCTGACCCTTCACTCTTTCAACTTCTTAACTTGAGGCAATTTTTGTCAAATACAGCTCCACTGCTGTGGTAGAAACAGCGCCGAGGACTACTTGCACCTGGAGAAGGAGCCTCCGCCGAGCTGTTGTCTCGATCAGGACTGCTCCAAGCTCTTGAATCTCTACATGTCCGGTTGCGAAAACAAGTTCAAGGAGTATGTCAGTGGGAAGACCGCGAACTTCCACTCCCTGAGTTGGTTTCTCATACTCTTTGAGGTACGTAAATTCATAACAATTTGGGATCTTGTAGAAGAAGCATTCGGTTGATCGGGAAATGCATTGAAGAATGCATATTCACTGAAGAACCCTAGGAGTTCAAACTTACTTCGCAGATATAAAACCTTCAAGTTCTTTGAATAGTCAAGAAGAACCTATTCATTAAATCTCATTATTGTTCTCTGCATAATTGACCCTTAAGTTCATGACTTTATTGAAAACTAAATACTTCCATCAACTAAATGACTTCATCTTTGCAAATCATCTTTATTGTAATTGCAGTTCGCCGGATCGGTGACCACCTGCTACCTGGTAGACAGCATTCGCAATCACCGCGACCGCATACGATTCTATAATTAAATTAAGTGTTTAGTGTTCTGCACGAAATGTATTATCGTTATTTGTTGTGAGTAATTTCCTAGCCATAAGGCCCTGGCAGATTGTGATTGTAGTTTACGATGATGATTAATCAAGTTAGGCTACAGATACCAAGTATTTTATGAATGAAACTGTAAACTGGCGCCTACGCCCAGAAGTAAAATCGAAACGAAAATAAATAAATAAAAAGGCGCGTTGCCATTGACTAAACTTTACAAGAAATCTTCGGCCATAAGAAAAAAATAACAAAGCGAGTGGGGATTGGGATTTGGACGGGTAGGAGATGGGGATCCGGAGATAAAAAGAAAAGCTCGCGCAAGTGGGCGATTCTCCGCTCTCGATTTTCACTCGCCGATTTATAGATAGAATGTGCGAGCGGTGAGTCGGTGATCGGTTCGTTGTTTTAGCCAAAACAAAACAGACTGTTTCGGTTTTCATCTCAGATCCGAATCGCCGCCAGTTGATTCGCACGGCTGAAACACGGCGGTCGGACGTCGAGAGTGGTCTTCGCCAAGTGACGCTGTATCCGACGGATACGCATTTGAAAACTGGCTGCTGGCCATCGCCATATATGTAACGCCCCCGGTGCACTCTGTTCGCCTTTGTTGACTTTGGTCAGTCAGTTAGCCAGTCAGTCAGTCGATCCCCAGTCGCATCTTCAGCTGGGAAACAAGTCACCATGGGCCTGCATGCCACCACAGTGAAGCAACTGCTGCTCTTGCTCAACTTCGTGTTTTCCGTGAGTAGCACAGGTGTGCTGCGGCCATTAAGTATGCGAATCTGACTCTGAATCTGCTCTCCACAGGTGCTCGGACTGGCGCTGGTCGCCTTCGGAATTTTCTTTTTGATCTCCGCCGCCGAGAATGCAGTCAGCATCGGTGAGAACGTGGCCGGCGGTCTCATCATCGGCCTGGGTGTTGTCATCCTGATCGTCGCGGTCTTCGGATGCCTGGCCGCCATCCACGAGGCTCCTGTCCGGCTCCTGATCGTAAGTATCGCTGGGTATTTCAAAAATTTGAGTTTACATTTTTACAAACTTTGCTGGCAGGCTAGACCGTATGTTGAATTAAAATTTGGTTAGGAAATTTAAAATCATCTCTGAATCAGGAAGCTGTAGAAATCTTAGGATCACATGAGTATAAAAAAAAGCTTCGTTCGACTTGGGTAATAAGAAAGAAATCGGTTTTAACTTTGTATCTTAATTTTTACCACATGTAAAAACCAGATTTGGTTGTCACTACAGTGTAATCACATTATAAGAGGTGATTTCATTTAGTAGGATAATCGAAAAACACAACCGAATGGAAACATACTCAAACAATTAAATTAATACCTCATTTCTTGATGTCTTATTATTTGTTTGCCATCAAATCAATTGTGATAGAAGTTGGCTACAAGTTGGTAAAATAGTTTTGAGTCGAATAAGATTGATTGGAGTCGGTACCTAATTTCTGGCAACGTATTATATGGATACCATATTGATTTTATCTGCTTTCCAGTACGTGGGTGCCGTGGGCCTGCTGATCCTGTCGCAGCTGCTCTTCCTGAGCATGGCCACCCATGGCACCAAGGACGGGCTCTCCGGCAGCATTAACGAGGGCTTCGACCGCCTCTGGGAGTCGGAGCGCAACAGCACAGGGGCACTGGCCTACTACGAGAGCTGGCTGCACTGCTGCGGAGTCAACAGCGCCGAGGACTACTGGGTAATCCGGCACAGCGTTCCCTCCAGCTGCTGCGAGGATGGCCAGTGCCTGGACACGCAGAGTAGGATTTTCAAGCCCGGCTGCAAGGGCGAGTTCATCAAGTACTTGGACGACAAGTTTCTGGTGTTCAAAATCGTCTGCTGGCTGCTTATCATCGGAGAGGTTGGTTAGATCATCCGCCGATTATGGATTTGCTTAACCCGACTCTTCCCTTTTTAGGCTGTGGGCGCTGTTTTCGGTTGGCTGCTCTACAGCAGCGTTAAAAACGAGAGCCGACGCAATAATGCCGTCTGGATGTAAAGCTCTGTCTAAGTCACTTGGGTATAAGGCAATAATATGTTCTAAACTGTTTTTCTAATGAATTGTTTTCTAATGAATTAATACTGTTAACAACTGTCTACTAATAGCAGGTTGGTCGTTTTGTAATCTGTATTAAAAACTCACCATGCAAAAAAGCAATTTAAAGAAGTTTTTGGCTGGAGTTCTGTGTATATACTGTGTTTACCTTTTTTGAAGATAAAATTATCTTCACCAGGAACTTAGATACATGTTAAGAATTTGATAAACGGCTTGGTAAGTGTAATACATTTTATTTATACCTGTAAAAATATTTTGCAGGAAGTTGGAAATTAATCCACCTAAGCCTTAGATACTATCTATCAACTCCGACATATTTTAATTTATTTAGTAATGCCTTGTTAAATTATCAACATACCTATGTTATGTGACATGTAATATGAACCGTAATCAAATTGTTGACTACTGTTTAGTGTTTATTTTTCTTGACAACATATAATTTTTTCAATTCAAACACTCAGTACTTCAAAGTAATAGTTTGTTTGAATTCGTGTTATGTTTTCTGTTAGCCACTTGGTATACAAAGCGTAAAAGCCCTTGGCCATTGGCAACCCATGGATTTTGCTAGAGATTTCAGTATTGGTAATGCCCTCGATAGCAAAGTAATCCTCAGTCTGAAAAGAAATGTTACTGAATGGTTATTATTGCGTACCGCTTAACTGACCAAAAAGGGACAACTGTGGTTCAGATTCGAGTGACCTTCAATGAAGTTGAAAATCATCTTGGCCAAGTGGTTTGATCGGTTCTTCTTCCAGAATCGACAGAAATCAAGGTTTATTTCGTAGAGGAAGGGCTGCCAATTTGGAGCTCCGTCGACACTTTCACTGCCCTTCGTCATCAGTTGAAGGTGAAGCTAGAGTGGGGAACGCATTTTCATAGATCAAAACATATTTCATTTTTTATAGTTACCATCAATTTGTGAAATCCAGGCTCGAGCAATTTGTAGCGCAGTCGAATACTGTTTTTGGTCTTGCTTAATGTTGTCAATTCGCAGTACTCCACTGTGGCCATGCTGAGGTCCTTGCTGTGGCAGGACACGTTCGTAAATCTTATGAACACTCCCTGCGAATGACACACCCGAACTAGATTGATATTTTTCTCCGGTCACTGTACCTACATGCAACTCTGTCACACATTGCAGGCACAGCAAAAATCCAAACAGTTTTCCTGCAAAGTTACTCATTTGATTGTCACTGAAAGAGTGATTGGAATTCAATATTAGGCAGTCCAGCGACTGCCAATTTATGGTGAAAATAAGCTCTAGTTTGGAAGTAATTGCAATGTTAATTTAGGGCTACTGAACGCATGAGTAGATCATTGATGACTTGATGAAATTGCCCAATGGTTTTTACTTACATTACCATACAACTTTCACAGGTAAAAATGAAAAGTTAAAAAGCGATGCTCATAATAACTATACCTGAATAATGTTGACGGTTTAAGATTTTTTAAGTTTTGAAGTTATTTTTCCAACTTTTAATTTATTAGCAAAAATGTATGGAAATTTTATTGCTGTTTTATCTATACGATATGCTATTAGAAATAGTATTTTTGAAAATTACATAAGTACTAAAAAGTTTTATTAATGCATTTTCTTGTCAAACGCTCATAAATATTTCTTTATATAATTTAAATAAATTGATAATTCATGCTATAATCGCGTTTCACAAGTGCCCATTACCCCCGGATTAAAAAAATTTAAATTGACTTTTTCCCTGAATTTACATGTTAATAAAAATTAAAGTTCTAACGCAACGTTTATACGGACGGACGGACAAGCATGCAGGGCTAGATCGATCTGTCTCACGATCATCAATATCATCACAATCATTAATAGACAAATTTTATGGTAATGCAATGGCTTCTTCCTAGCTTTAAAAACTTTTCAACAAATACAGAACACTATTTTACTCTATCTTCAACGCGTATAATAACTCCTTCCACCACTTCACTTAAAAATAGTTTATATAAAAATCTTTTGGACTATGATATGTTGTATCAACACAAACTAGTTAATAACGCAAGCAGTAAAACCTCAAGCGATGCATAAAATCACCCTGTATTCTGAATTCGGAACGCGCCTGCGTCATTGTCACCGCGTAGATGATAGTTGGCAGTTTGTTTTGGTTCCGCTGGGTGGTGAATATCCGACGGTGACGACGATGAGCTGCGGCACCTGGTTCTCTCGCATTCTGGCTCAGTCGCAGGCCAGCTTTTGTGGCATCCACACGAGCTGCAACCAGAGAGGGCTCTCCGCGAGTCAAGTCGGAAGCGTTTTGGGGCTGAGGCCTTCTCCAAGTCCGGGTAAACAATGCCAGTGGCCTAGTGCCAATCGAGCGAACTTCCAGACCCCCAGAGGTCACCGATTAGGGCGAAAGCGTTGCAGAAGCACTATTATCCAGGGGATTCACGTGTGTGCTACCATTTCTTCAGTGCCAGGATGGAAAAGTCGTTTGCCGTAACGCCCTGGAAGTACGGCCTACTGGCCACTTGCGTTCTTATTGTGGTAGGTATAAACAGATGCGCATTTCCCGTTCCAAGAACGCGCGGGGGAACCTCTTCCCCAATCCCGCGGACCGACCCAAATGAGTGTCTTGCACAACACCCGCTGATGCGAAAAATGGGGCGAAAAATCAATAATGGCCCCAGTGCAAATCTCGCCCGAGAGAGCACGTATTATTGCCAAAAAGCCGCTAAAACCATAAACAAATCAATGCAATCTTGCATATACTTATAAATACCTGTTCACATTTTTACATAATTCAGCCGGCCAACTGTTCACAATCCCCGCCATATCTAAAAATGGCACTTTCACAATTCTTGCATGCTTACGCCAATTAATATTCTTATTATTTCGTTTATTTAGAAATTTAATTTTTTCATATAGAAATGTCAGGGTTTAATCATTATATTCTAACACAAGACTAATTAAATCTGATAAGAGCACTGTGAGGGCACAAACCAACTATTTCTGATAAAACAGTGCTTTTGGCAAAATACATAGAATGTGATTTTTATACCCTTGCAGAGCAAAAGGGTATTATAATTTCAGTCAGAAGTTTGCAACGCAGTGAAGGAGACACCTCAGACCCCATAAAGTATATATATTCTTGATCAGCATCACGAGCAGAATCGAAATATGTATGTATGTACATCTGTCCGTCTGTCCGTCTGTCCGTCTGTCCGTTTCCGCGCAAACTAGTCTCTCAGTTTTAAAGCTATCGTGCTGAAACTTTCCCAAAAGTTGTGTAGTTGTTGCACGCAGTATATAAGTCGGAACGGGCCGGATCGGCCGACTATATCGGATAGCTCCAATACAAGAGAATGAAATAAAAAATTCTCACTCTATTGTTTTTCATCAGATCGACTTGAATTCTTCAAGATGGCGTTTTCTAACTGTTATTGAATTTCGGATTAAATTTGATCAAAATCGGATAACTCTATCATATAGCTGCCATAGGAGGGATCGAAAATTATATATTGAATTAATGGAAATAAATTGATAACATCGTTGTTTTTCATCAGACAAGTATGATTTTTGGAATATAGAGTGTTCTTACGACTCTTGAATTACGAGTTAAATTTGATCAAAATCGGACAACTATATCGTATAGCTCCCATATGATCTATAGTCAAAAATATGGAAAATGAATAGAAAAATCGTCTTAGCTTAGATGTTGTCTAGCCTTTATGCGTTTTGTTCGACATATTTGATGACTGCAAGGGTATATGTATAAGCTTCGGCTTGCCGAAGCTAGCTTCCTTTCTTGTTATTTAAATTTATTAGACACTTTTTCTCGGAATATGAGATAACTAATCTATTTGAATTGCGAAAAGATAAAAGTTTATGATTAAATTCACATCTCCCTATTTTATTTTGTTCCTCGTACAACCTATTTTATGAAATAAGTTTAAGTTTTAAGTTTTAAACATATGCTAGAAAAAAGTTAAATTTAAGATAACGCAAATATCAGAGTTTATGCAATACTTATGTTGCACTGGTAAGAAAATCTGATGAATATAGGTCGATTTTGCCAATACCAATTGTCGGATTGTAACGTTAATTACCCAGTTCCGTCGATGAACACAATTTTTAGGGAGTTAAAAATATCATTTTGTGGCCAACGCTACGTTACTATCTCTAGATTGTGGACATCATATTTAAATAAAAATTCGCTGTCTTGTTCGAGCAAGAAATGTTGTGCATTAAACTCGCTCAAATGTTTATTTATTTACCCACCAAATTAGGTATGTTTGTATTAATCAGGACTTTACTTAGTTTCCTAAGTCCTTTAAACAAAGCTATGTAATCTTATATTTTTGCACGTATCCTTCAGACTTGTAACGTGTTCTTCTTCTCCTGCGGAGTGGTAACTTGGGGCTCAGCGGTCTCCACCTATGGCAGCTACGGCGCGGCCCTTTGCGGAGTGGCCGTCTTTGGAGTGGCCTTCCTGGGCATGTACGTTGCCCTGAAGGTGTCCTACAAGTATTCCATATACGTGAGTGGGCTCTGTCTTGCCCATGGCATACCCTCTGAATGTCCCTTTTCCAGTACTTGATCTGCAGTGGGCTGGTGATAGCCGCGCTGGGCTCCTACCTCTTCGCCTTCACTGCGATGCGGGAGGAGCTGATGGCCAGGTTCACGGAGCGCATGCGCGACCTCTTCGAGCAGAAGACGCACAGCGACGACAAGATGCAGCCGGTGCACAGTCTCTTCGGCTGCTGCGGCCTGGAGGGTCCCCAGGACTATCTCAAGGAGGAGCACGGTGCTCTGCCCAGCAGCTGCTGCTACGCCTTCGACTGCTCCAAGCCAGCTCACGTTTTCGAGGAGGGCTGCTCCACCAAGGCCGCCGGCAATCTGAGGGCGCAGGCGGACCTCAACTACTACAGCTGCATGGCCATCATTGCCCTCGAGGTGAGTAATACATACAGAGCCTGATAAGGAATACTAAAATATGCCGCAAAGTCAGCCCTTTTTAATTTGAAACGATGCTGATACAATTCAGCAAACATTTTTGAAGACATGGATTTAAGGATAAATTGATAAAACGAAGGAGGCGATTTGGAACTTTTAAGATCTATTAGCCAAAGTAGAAGATTACATTGTTTTTGCTAAAAAGTATGTAACAAGTCAAAGGTCAAAAGATGAACAAAAGACTCCATGGAGTATAAGTAAAACAAGTCGATCTAGCCATATCTGCCTGTCCGTCAGTCTATCCGATCTTAACGAGCTAGCGCTTGACATTAAAAATTTGGAATACAGATATTTTTATGCATTTTGATATTACACTTTTGTGCCACACTCACTTTTAAGACCACAAACCGCGAAGTTCTGTATGGTACAACATTTTTATATTTGATAATATAAATTCTTGCGATATTGTGGCGTTTTTTTAAATTTTATCCTGCCTTCTTTTAACCAAGAACGTCGGAATCTTCGAAATTGAGCGTGGATATGTAGTTCATTTGAGTAACTAGTTTCTGATGGTCTAGGCACACATATATTTATTAAAATCGAAATGTTGTATATTAGTCATAGACCAGGGCTCTTTTTATTTTAGTAGTATATTTATCTTTTAAAAACAATAGAATGTTCTGGCCTCACCGTGTAGTAGCTTTAATGCCGTTGCTTATACTTACAATGAACAATTAAAATTTTTCCATTTTTTGAACCCAGATTCATTATAAGTCGTTCCATTTTTAGTAAACAAAATCCACATAATGTAATGAATCTATTATCTGTGTCTGTCAGGGGCGGACTCAGAAAAAAATTTTGGGGTGTCCGGACCCCTAGGACCACCCCCCTGCGTCCGCCCCTGGAGTCTGTCAATACAATCTTGTTTTGACTTATTAGATTGACATTCCAAAATTCAAGAAAAATTGTGTGAGACTTTTTTGTAATTTTTTAATTTTACTCTTAAAAGTAAAAGAAAAAGAGAGTCAAGATAAGACGAATGCTTTTAAGAAACAATAATTTTAAGATTGCCTGACTTAAATTTTAAATAACATATTACATCTGCTGGCATAATATTTGTTTTCAGTTTATGGGCTTGTTCACTGCTTACCATTTGGGCAAGGCTCGCAAATATGCCAAAACCAAAATAAAGGACGAGGAAACCCCCATCAACGACTGATGGCCGAGGACACCCCAGCATGAATATTGATGTTAAAAGTTAACCGAATTAGCTTATTCGCCATTAGAAAATAAATACTTTCCATAGCCTAATCGAGCTCACCGCATCTCTCTTTGAATATATTGGCTAAGAGCGGAGATCAAAAGCCGAGCGAAGAGCGAAAAATAAATTTTGTCGAGGAATACTGGCCATTCGAATTCATTTACTTTTTGATCATCTGTCTGGATGGTTCGTTCTCTCGGTTGTCTTGCAGATTCCATTCATTAGTTTTCCTTACTTACTAAAAAAGTCCCAGTTGTTAAAAATGGGCTGCACCTCTGGTTGTGTAAAGTGTTTCCTAAACACACTCAATACTCTGAATGCGGTAAGTTCTACATACGATGAAATAAGGTTAAATATTCGAGTTCTTTCGATATTATATATATATCCTAAATATTCTCAAAGAAATTTAAATTCCTACATATTCTCAGTGGTTTGACAAGCTATCTCACATTCAGGTTTCATGGAATCGATAACAATTTTTGGCAGCCATCAAAAAGTTTTTGTTTTGGATATGAAAAAATGTTGTTTACTTCTTAGCGTATCCCCCAATATTTTGCATCATTTGTTTGATTAAAAATGTTTTATGACTTTTCCATATGTTGCAAGAACAATCACGCTTACATTAGAATAACAAACAATGATAAATCGAGTTTTATTTAAATCCAATAACTTGTTTAAAACTTGTGTGGTTCTTCGCTTTGTTTAATTTTTGGTTTTATTTACTAATAAAATGTTATTTATAGAAAGTGATACTTGTCACTGAATACGATTTACGAGAAAGAATAGGAGACACATAGAGGGCAACTAAAAAAAAAAAATAAAGGATTTTGTACTTTCAGCTTTAAATTGTACAATTAATTGTCTAAAGTATTCAACTGATATTTCAGATATATTTACATAAGCTCGGAATGCATATACCTACTTAAAAACCAGTTGTTTTTGTATGACTTTATTAGCTATAAATTCAATCTAATTAGTAATCAAAAACACAGACGCCAGCCTAACACGGGTAAAGCCCTCTTAATAATTATTTCTTTTGTACCTACACATATATGTTCTGAAAATCACTCAATCTCGACTGAAGTCGATGACATCGCTGTTGCCGAAAGCTAATCTGAGTTGCCATTGGTGACCTTTTGCTCCTTCTATAGCTTTCGGGTCTGTTGTTGATAGGCATTGCAACGTTGGCCATCTCCAAGGCCCCTCTCGCATATATCGTATTCCTGTACGGTCTGGGCGGCCTTGTCTTCATCTCCGCTATCCTGGGATGCTGTGGAATCTGCCAGGAGAACGTGTGCATGACCGCTACGGTGAGTGCCAGAATCGCATCTATCCCGCACAATCATTTACTGACTTTGTTTTCTTTGTGCACGATGCCACTTCAGTACGGCTTTATGCTCTTGGCTCAGTTGATTATCAGCTTGCTGGGCATCTTCGGCTTCAACTTCAGCGAGGAGTACATTGAGAGGTTTGCCATCGAGGAGATTCAGGCCAAGTGGGACAGGGAGCTGGTTGAACCTGGTGCAATGGACATTCCCCAGTCAGTGGTTCGTATTTGGTTATTAAGGCTCACAAATAAAACAGTCCGGACAGACGGACGGACAGACAGACGGACAGACAGACGGACAGACAGACAGACGGACGGACAGACGTTCATACGTATTTAAATTCTGATCGTGATGCTGATCAAGAATATATATTTGCTCTGCAAGGGTATAAAAAAATACTTTAAAATATGCTTGGTAATTGTTCCCCTGACTCTCCATAACATTTTACAGTACCAATGTTGTGGACGTGACAGCCCCGACGACTATGTGACCATTGGACGCCAAACGCTTCCTTCAAGTTGTTACCCCGATTCGGATACCCAGAAGCCACATTATCTAGCTGGATGTGTCCAGAAGGCCAGCCAAAGCTTTGTGGCGCTCTTCAACTATTCAAACGACACCAACTGGATCGCGGTGGGAATAACAGTAAGTTGGATGTGGGACTGACTAGATCATTTTTGAGATTAAATTAATATTTGTTACAGGCTCTCATGGTGATTGCTGCCTTCTATTTGGTCGGTCGTTTCCGCAAGCAACGCATTCGCTACAACTACTAAGTACTTGATTCATAATGTACTTTGGTAATTTATTTCGAACCCGAAATTGTATTTTATTGTTTAAAGTCATTCAAAATTACCAATACATTTTTTCGTTAACCTGCAAGGAAATTTATAATATACCTACACCGATAAATCGAGTAAATTCAGTACCTTGAATAAAATTTTCGAATCTATTGTTTGGTTACCTTCTTTAGAACCCCTTATTTTTCGGAATTCGATAAAGCGCTAAGGTAAACTTTGTTGGAGACCCCGTTAATAGATAATGATTATAATCTGTATGTACAAATAAATAGGGAACTGAGGGATGGATTACGCTTATTAAAAGCATGTATGCGTTATCAAAAAAAAAAAAAAAACTACTTCCTTTTTAATCGTGAAGTACCCAAAGTAATTTTTAAACTCTTGAAAACACCGAAGTTCTGGAGTTCGCCCTAAACTTGGTGTTGACATTCTTTCTGAAGCTTGGTTTCCATTGCGGTCTCAAGATTGCGGGCAAGATTCTAACCTGGACTCTGAGCGAATCACCAGTGGTGACGTCATCGGTTCTCGATCGTCTGACGCAATCGAGTCAATCGATCTAATCGTTTAAATTAGCTGGGAGAGGGAACGGCGATGAGAGCCGACTCCCCTCGATAACACGCTCCCCGGCTAAACATCTGGCAAACGGCGCTATATAGAGCTTACCCCCGACTTTTCAGTTCTGTCAAGTATAACCAGCTCCGCTTTCTGTTTGTTTGGCTTCCGAACGCCAACAACAACAAAAGCAAAAGCAGAGGTTTGTCCAACTTCAATTTTGTTTTTGCCTTTGGCTTTGCTCCAAGTGTTTGTCTACTGCGAGCATATGTATATTTGTATAGGTCAACTTCCCTAAGTCTATATTTTTCTAATTGGAAAGAAATGAATGTTCAGTGGGCTTTATCTAAAAGTTTGGTTTTTATTTTTTGATACAAAAGAGAGGCCATAAAAACCGCAGGAGAAGTGATATCTAAAATGATTTTCAAAATATGTAGTCTTTTTTTAACGCCACTTTTTCTATTCACTGATACCATGAAGTAAAAACTAAAATATTTTTTTATGCTTGGAAACTTGTGAACTTACGGTAGGTACCTTCTGCGGATGTTTAAAAAGTTTTAAATAGAGATGATTTGATTCCAATGAGTCTAAGTAACCACTAGAAGTTCGTGTTAGGGAGGCCCGACTGCCGCGTATGGTAATGTGTGTGCCCATGTTGTTTTGTTTGCTCTAACAACGCTACAGCTTTGGAGCTTCGGACCGCTCGACTCGAGTGGTATTCCGGGCCAGAGAGTTTTGGCTTCGGTGTGCTCAGTTTGCTCGTGACCGTGGCCGCAGTAGTCCGCGCTCCCAAACCGATTCAGTCTGCTCCCGCCGAAATCACTTTCGATATTTTGAAAAAGTAGCCGCCAAGCAGCAAACTGTTGCACGTGTTGCACTGCGTTTCCCGGTTCAATTGCATTCTGGCTAGGAGCTACCACTTGGAGTGGAAAAATAAACCGAAACTTCAAAAATGAGCTGCGCAACGGGCACTATAAAGTACTCGCTGTTCCTTTTCAATGCCTTATGGGCGGTAAGTAGAGCACCAAACTGAAATTGGCATATGGTGCTTCGGGAATCGTAGAATAGATGCGTCTGCTTGGAGCTACAAATAGCCAGATACTTGCAATGGTATTTGAAATTTGTTTTTTGGAGAGCTTTGATGTGGCGGGCTCTTGCCGCGAGTTCCACGTCCACCTGGTCAGTAGATGATATCATCTCGGGTGCGTGTTTGGCTTATGACCACATTTCGCGGCTGTCTGTGTGCGTTAGCCAGTGTCTATTGTTAATGGCTTCAGCTCGGCCTGAGTTCCTTGAGCCAAGAGGAGAGCTTTGCCAGCCAAGCGGCAAAACGAGGCGGCTCAAATGCGTCATGCCCTCGGATTTCGTTTAAACAGCTAATATGAATGGAATATGGAAACCGGATTAGTCAGCCGATGTGACAATAGCGATGAGACCAGGCCGACAAATTAGCCGACGCCAATATGCAACAAAACTTTCTATGGCCTTCTCAAGGCCGCAGAAGTGCGGCGAATGTTTAGCATTGATTGTTTTTTATGAAATTAAAAGCCCGAAACCCAAATTCCCATTATAAACAAAGAAACTTGTGTATATATTAACCGTTCGTATGTGCAAAATCACACTCTAGAATTGCTTGTGGGCGTACTTTCTTATCGGTAACGCCTCGAATTTAAAATGTGTTTTACTCAAACTGAATGCTTTTGTGACTTAAATTTGTGTGACTTCGACTCTTAGATTCTTGGAGTGCTGGTGCTTATCTTTGCCGGGCTCGGATGGGGAGCGATGCCAGAAGCGTACGCCATCGGCCTTGTGGTCCTGGGCGGCATTATCCTGCTGATATCCATGTTCGGCTGCTGCGGAGCTATTCGTGAATCGCCGCGCATGCTGTGGACGGTTCGTAGACGAATGATGCCATTGCCTGAGTCATATTTTGACTAACTTGTTCTCATTGCTCCACAGTACGTGACGCTGCTGCTGATCTTGCTGGTGCTCATAGTCACCTTCATCATCCTGAGTCCTCGAGATGTGTTCAAGAAGTACGCCCTGAAAATGGTAGAGGACCATTGGGAGCTGGAGCAGACCAAGCCCGGCAGCATGGACAACATTCAGAGGACGGTGAGTGTGGCTTCTCCAGTATTAAACTATATAAACTAGCAAAACACAGTTCCGTAAATAATTTGGAACCTTGGAAAAAACCAAAAAACATGGTGATATTTTTTTGGAAACTAACTTACGTTTTACAGTCCAAAGATTTCGGTATCATATCTTATCGCCAACAATATTTAGAAGATGTTTATCTTAATTTAAGTGCTAGGGGTGCTGTGATTATTATTTTTCGACAAAAACATATTGAGGTAGTACCGCGGAGCATCAAATATTTCTTTCAATAAAACTTCAACTCATGTCTTGAAAGGTTCAAAACCAATTCTGCTTATAAGCTAATTTATTATTAATTTTTATTAATTTATTTTATTAATTTGTCCTATAAATTTCCCTTCTTTCAGTTCTCCTGCTGTGGTCGAGATAGTGCCCAGGACTACCTGAACAGTCAATTCTGGAACAACACAGTGCCCAGCAGTTGTTGCAAGGACAACAGCTGTGTGAATCCCCTGAATCTGAATCAAATCGGCTGCCTCAACAGAGTGGAGGAAGCCTATGCGGATGAGGCGACTACTTCCAGCTACTTGGAGTGGGGTCTGCTCGGATTCGATGTAAGTGTTACTCATTCCGGATTCGAAATACAAAGTAACCAGCTCTTCTCTCAATTACAGGCTGTCATTCTTCTGCTGGCCGTCATCTTGGCCATTCACTATTCGAATCGGCAGAGACGCTACAACTATTAGGGTCTACTGACCGAATTAGAAAACAATCTCCTCAATTCCCATGTTAGGCGTCACCAATGTACCTTGTTTAGATCCACCAAAATCACCAACGTAAACACAAGTATGATACGTGAGTGCGCAGTTCGCTTGCCATGCAACCGAAGATGCCTTAAAGCTTGATTTTATGCTTATGTTGAAGTTGCACGTGCACTGGGAAATTAATTTAATTTGTATGCAGTCGAATCTACTTGGTATTGTAAAACAATAAAAAAACAAATAATAACGAATAACATATTTAATAGATCCCGTTTGCTTGCTTAGTTATTGCTTTAAAATGTATTTATACTTGAGTCAGCCTAAATTGATAATTGAGTTATCAACTTTTTTCATGTTAAAGTGCGGTACGATAAACGATAAGAGGAATGGTATTTTTGTCAGTGTCTTCGTCTGCGGCGTTGGAGGAAATTGACCACTAGAAAGCTCTTCAAATCAATTGCGCAAACAAAAGGCTGTCGGTCTGGTGTATGCATAATGGCATAAAGCGAAAACCAGAGCCAGAGCCAAACATAATTAAGCCCGAAATGACGCCTCCTCGCAATATACAAACACATATCTGTATTCAATTCTGTGCATATACTCGTACATATATACATGTATACAGCTGTGTTCATAATAATAGCAGTGCTGATGACGTAAATGTTTAAGATCGAAAAATCATAGTATAAACACTAAATTGGGACAAATTTGGTTTACATCAACATAATATATTTAATTTTAATTATGTTAACATTTGTTTCAGTTTAATAACTCCATTTTTTTCGAAAATATTCATAATAACAAAATAATAACGACAAAATGTGCTGTTCATAATAATAGCAGTGTTACCAAAAAAATTAAAAAATTTAACAAATCTTAAGAATAACTTAATACAAATAACAATAATGATAAATATTAACTAATTTTTTGACGTAAAACCTTTATTGGCTATTACAGCTTCACACCTACGTGGCATGGAGTCCACCAAGTCCTGGCAACGCTTGGGGGGAATCTGCGCCCACGCATCCGGTACAAATTGCCAAATCTGCGACTTTGAAGTCGGGGATTTCTTTGCCACATATCGCTTGATGTCCCCCCATAAATTTTCAATCGGATTTAAATCCGGGGACTGTGCTGGACACGACATTAATTCAATGTTTTCTTGAATAAACCAGCTCTTAGCCAATTTGGTGGTATGTTTTGGGTCGTTATCCTGCTGGAATGACCATTTTAAGGGCATATCCCACTGTGCATAAGGAAGCATAACATTTTTGAGTATGTCCACATAGACGTGTTGGTCCATGATCCCATAGATCATATGTATGCGACCCACGCCGCTGTACGAAAAACAAGCCCATACCAATATTTTAAGGCCACCGTGCTTAACGGTCTTAAGAGGGTGGTTTGGGTGGTACTCAGTGTTTGGGGGTCGTCGGACATACTGTCTTGAGCCTGTCCCACCAAACAAGACCAGTTTGGACTCATCTGTCCAAAGAATATTGCGCCATTTCGTCACTGGCCAGTACAAATGGCTTTTGGCAAACTCCAATCGAGCTTGGATATGCCTTTTACCAAGTAATGGCACCTTTCGGGGGCTTCGCGCATTTAAATTTCCATTTACTAATCGAAGGTGAATGGTGACGTCGCTGATCCCCAACTTCAGCTCCACTTTTACATCCCTAGAAGATGCAAGAGGATTCGCTTTGCTGAAGCACACTATTCGTCGGTCCTTAATATCGGTTGTTTTTCGTTTGGGCCCACGTGTTTTGGACTTCCAATCATATTTAAATGGCATTGGATGCCATAAATGGCATTGGATACCATTTTGGTAAAACAATTTACCATATCTTGGATTTGTTGATAGGTTTTTCCCTGCTTTCTAAGCTGAACTATCAAATTCCTCTCTTCCTCTGAACAGTGTTGTCCTCTACCCACTAAAATTAAAATTTTTGCATGGTTATTGTGTATTTTCATTTAAATTATATTAATTAACTCAAGCAAACTCACTTTTTGCAACATTTTTAATGTTTTCGGCACTTTTTGTGGATTAAAATGAAAAACTGCTATTATTATGAACAGCCAAAAACTTGTGATTTTGCACAAGAATGTCCAAAAAACGAAAATAAAAAGCAAATCTAATGGAACTTTTTTAGTTTTCCTATCTCTATATTACATTTTACAAAAAAAATGATCAAGCGATCAACTAACGAAAAGGAATATGCTAAAATTACCGTTGTTTTACTTCGTTGCTATTGCACTGCTATTATTATGAACACAGCTGTATGTGTGGGCGGAGTTGGGGAATCCGGGTCGCCGAGGGGAAATGCTCGACTCCAGACATAACAACCATAAACAAACTCGAAAACAAAACGCTTTTACAAGCCGAGGAGGGGGAAAGGCAATGAGAGAGAGCGTGACTCCAGATTGACTTATTGACAAATTGACGTCGTGTCTTCAAGATGCTGAGCTAAGTGTCAACTGGAAGATCTTAACCGATTATTATAAGCTCTTAGCAAAATAAACTAACTTGAAGTCCAGCTTAGGGTAGCGGAACAAATGTAATTTTTGGGGGTTAAAAAAATATATTTTTATACCCTTGCAGAGCAAAGGGTATTATTATTTCAGGCAGAAGTTTGCAACGTAGTGAAGGAGACACCTCAGACCCCATAAAGTACCTATACATATTCTCGATCAGCATTACGATCTGAATCCTAATTCGTGTGTCCGTCTGTCCATCTGTCCATCTGTCCATCTATCCGTCTGTCCGTCTGTCCGTTTCTACGCAAACTAGTCTCTCAGTTTTAAAGCTATCTTGCTGAAACTTTCCCAAAAGTTGTTGCCCGCAGTATATAAGTCGGAACGGGCCGGATCGGGCAACTATATAGGATAGTTCCCATACAGGAGATTGAATTACAAAATTCTAACGCCGTTGTTTTTGATCTGATCAAATTTGACTTGATTTCTTTACTATTGAATTTCGGATTAAAGGTTATCGAAATCGGATAACTTTATCATATAGTTGCCATAGGAAAGATATATAAATAAGGGAAAAAAATTATAACTTCGTTGTTTTTTATACCACGAGCATGATTTTTACAACATCGACTATTTAACTTCCCTTGAACCGAGAAAAAAAAATTCATAAAAATCGGACAACTATATCATATAGCTGCCATAGGAGAGATCGAAAAATCTATATCGTTGTTTTTCATCAGACAATCATGATTTTGGAAATATAGAGTTTTCTAACGACTCTTGAATAACGAGTTGAATTTCATCAAAATCGGACGACTATATCATATTGCTGTCATATAAACAATAGTTGAAAATATGAAAAATTAAAAGAAAAAACGTTATAGATTCGATGACGTTTAGCCTTTATGTATTTTGTTCGACTGCAAGGGTATATAAGGTTCGGCTTGCGAGAAGCTAGCTTCCTTTCTTGTTACATAATAAATTGAACTTTTAACCTGAGACTTATTTGGTTTCAATGGCACCATTATACAGAATGCCGTATGAATATTTTCTTATGTGTGTCGAACCGTTAAAATTAATACTCTCGGTTATTACTGAAAAATATGTGGAGTTTCCCACGGTTTACATAAGGTTGACAATACATAAGATCCTTTTTGAAGTGAAACTTCTTTAGACGCATGAGCGTAAAATTTTTACAAAAGTAACGGTAACGTCACGCAAGTATGCAACGGAAGTTGCATTTTAATGACAAATAAATTGCTTACATATTTTCCTTGTTCCCTTTCTTTAAGTCTCGGAAATCTAAAGTCTAAGATTTGTATAAATATAGACAAGACTAATAAATTAGTTAGCCAAAGCAGTTTCACTTCTATCATGTGTACTTTGTACACACGCACTTTTTTTTTTATATGCGGTCAAGACTTAAAACAACACACTACTGGTTCCTTATCGTTTCTTTGTTGTTCGTATGCATTTCAAAATGGAGCTCACGCCTAGGATGTGAAATAAAGTTTAAGATTGTTTTTGCTACAATAACATTCTCCCCATTTCTTTAAAACATTTTATTTAAAATTCAAGAACCTGTTTTTTCAAATAAAGATCTTGCTCCTTTCTTAAATCTGATAGCGGTTTCCAGGCGCAATTTATATTTTTACATAGGTATGTGTTATCTTGTACATGAAATCGAGCTTACAGCACCTCCTAAGAAGTCCACTTTGTTAATTTTCTACAATCAATCCTCTCAATCTTCCCCCGTTTTCCATACGCTCCCGAAAACATTTCGAAAACACCACTGACGGCGACGCAAATTGAAGTGACGTCATGGCTTGAAGCGCTGACCTAAGTGCAGTGCTCTCTTTCGAGAGTGCGAGTGCGCTCTTCTGTTTATTTTGATTGTGGAGAAAACAACGACAGTGGGGAAAGAGAACAACAAAAACATTTCCCGCTTTCAGTTCGCCAGCGAACGCAGAACGTGCCAGACCCAAAAGTTCAATTTCGAGAGCGGATATCCCGGGCAAACGGCAAACCGTCGACGGAAATCCATTTGGAAGTGAATTCAAACTCAAATCCAGCACCAAAAGTAAATAAACAAAGGCGACTTAATTCGTGTGCGGCAAAAGAAGTCAGAAGGTTAACAGACTTCAGTTCGAAAAAGGTCGAGTGTTTCGGAAATATCACTAAATGAGTTCGGAACATGTTTTTCAGGTCCGCAAACATGGGCTGTGCCACGACCAGCGTTAAGATCACCTCCATCGCTCTGAACGCCATTTTAGGGGTAAGTCATCTCAAACATGGATCACTAATTACCTTGATGTATCGCATATAGAGTATTCCGTGGTTCGGGCAAGGAAATTAGCATGATGTCATGTGGAACGGGTGCACAAGTAAACGCACTTTCAAGAATTTTAATATTATTTTTTGAAATTTTCTATACCATATACACTTGAAGAGCACAAAGTCGGCGCCAGAATGCCTTTGAAAACGTTCTTTTGCTTGGATATTTGTCGATTGCTGGCTGTGTGTTTTTCAGCGACGTCTGTCATTTGGCCGACTCGTGCCCACCTGAGATACACGGTCAGTTCTCAAGGTGGCCAACAACGCCTGCCCCTCCAAAAACATCCACCCGCAACGCCATCCGCCTGGCTTTCTGGTTGCTATGGCAGCCGTGTTTACGTTTTGGCCTTTTCTATTCCCTGCCGCCCGACTCCCAGCAGAGCCTTCAATTGCTCCAATTTCCGCTCCCGCAGGATGATGTCATGCCCACGTCCACGTACCCTCGTCCAATATTCGCACTCGGGTTTACACTCTGACCCATAAAGCGAAATCGAATCACTGGCTTCCCGGGAAGGGAGGGACACGAAACCCCGAAACTGGGGCACGAACAAGGGTGCTTCATCAACCCTCAATAAGGCGGGTAAGGGAAAGGGAATCGGAGTCGGGGGCGGGGGCGAGGGCGAGGGCGGGGGCGGGTTCATGACATTATCACAGCTCAGTCAGGCGAACTTCCCCGAACGATAAATTATGTGATGCACTCAGCTGCGGCTGTTAATTGCCACACAAATGAATGGCAATTGCCCTTGTAATTGCAACTGCAACCGGATCGTGTGCTACAGTCGATCTTCTCTAGCACCAAACGTTGCGAAAAGGAAGGATACAGTGAAAAAGAATACATTCAAATGTTGTTTTATTCTTTAGATAATGCTTAAAGCCAAGTACTTAAAATATTCGAATCAATAAAAGAGAATCGATTGGAAAAACTGCTCTGGAAATAAGTCTAAAACTTAATCCAATTGAAAACTTAACAAGCAAATTAAATCACTACATTTCACTACATTTTCGAGATTAAACCTTTATTTTTGTGTAGATTGAACGCAGAAGTAATAAAATGTTTACGTTTCCTTGGATTAATTTCTAGACTCTCTATTAAACATTGACAGCGCTATAAAACATTTGACCTATAAAAGCTCCACCGTAATTAATTTCAGTTTCTGGCTGCCGGGGCTATAGGTTGGATAGCCTACAATGCGGACACGGAGACGGAAGAGTTCGTCATAGCGGCCTACATAGCCTGCTCGGTCATTTTGCTGTTCGCTCTTCTGGGAATCTACGCGGCCATCCGGGAGTCGGTGGCGCTGACGGCGACAGTAAGTCAACCTAATCTGGAGAAAGTGAGTGGAAGCCAGTGCTTATCCCCTTTACCCGCAGAGCGCCGTGTTCCTGCTGATCCTGGCCATCCCGCAGATCGTGAGCACCTGCCTGTTCCTCCACCAGTACGATGTGAAGAGCGGCCAGGAGGCGGTGGAGCTGGCGTGGCAGGCGAACAACATGGACGCACTGCAGCAGAAGCACGAGTGCTGTGGCAAGAGCAGCTCGAACGACTACGTGCTCCTCAACCAGCTGATCCCGCCCAGTTGCTACGCGGATCTGCAGCAAACTCCCGACCATCTCTATTTGGAGGGGTGCATCGAAAAGCTGCAGAGCTTCTACGAGAGCGACAAGCTGCGCTTCATCATTGTGTCCTGGGTCCTAGTGGCCTTTGAGGTGGGTTCCTCTAATATATTTCTACTTTTTCAATACCATGAAATATTAATTAATATCATTTTTCTCTCTTCAGCTAATTTGCTTTGCCTTGGCAGTCTTTCTGGCAATCAACTTTAGGAACAAGCAGCGACGCATGGAGTTCTAGGCCAGTTGAAATTTTAACTCAAAGCCCCAGTACAAACCGAATCGGAATCGGGGTATTTCTCGCTTCGACATTTCATAACCAAAAACAATGGGCAGTCATAATTTACTCACTCCTACCTTAAACCTACCTGTAATTAAAGTACATATTTATAGTTCAATTACCCATTATAAGTATCTTAATAAATGTGCGCGATGTTTGTTTTCACAAGATTCGCTGCTTGTCGGCTCGGCTGGTTTGTTTGTTCGGCACGATGGAAAAATTAAGCATACGACGCATAGTCCCGACGAGCTTTGAATAGCCAAAACGTTTGGCTTTTCTCGCTTCAGGGCCAGGCAACTTGTTGCTTGTCACGTAATGTGTGGAATACTCGGCATTTCTGCGGGTGAATCATTTCATGCCCATAATCCCCTGAGGATGTCCTTTCGTGTCCCATATTCTGCTACGCACAGCGCTGAATGAAAGCTTTCTATTTGTTGTTCCTTTAAAAGCGGAAATGCGATTGAAGCTTTCTCCGCCGTGACATCATACAACCCACAAGAATCGACGACACCACTACAAAACACAACAGCCGCAAGAATGATATAAATACACTCGGAAGAAAATAGGTTTTTGTAGAGCGGGTTTTGGATTTAAAAGCAAAGCATGGTTTCTTGAAGCGTAATTTAAGTAACCCTACTAAACATAATTATTTGGAGATAAACAGAAATTGGAAAAAAATTAAATATAAAATTAGTTATATTTTTCTACTTTGAATTTCTGTTGATAAAAATAGAGCCTCAAAGCATTGATTTTTCTTAAAGTTCTTAGTTCTTTGATGATATCATCATTAGTTCATTAGAAATGCTGAAGGGTTGCAAATCAATAAAAACCTCTGAGGACTTAAATTTAACGTTTATTATTGCTTAAAACTTATGCCACACAGTATATAACCCTTCGGGAAAGAAAATTTTTTGCAATACATTTCAAAGTAATCCATTTTACATGTGTGACTTTGATAAGAAAAATAAGGATATATAAATTAAACTTAAGGCTTTATTATTTTGTATTTTTTTAACTCACTCACTGTTTTATTTAATAAAAAAAATGTCTCTGGATAGGTTATATCTATTTGATCTATATAAAGAAATCTTTCTTTACCTACACATTTTCTCTGAATATTAAAATTTCTTGTTTGGAAATTTGAAGATTAAAATTGTTAGTGTACCTCTGAAAGCCAAAGAGATGTGGGCAGGATTTCCGACCAAGAAATGCACAACTCTCCTTCTTCTACTCTCAAAATGATTATTAATGTTTTTAACAACTACACATTAACATTGATTTCCGTTTTCAAACTTTTTTTTATAGTGTACTGATACGTTTACTATTACTAATTCCTTTCCTTTATCTTTAAAAAAATAATTCGTTTGTAATTATAACTTGTAATTTTTTAAATGTTTTAACGATTTTACCGCCTTAAACTTTTACATTTTGTAAATTTGCCGGAAATTTCTTACGTGATACAAATATCAATACCGTTGGCTATTTTTTCAAGTGTAGCATCGTGAACCGCCGCGGAATAGTTGATTTGTTTTGGGCGGCGGAGCCCACTAACTGGCGCTTTTGGGGGCGCCACATTTCAAATAGAAAGCGCTGCGCTCAGTCGCACGTCAACGTTTATGGCAACTGGGCTGGCTGGCTGTATTCGCTTAGGTATTGCTCTCCTGTGGTCGCCATCGGGTTAACTGCGCAGCGGAAAACAGGTGCGGGAACAAGGATAGCCAGTGGTTAATTATAGGGATTATTGATTGGCAACATGGCCTGCCACACATCGTTCCTGAAAGCCGTTCTTATCATTCTCAATGTGCTGCTTTCGGTGCGTATGAGTGACGTAGGATCTCCGTTGGCCGTAATCGATGGAGTCAATGTAATTTTATTGGCAGCTGATTGGCGTGACTCTGATTGCCCTGTCCGTCTACGAGCTGAACAGCTCCACGCCGGGCACCTTCGAGCACATCGCCATCGTTGTCCAGATCTTCGTGGGCACCTTCGTGGTCCTGACCTCGTTCCTCGGCTGCTTTGCCGCGGCTAAAATCTCCCTCGGACTCGTCTGGAGCGTAAGTGAACGTGGAGAGAAGCTCCTTTTGAATTCAAATAACTTCTCACTCCTTGCCAGTATGTGATCTGCCTGCTGATCCTGCTGTGCCTGCAGATCTACATCATTGCGGCCGCCCATTCCACGGACTACGTGGAGCGATCCAAGAGGGACTTCCTCGCCATCTGGGCTGATCCGAAGGCCAATGAGGAACGCATATCGCTCATTGAGCAAAAGGTACAGAACTCTTTTCTATTGTTCGGATTACCAGCTTATACTGTGTATAATCACTGTGTGATATTTTATCTGCAGAATTTTGTTAATGTCCACTCAAACATTTTATCCGACGTGCCTCTTTTGTATCTAAATTTAGATGATAGCGAAATTGTTTTGACGAAACAAAAGCAAATTAGCTTATTTGACCAAGTTTTTGATGTTATTTATTACGAACTGAAAATGCGTTTCAACATTTTAAAAAGTTCATTAGGAAACCTTTTCTTTAAATTTGAATATTCTCAAAATCCACTACACACTTTATTAAAAGTAAACATACGTATTTTAACGTCGGGCACTTACTTCGGCGGACATTTACGTATTTTTTTATTATGTCGCATGAGCTAATCAGATTTGAAAATAGTTTACGATATAATCACATTCCACGAGCAGAATTAAGTGTGTGCCGACTGACTTTGTATTCACTTTGCAGTACTCGTGCTGTGGCCAGTTGGGCGGCCACGACTACATTCTGATGGGCCGGGGAATACCCACTAACTGCTACAAGGGGTTCAGGCGGCACGAGGACTACCTCTTCCCCGAGGGCTGTCTGCAGGCGGTTCAGGCCCACGCCACCGACAACGTGGCCATCGGACTCATCATCAAGTGGCTGCTGCTGCTGGTGGAGGTGAGTTCCGCGGCGACCTTGGCCACATATTTCCGAGGGCTGGGCCGCCAAGGGCGGGAGTTATAAATAGACTCCAGATATACGCAGGCAGAGCCCTCTAATCAAATTCTCCCCACAGTTCGCCGCCCTGGGAGCCGCCACGCACTTGGGCATCACGGTGCGCAATAAATTGCGGCGCGAGAGATTCTAACAGGTCTCCTCCGAGTTACCGAAATCGGTTGTTGGCAACACATAAACCAATATGTACGGATTTTATATCAGCTTAAGATGATCTGGAGGCAACAAAAATGTAGAATAAAAAATAAACCAAAATCAAAATATTCAATAAGTGTTGTTTGTGCCCACTATATGCGGAATCGGCGGACCTGCTAAGTAGATATATGTCTGCCTATCAAACGCATATAAAATATACAAAAGAATAAGGTACACTCGTAAAAATATTAAAATACACTTACTGAAATTCCGTCTATGTTTTATGAAAGAGAAGAAACTATTTTTGTATTTTAGGAAACAAATTCCAAGGGAATGATAAATTTTAATTAGGAACTAATAAAAAATATTGGTTAAAACTAATTAACACAAACATTTAGTTTGGCTGAGCTAGAAAAGTGATGTTTAAAATACTCAGCACAAAAGTTTTTTTCTTTTAGTAATTTCCAATTCACAATCATTGTTCAATTAATCCGTTCTCACATTTTTTGTATCATTTGATACTGAAGATTAAATCTTTATGAAAGAGAAGAAACTATTTTTGTATTTTAGAAAACAAATTCCAAGGGAATGATAAATTTTAATTAGGAACTAATAAAAAATCTTTGATAAAACTAACTAACACAAACATTTAGTTTGGCTGAGCTAGGAAAGCACAGAAGTTTTTTCTTTTTGAAATTTCCAATTCACAATCATTGTTCAATTAATCCGTTCTCACATTTTTTGTATCATTTGATACTGAAGATTACATCTTTATCGAAAGACCAAACGACAAATCGAATGAAGAAAAAACAAAAAACGAATATTATTTTTTTAAACATTTTTTTATTACTTTGAAAGTGGCGACCTAAAGAGGTTGATTTTTTGTTAGTGTAGGGCGGAAGAGGCGGGGTGCCGATGAGATCTGGTGAACGCCGGTCTCCTGAGTAACGACCGGCACACAAGACGGCGAAAGGGAGACCGCCGCGACTGACACGGATACGGACACGGACGGCCACTCGGCGGATTTGTAAACAGTTCGCAGCTTCTTTGCGCTCTTTTTTCGGGTTTCGCTTTATTTTGGCCCGATCCGACGGCACTAACGGTTCGGTCACCGCGACGCACAGTCGGTCGAGAGTGGAAAGCGGATTTTCCCGGGAAACGCGTCCGCTGCCTGGAGTCGCTGCTCGAACAAGTGTCGAATAAAATTAATAAAATATAGAAAATACTGCTTGCGCAAATCGCAAAATGCCCACAGTTCGCGTGTGCTTGCAATGGACCTCGGTTGTCTTCTGTACAATCACGCTGGTAAGGGGGTAATCGGGGAGTGCATAGGGTATTACTCATTCTTCACCTAAAAATTTCCATGGAGAATCTTGAGAAACACAAAGCAAAGGTCAACCGCTGATTGTCATTGTGCGTGGAACATTTCGGTGCAGCATATGCACTCCTTGAGTCACACACGGCGTATGAGTAATGGAAACACTAGCGCATGGAAATCTTTATTCGCATTCGCATTAAACTCGTCAACTGTCTGTCAAAGCAAGATCATTAAATGTCTTACATTCTTGTGTCATTTTTCTTTGTCGAATGTAAAATTTTTATGCTGACCGAGTACGAGAATATGGCCAATTTGGCAGCGAACAAATCCCAGTCCGAATTTCCATTTCTACCAGACAAGATGTCACTTGCTCCCCGTTCTCCCCTCTTTTGTTTTTGGCACAATCAAGGCGACAGCAACAATAAAGAAAGGAAGCTGTGTATGTGCCATTTAAAAGTAATTCAATTTATTTCTGCGCCACTCTTGCTTTTATTTTGGTTGTTTGGTCGTCTTACTGCCCGATGACGTCGCCCACGAGTCGAAAGTTTGTCTCTGAAGATTTTGTTTGCCCATTTCGTGGGCCATTAACAAACACTTAATGTGCGCAGGCATAATTCATACATTTAACATCGATCCAGATCGTTGGCATCCTGGCGGCCCTGGCCGGTGTCTATGAGCTGGAAACCTACGACGAGGGCTCCGCGGAGCATCTGGAGAAGTTTGTGCAACTGGGCATGGCCGGAGCCCTGATCCTCGCCGGACTCGTGGGCTGCCTGGGAGCCATCCTCGGTTCCATCAAGGTGATGGTGGTGGTGAGTAGTCGGCGCAGATGCTTTGTCGATTGATGGATCTACAAGTGCCGCACGTTGCAGAACCTGATTATTCTCCTGGTTCTGATCGGTTCGCACATCTGGAAATTGACGCACTACAACGAGAAAAAGCAGCTGGACGCCACCGAGGTGTATGTAATAGGGCTCTGGATGAAGGAGCTGGTCCAGCACGGCGCCATGCAGCACTTGCAGCAGGAGGTGGGTCCTTCGGATGTGCCCTCTCCTTCCGATCCTTTAACTCTTTTCCTGTCTCTTTCCAGTACGAATGCTGTGGCGACAAGGGCTACTCCGATTACACGAGTCTCAATATAAAGGTTCCCCGCAGCTGTTTCTACACCAAGGACGGAATCCACGCCCTGTATCCCTATGCCGAGGGATGCATGGCTGCCGTGAAGAGAGCCTACCTGCAGGTCTACCGATACGAGAAGTGGACTCACTGCGGACTAATTGGCTACGAGGTAGGAGATTGTTAAATAAATAGAGACGAAAAAGAATGATCGCAGCAGAGACTCTTATACAAAATTATTTTTATAAAGAAAGTTTGTCTAAGCTAAGACAAAATTGTAACCTGTTGACGACTTTAGTTAGCAACGTCTTCCATTACCAACCTGAGCATATAAAGTATAAGATTGTCCAGATGATTTGAAAAAATTTAAAAACCCATTCAACTTGTTACAAACATATGTTTTCTACTTTGCTACATTTGTGCTCACATGCGTATACATATGTGAAGCTTTCAAATTAAATGTAATCGCTGAAATGTAACACTTTCCCTCCTCCCTTGCAGGTCGTGGGCATCATCTTGGGCATCACCCTGTGCTGCCAGCTGACCAACAAGACTCGCCGGTACACCTACTGATCACCAGCGACATGAATAGATAAGCACTTGCCACTTGGATACACAATAAACCAGCCATTTGATAAGATCTAGCACTAAGCTTCGTTGAGTAGGTGGGTCCGCGAGGCGGTCACATGGTTGGAGCGCGGCTCCCGCCGAACACCTGGTGGCACCTGCCTTCGAGCAAGTCGCTGCTGCTGGCGCAACTTGAATAGCAGCACACTCAGCGCAGCAGTTTGCAGCAGTATAAAGATCTGCGGAGGAGGTGGAGAGTTATTCGAGAAACTTGCACCCAGCGCCAAGTCAACTGCCCACCTCAAGGCCAACGATGGCCCACATGAAGAGCTTATCGCGCTGCTGAATGTACCGCTGGCTGTGGCTGAGCGTCTCCAGGCAGCCGATCGGATAGATTTGCTGGGCGGTGTCATTGGCAGCGGCCTGATAACAGCTCGGCGGCACCAGCAGATGCAGGCGTCTGTAATCGTCGGCGCCGCTGTAGCCGCAGCAATGCTCCGAGGCCTCGTACTGGTGCATCACCTCCGGGTCTCGGTCCAGGCCGTGCCAGGCCAGCTCCAGCTGCTGCAGGGCGCCACCCGGGCGCCGATGGACAGGACTGTGGTAGTGGTGCAGCTGCAGGTACTCCGCGGCCAGGGCAATCAGTATGAACAGGGTGAACTGCGGGTGTGAATTAAGTGTTTTTGTGGATTTTGTTCGAAGGAGACCGTCGAGTGCTTACAATAAGATTGACGCACAGCAAATTGCAGACCATGCCGTAGCATCCGAACATCACGATCATGCAAATGGTGCCTCCCAGCACCAGGCTCTTTACGAAATACGTGTGCTCAGGGGTGTTGGGCTCCGCCACCTGCAGCCCCAATCCTGCTCCAGACATCACCGCAATGCCCAGCAGCTGAAAGTGCAAAGGTCAGTTACCATTCGTAAAACACAAATCAAGGTTCCAGCTTACCATGTAGAGCAGATTGGAGAGCAGGCCCGTGTACTTCAGTGTGTTATAGCAGCCGTTCATCGCGAGAGTACTGCAATCTGCGGCAGATGGGCCAAATTTAAAGCAACTGCATTGCGACCTTTCCCGGGGCCAGCGATAAGCAGCCACAGAAAGAGAACAGATTTCAGCAGCACTTTCTACATTCGGTTGCTTTATTCAAGTGTTATACAAAAGGTTTACTCGAAGGTAGTAAGTACTTAGTTTAGCTAAAATTGCCTAATAAGTGCTTAATAATTATGACGTAGACATAGCATTCAACAGTGCTATCTAGATCTATCGAGTCGCAATGCGCGGCGGGAGAAAAGCTCCCGGGCGCATCCGGTTAGTGTTTTTTAAAAACAATTCATGTGGGTCTGTATCGGTGTTCGGTTGATGGGTGAAGCCTGGTTCCACTCCCACATCTTCTATCATTTTGGATTCTTGATATTTTATTGCGGGAATTCTCAGAGTGGAACCAGGCTGTTAGACAGCTAGTCTGCAGGTGTTTGGTGTTTGTGTGCTTGTGGGTTGGTTACTTGTTTACATAAAAAAATCAACGAGTGAATTTCGTTAAACAATTTCAATAAATATCACAATGCGTTAAAGAGTTGCTGGCAGGGTTATTGGATATAATGTCCTGGCACCGTCATGGCATCCTCCACTCTAAATGCGCCACGGCAGTGGTATAAGGCCCCACTTCTGGGTGATGTCCTTGAAGTCGCACTCCATGCTGAGTACTACCTTCTCGACTTTCTGAAGGCGCGAGTTCGTGGCCGACTTGATGGTCAGGCACAGCTTTGTGTCCCTGTGGGAGATTTGTTGGGTCTGCAAGGGAGATAATAAACACAATAAAGAGATATTTGTGATTTAACACCACTTACGTCCATGTCGTAGGTCCACAACTGACTGGAGTCCGAAGCGCACTGCGCCAGAATTACGTTCGATGTGGTTGCGTTGCGATTCTTCAGCATCTTGATCACGCCCAGCTTCGGCTGGCGGTAGGTTAAACACACGTTGTCGTTGGTCATGATTTGGCCCTTCGGGGTGATTACGAACATGTCCATCGTTTTGGCGTGGGACGTGCAGTCGCCCACGGTGACCGGCGACAGCGCAGAGCGCGGAACGTCGTCTTTGAGCGGGCGCAGGCACTTGTCCCGCTCCAGGTCGATCAGGGCCAGCAGCTCCTCCGCCTTGCTGTCGATCTCCTCGAAGGCGCGTTTCCACTCCCGCGAGAGAGCTCGTCCTGGCAGGTTCTTCATGTGCTTGCTGTAGGCCTGGGCGCACTCCGTCTCACCGTCCAGCCAGATTATCTTCCCGAAGAAGCGGTCGGGGGCCGGGAAGAAGTGCTCCGGCCAGATGTTCTCCAGGTACCAGGAGAAGGGCTTGCACTGCAGCCTCTCCCTTAGCGCCAGGCGGTCCGTCACGTTAACCCTGTCCTTGGAGCCCAGCGTGAGTCCGGAAGTGTAGAGCATTACGAAGTACTGCCAATCGTCCATCCAGACCGTGGCTGCCCTGGCCAAATTGTCCGTGAGCACCTCGCTCATGCCGCCGGGAAACGTGTACGGCGTGCTGCTGCGGAACACGTGGCCCACGTGGGAGCAGGGACTGATCTCCACGCGACCGCCGCACTGCCAGATCCGGAAGGACATCTCCACGTTCTCGCCGCCCCAGACGAGCATGTTGCTGTCGTAGGACCCCATTTCGTAGAAGTACTTGCGGTCGATAGCGAACAGTCCGCCGGCCATTCCGGGCGTGGCTATCGGGGCAGTGGTGTCCTTGACGCTGCTCTCCGTTGTCTGGCGCTTGCGGTCCGAGGAGAACCACCGGAAGCTCAGCTGCCAGTTGAACGCGCCCCAGTGGTTCTCGAAGGTCTTCGTGTAGCTGAAGTTGTCGTCGGATATGATGTCGATTACCGGGCAGATGACCACCTTGCGCGACTCCTTGATGCGGGAGAGAAGTGGTTCCAGCCATCCCCGCGAGCATTCGCAGTGGGCGTCCAGGAAGGTCAGCACATCCCCGCGAGCGTTCTCGGCGCCCAAAAGTCTGGCAGGCACTAAGCCACTGCGCTTCTTCATCCGGAAGATTTTCGTGGGCACCGAAAGAACCTTTACGTAGCTCTCCAGTTGGCTCTTTAAGTAGCCTTTGGCAGAACAAAAATCAGTTTAAAAAGGGATAAGTTTAACGAAATAAATCTAATAAGCTTAAATTTAGATGGTCATGTTTATATGTTCGTCTAGCCATTTATTTCATTTCAGATTGCAGTTTTGTAGCTAATGTTTCTACTTTATCATTGCATTTCACAATGCGCTCAATTAATGTTTCTACAATACTTCGAGACTCGACATACCAATTTCACAACTCATAATGTGACTCATCTAAATTTCATATTGTACACAAAACTTGACGTCGAATTGCATTTTTCTATAAACTTTTAAATAACTAGAAGACTTAAGCTCAAAGTGATTTTTAAACTCTTTGTTTAACTTAAAAAAATAAAAATTCTTTTTTGATTCTTCTTGAAGAGAGCTGTACCATTTTGAGGGAAGGTTCTGGAGTAATATGAATCATTTGAATTGTACTGAGTCAAACATTTAATGGGTTTTTCAAGCAACTGTGAAATAAATTAGTTGCGCTTAGGGTAACATCGAATAAAAGAGATTTAATAACAAAATCTCTAACGTTGGTTACTCACTGCGATCGCTGGCATCGTCGACCAGGATAATTTCCTTGAGCAGGTGCCGAGGCGACCGGTTAATTACGCTGGTTATGGTGCGCAAAAGCACAGACCAGGCTTCGTTGTGGAATACGATTATCACCGACGTGCTAGGAAGATTGCTTATGTACTTCTTGTCGCGGCATCTGCGGGATAAAATTCAAATACATAAGTTAAGGATATTCCGAATCCGGACTCCACTTACTCTGCCGTTCGGTAGTCTTTGAGCGTACGGTTCAAAGGGATGCGATCGCTGGCCAGCAGATTGAAGCTGTTCAGCCGGAAGAAGCGCTGCATGCGAAAGCGGTCGCGCGGCGGCACCACAACAGGTCGCCCATCGGCACCTTCTCCATTGATGGGCTGGAACAGGTTGATGTTGTAATCGTCTGCAAGCGATTGGATATATAAATGCATTTCGACGTTGTGTCATTGGTGGGAAACTCCTCTCTGGGCTTTTTCCATCAAACATAATTAGGAAAGTTGCAACTTAGGCCCACTAATTTTATTAGCTTCGGGGTAAGGTAAATTGAAAGTACTTTTCGACTTCGAATTTTACTGTTCTGTTGTTAATTTGATTAATCAGACTATTTTCTTAATTTAGCTTAGCTATTAGGTCAATATAAATGGCTAATTAATTGTGAAAAACAATTTCTAGTGCAGCTTGGGTGAAGAGTATGTTTTATTATAAAACGCAAACAAGTTCTTTGTAATTGAGTTATTAAATCAATATGTACAATATTTAAAATATTTAAACATCTAAGTTAATGGTAATGAACCTTCAATTAAAACTATTATGGAGATCTGATCAAGTATAGTATTGTATTTTTTTAATATGCAAGTTAGTTGGTCAATTTCATTTTTATTATCTTGCAATACCTAGAATTGCCATTAAAAAAAAGCAAAAGCAATAGTACACCTCAAACACACCCAACAACGTTCAAATTTTTTCCAGAATCGCGCAAACATTGAGTGAAGAAAATGTAGTGAAGGTGGATAGGATATGTTAATATAAAACGTTTTATAAGAAGCTTAAGTAGTTTAGTAATATCAATTTGAAAACAGCTAACTAAGGGCGACCAAGTGGAACCATTTCACTCACCTGCAGTCATATTGCCGAAGATGTCTCCCTTGCCGATGTAGTGGGCCACGATGTTTTTGTGCGGCCAGAGGGAGCGGCGCTTGGGCGGCGGTTTCGGATGACTGTGCGGGAAATCAGCGCATAAAGCCAAGGCGAATAGTGATCCACAATAGCCAAATGACAATGGTATTAAACTTAGCATTTACAATGGGCCCCGAATCACGCGAAGCGATGGCAAAACAAACAAGAGACCCAAATCAAATGCAAAGTGCCCCGCAATCGAAACGCGGAGGCGGTTCGCTCGAGTGGAACTCTTGCATTTTGCAACTCGAGCCCCCAAGGAAGTTGGGCAATCGCAGTCCGCGCATCCTAATTTAGATAGCAACTCACCGCATCTCCGAATCCGAGCTCTGGATGCTGACCACATAGAGGTTAATGCTGATGGCGAACATGAAGAACGCGAAGAAGAGCAGGAAGAGGTAGAGCAGCCACAACTTCTTCAGCTGCTGGAAACGCAGACCCATGGCGAAGGCTTCTCGTTGCTAGTGCTTCTGGACAAAACAATCAAGTGTGAATGACCGATGCGATCGCCAGCTCTGTTTACTGCCAACTAATCAAGCCACTGTTGTTGTCCGACCGTTTTAGACACCGATGTCAATCCGGTAAAATTCAATCCGCCGACTCTGCGGAGCGTTCGCCGAAGAAATGCGGAGCTTCTGCTCCGGTGCCGCTTTAAATTCCGATTGGCGCAGGCTTATGAATGCATGGCGCTTGTTCGCCGGTCACTCGTTTACTCAGCAATTGTGCAAATACGGCCAAAACATTTCATTACACTGCTTTCACCAGCGTTTCAGCACTTTTGACAACAGTTCGCGGAACCAGCTGTGCGGAACTAGCAGAGCAGTGTTCTTAAGTTGGCTATTTTTTGTCCACAACTGCGTTTTTGTATAAATAAAGAGGCGTAAAATAATTAAGTTTTCAAAAATTTTTGGCTTATAACCCAGTACTGTGTTTATTGATTTTATGGAACACAATTGCCTGTTGTTTTTGTATTCTCAATTTTTGGCTAGTTTAAAGCTTAAAAGTTGGCAGCACTGCTTGGTGAAATCAGCTGTTTTGTCACAATTCCCCTAACTGTGGTGAAATAAAGTTATCGCCTGCACTGGAATCGATAAAAGGTGGGTTAAATATTTAAAATCTTAATTCGAAAAGCTGGCATAATGCATGGCATTATTGATCCATGTATTAATTATTTTTTAATTCATTTAATTTATTGAGTTTACAGATTTGGTAATATTTTAACTACATATATACATTCGTGCAGCTTTAAAAACTGTTGGAAGTTTACCCTTCTATCTGTAAAGACGACGGCGTTCCGCGTTCTGTAAGGTTATAGCCAGAAGGCCGGCAATAATAACTGTAAGCAGCTGCCGAATAATTTGCATATAAATTAGAGATTAAATAAGTTATAAATTAAGGTTTAGTTACCTCCACACCCACAACGGACCAATCGCTGATGCGCTCCCAGCGAGTTCCCTTGACGAAGGCTTTCGCCAGTTTCTGGTCACATCCAACTGTATAGAGATCCACTGCCTCCGTCGAATTCTGGCCAAGGTAGCAGCTTTGCGGAATTTTCAGCCCACTATCTATGTAGTTTGAGGGCCCCGTCTGGCCGCAGCAGTGGTACTGAAAACGATTCGGTTAATATTTGCGTAAACAGAGATAAAAGGTTTGCAAGTTGACTCAAACTTATAATTGATTAAATTAGTTCAATAAGTTATTTTTCTCTTGTGATTTTTAGGAAACACAGACTGCGTAGGAGCTGTTACCAATTGTAGTTATTGTGATATTTCCAATTCTTGAAACGTGTTTAAGGCGGACTTGGATACTTCTGTACCTCCGAAACTCACCTGGATCTCGTAGTAGGACATGCTGCTCTTTCGGTAGAGCTGTCCTTGCCAGGCGTCGTATATCGTCTCGTTGGCCAGCAGTTCGAAGTTAATGGGCTGCGCGAAAATCACGGTAATCTGTCCGACTATCAGGGCCAACATGATGGCAGCATACTTTCGGGCGAAGAAAGAACTTTTCAATATGATGATTACAATCTACGAAGCGCCAGTACTCACAATCCAGGTCATGCGGATGCTCTCCCTCAGGGCGGCAATGCACCCGAAAATGGTGCTGAAGAAGAGCAGGGCTCCCAGGACGATTCCCAGGATGCAGGGCACCCGGATGGCCATGCTGTGGCTGAAGGTGATCAAAGCATAGGAACACGCTGCGATGGTCAGTGCCGCCAGAACCTGCAGGTCAGAAAGAGCACTTTGAATTCGGGCACTATCAGTTGGGGATTTGACGATAACGACTCACGGAGCACAAAAAGTCAAAAACGAAGGACGACACCTTCAATGTCTTCGTGCCGCAACTCATTTTGCTATTTGTCAGCTGTCAGTTTCTGTTCGCGGTCGAAAATGTACTGAAAGGCGACTCCCAAACCCAAACCCAACCCCAAACATCGAGCGCCGTAGTCCATTGAGGCTTATAGTTATCAAAAAGCACCCGGCCATCGGACTGATAAGGTTTCTACCAAACAGCTGAACTCCCAGCTAGTAAAGCCAGTGAGAGAGAAGACTCATTGACTTGCCCAATTGTTGTATTTGATAAGCACTCGAGTACACAAATTCGCTCATATTTGTTTACCTCACCAAAACATTGAGTAAAAATATTAAAGGGTGTTTTAACAAACAATGCTAGAGTACAATTTTTACCTAAATGACCGAATGGAATATCATTAAAATGTAATGTTTAATACGCGTTTTTTTGCTTTGTGCTTACGAAGAGTGATTCATCCCGAGTGAAATACTATTTACTTTCTGATTAACATATTGTAGTGTCACTATCTCCCAAACAAAAAGGTCCACCCTAATGAGGCTACGCTCTGTGCAGTAAAGATAACTTTGTAGGAGAGAACCTTATTATCAGATATGGGTTAACTAGTCTGATATTTCATGGCCACTGTTTTTGTTTTCTTTAGATACCCACAGCATATTTAATTCGGTAGTGAGTCAAAATCCATTTTAGTTTAACTTCAATACATAATTACTAATTTTCGGAAAATGTCATTAATAATGATCGTTAACCACAGGAAAAGTGAAAAAAATAATTAAATTTGAAAATTGAACGTTTTAAATACTAACATAGATCATTTTAATCTTAAACAAATTTGTTTGCAGACTTCTTGAAGAATCATCCTAGCGTTTAAATTTGAAAAAATATTTTAAATGTGGATTTATTTCTTTCAGTGCTTTCTCACAGTCGACTGCAAACCCAGACGAAACTCATTCGACGATCGTGTTTGTTTAGCTTTTTAGTAAGGGAACAACAGTCTAGGAGCAAGCATCGGAATCAAAGTTACTAACTTACGTAAAAACAGAGCACGCGTCGATCGATTTCGTTTACGCCATGGGTTGGTCGCCGTTGATGATTAAATATCTAGCATTCCTTTTCAATTTTCTTTGTGCGGTGAGTGGTGATAAGCCCGAATAATATTGTTATTTCGGCCAATAAAAAAGTTATTGATTATCTTAGTGGATCCAAAAAAGCTTGGGTGACTGCTACTGTTTATTTTTAAAAAATTCAGCAGAACAGCTAAATTATCCATAATATGGTAAACTATTTGTTCCCCATTCAGTTAAAATGTTTGGGAAACTTTTCGTTTTTGGTTTCTTTAATTGTTAAGTCGTGTAGCAAAAAAAAATGATTCTCTTGTAAAGATTTAGAATTTTTTTTCGCCATATCAAATGGATACATTTTTTCACCGCCCAATTAGTGTAAATAGAGAAGTTAGCAAGTTTTTATTTATTTTTTTCTGTTCTCTTGTATAAAGGAAATATTTATGTGTTTAGGACCGCAATCACGCTACCAACCAACTCAATTAACCAACTTTATGAATCATTACAATTGTTATCTGCTAAAAATGCTTTGCTGAGAATGATTAATGGGAACAGGGATATGGGTGTATTTATAACTTTAACCGATGGGGGAGTAGTCATTCCTTTAATTTCATTACAATACTAAAGCATTTTAAAACGAACTTTAGGTGCTGGGAATCGCCACTGTTGTGATCAATGTGCTGGCGATTCAGGAGATAGCTTCAAAGGACCAACTAATTCTTTGCATATACATTGCCGTCGGATCCATCGTATTCTTGTTGTCTTTCTTCGGCTGTTTTGGGGCCATCAAGGATAGCATTTGTGTTACCTGGTCGGTGAGTATTGGTTTGTCAAAGTTATTAAATCCTTATTTAATTATTTATTTATTATTCCTTTTTAAGTATGCCATCTGTATGCTGGTTATGCTGATCATCTCGATAGTCCTGCTGTTCGTTTTCCGCATGCACTTCGATGATGCCTACTCCCTCACTAAACTAAAGCAGACTTTTGCCCAGCAGACTAATAATTACGATGCCATGGCGGACTACCAAACTCAAGTAAGTAAACCTACGCGAACTTAAAGATATTTTATTGTAAGACGCCTACAAATAAAAAACCTTATAAAACTTAAACGCAACTGCCTATATGGGCTTAAGTAAGGTAAACATTGTTTTAGTTTTTTATCTATTGTTCTTTTCGTAAGAGACTTGTTGGATTTCAAATTAATTTCTATGTGTCTAATTTTTAAGAAAAGATAAAATGTACACTTATGTATGTGGTTCTTTTAAAAAACAACAGTTTGTTTGCGGCTCGTGACATTGTCGACATGTATTTTTTACAATAAGTCATTCAGATTCTGTCCTTATTAAGTATATTTTTTATTATTTTAATCAGTTTAAAATCTTTTTTATTAATCCGCATAAACTAATATACATATTTCGTTTCTTTATAAAAACGATTTAATATTCTAAACATACATACAACCTCGTCATACATACCTACTCTTATAATATTGTTAATTTTTATGTAGTTTTATTTCATGTAGTTAGATTTCATAATCAGCAAAAATCTGATTAGGGTTAAATATTTTTCTTTATTACGTTTCAAACTCAAATTATATTATAAATTATAATTAAACTAATAAAGGGGAGTATATTTCTTCTAATAAAATGATTCCATTTATTTAGAATTTTGGAAATAACTATTTTGCTATGTGATTCCAGTTTCAATGCTGTGGCATCAACAAACTAAAGGATTACGGCGACGCCTCTATAAACGTGCCTAGTAGCTGTTACGACAAAAATGAGGTTCCCTACAAGGACGGCTGTCTGTCCAAAATGGAAAACCTACACGAGGAGGTTCTGAAGGGTCCCAAGATGGTTGGCTGGATGCTGATGGTCATCGAGGTGAGAATGTACATTCTGTTTGATAACTTATTCCTTCATGTTGTTGTTTTTATATGTAATAGATCGGGGCGTTTACTTTCACCACTATTTTGGGAGTGACCCTCAGAAACGAACAGCGCCGCGCTGCATACTGAAATATCTGACTGTTTTAACGTACCTTTAAGTTAAATTATTTTTATTTATTTTTAATAAAAATAATAAATATTTTCAATCTGCTTATGTAATTGTTATTTACTTAAGGGGTGGGGTAAGGTTTTAACAATTTTTTTTTTCGATTTTTTTTTTACTTTTTTTCTAAGAGAGCAATATGTCGAAAATATTGCGTAAAAAGTTACAGCGTTTTAAACGACCGAATTTGGCCGTATTTTAACGTATAAAAATACTTTAAATCGATTTTCCCGAAAACGTTATTTTGAAAGTCGGTGAACATCAGAACTCAAAATCTACTTAACCGGTCCTTTTCAAATTTTTAACACCAATTCTCCACATAAATACGCAGATAATCAGGAAGAGTTTTTTTTTATATTTTTTGAGCTAAAATCGCACTTTTTACGTTTAAGTGCTCCCAAAAATAGACAAAAAAAAAAATAAAAAAAAACTCTTCCTGATTACCTCGGGAAATTCATTATCTTTACAACGAATATCACCTTTATTGTAAGATGATCCTTTAACGCCCTATGATGTTCACCGCAAAACAACTTTTTCTTAAGGCGCCTCGGAAGATTAACAACCACAGGCTTAATTCTAAATATTTTTTAATAATTTTTTTTTTAATACTCTTCAAAAGTTGAACAATAACATGTAATTAAGCTCAATAAAATAAACTTACTCTTTTCGCCGCAAAGAAAATCAAATATAGCCCTTTTTTGGCCTTTAAAAACTTACAGCCATTTTAATAAAATTGTTTTCTCGGTTCAAGGGTTATTAAAGAACTCCATATTTTGAAAATCATGCTCGTGGGATTAAAAGCAACGATTTTATAATTATTTTTTCCATTAAATATATATATATATATTTTGGTCTTTCCTATGACAGATATATGCTAGAGTTATCCGATTTTGATCAAATTTAATCTGAACTTCAAGAGTCGTTAGAAAACGCCATCTGAAAGAAATTAAGTCGATCTGATCAAAAACAACAGCGTGAGAATTTAATATTTCATTCTTTCGTATGGGAGCTATCCGATATGGTCGGCCGATCCGGGCCGTTCCGACTTATATACTGCGTGCAATAACTACACAACTTTTGGAAAAGTTTCAGCAAGATAGCTTTAAAACTGAGAGACTAGTTTGAAGAGAAACGGACAGACGGACAGACAGACAGACGGACAGACGGAGAGACGGACAGACGGACAGACAGACAGACGGACAGACAGACAGACAGACGGACAGACGTACAGACGGATTTCGATTCAGATCGTAATGCTGATCAAGAAAATATATACTTTTTGGGGTCTGAGGTGTCGCCTTCACTGCGTTGCTTCAGACTGAAATTATAATACCTATTTGCTCTGCAAGGGTATAATTATTTTATGTTTTTACGAGCTAAAGCATTCCCTTTCTGTGCTTTTCAGTTCCTTTTCTTTTTTAGTCAATTGGTTCTTTTATTTAAATAACAAATTGAGTTGAAAAGTCGAAATAAAGAAACAATAGTTCCATCGCTCTTCGCCTTCGTTTTCGTTCTCTCTGTGTATCCTGCCACCTATCTCACACCTCACGCCTTCTACATATTTAGAAGCTACTTGGCTTGCATGCGGGCGTTGACAGTTGGCAACCTGCAATTTTAATTGCCAAACTGTCTGGCGGCGTCAGGCGATGTGAGTGCGAATTTATAGATGTGCCCTCACCGGATTGCGAATTACTCAAAATAAACACAATTTAGAATACATTGGCACACATTTGCCGAGTTCCCCGGCCCGAAAATTGCCGCTGAGTTGTCCCTAGACATGCTAACTCAAAACAAATCGCAGCCGAGCGGAGCTAACGAGTGACATGAGGACTCCCTATTCTCCACCTTTTGGGGCGTGGGCCAATCACCATCACACAATACACCTTGTTGGCGCACTCAGCCAACCCTTTCGGCTTTCACCTTTCTCCTTTCATCAGGCGCCGCGGCTCTTGCGCTTTTATGCTTCGGAGTCGCCCGGCTCGGAGGCTCCAGCCAGTTTCATTTGTGAGTTTCGTTCGTGCAGTTTCGCCCAGAATATTTATCCCCATCAGCCGAGTGGAGCATAAGTTGAGGCGCCGCTGCCATGAGTCGCATGCAAGCGTGAGTCTATGCAAATTTATCGGGTCGCGTGCACTCAGGTGCTAATGAGTTCGAACCCGATCGCGGTGTCACCTCCACCCTCCGCCACCCCCTTGATTTCCCACCAATTTGCGGGGAGGACGGCGGTACAAATTGCTTAATTTGTTCAACCATTCTTTAATTTTCGCCCACGCACAGTTTTCCCAGTTCCATTCCTTTGACGTGAGTCGGGAAAACTTTGTGTTAGGAAATTAGGAACCGGTAACCTGGTTACTGGTTCGCGATTCGTGCTGCGTCCTCGTTTCGGCGGTTAGAAGGATGCGTGCTGTGAAATCCTGGCCTAATCCGAAGTGGATTGGTGTGCACATCGATGATAAATAACCGAGTTAAATGCAAATTCCAATAATAGGGAAATTTGTATTAATCTGAAATTAATCACTGTCTGATGTGGTCTGATAAATTGAGTGGCTCCGTATAATTCCTATTATGTGGATTAGTTTGATGGATTAATTAGATAAACTTAGGCATTCGCATTTTATTGGAGTTCTAATTGGAGTAGAGCACCCATAAATTATTTACATTGGTTTTAAATTTCAAGGACTGCAGGAGCAGGAAAAATATGTCAAAATTTCTAAGGCTTCTGATTGACTGATTAAGATGTATGCTTGGTTGTGCTGAAATTAAAGTATTTAACGTATTGAGTATGCGAGTGTAATATGTTTATTAGAAGTATTTGCTCCATAATCCTATTGCTGCTTTTAGTATCCCTATAAAAGTATAAATTTGTAAAGCTATAATTCAAATTTTGTACTATTAATATCTCAAAATAAAAGCACAGAAAACTAAAAAAATTTTAAATTTATATTATTAACCTGAAACAGAGAAGTCAAATTATTTCCTAATAACTACGTAAACTTAACTGGAAAATTAAAACAAAAAATATTAAATGGGGTTTCCTTTTGTAGCTTCACACTTAACATAATAAAAATAAAAAAGAGACAGTTGTTGATATTTTTATTTGATTTCTTCCGTTTTCAGTTAAGAAAACCACCCATGTGCTAAATCATTGTAAGACTAAATAAAGTTAAACAAATCTAAATCTTACCTAAACTTTGAACAACAGCACTGTATTTCAACCCAACATTAATTTTGTAAACATAAAAATCAACGATCTGAGGTCCTCTGATTGCTTCTAGGACAAAAGGTTTTGCGATGGCGAGTACATAATGAAAATGTAGCGCCAGAAAATGCCGCATTGGTCCAACCATTGCACACTGCAGTTCCTATTTGTGTGCCCTGTGCCGTTGGAGCTGTTGTGTTGGCAATAACGACGACTGCCATGCCCTACCCCAAATGCTCCGCGGCGGAATGCTCAGTTCTTCTCCATTTCCCGGCCACTTGTATCGCCCATTTGAAAACAATGAGGAGTCGTCAACTCCGCGCTTCATGCACGTGACTTGACAGTTATTTCAATTTAATAACTTCATATACACGGGGGGCCATACAGATGCACGCCGGCAGATTAGATTCGGGGCGCCAACGCGAAGTTCGCATACGCTGCCTTCGGGGGAAACTTTTGCGATAAAAGTAATCAAGGTGCTCGAAAGTTCGCGCCCAAGTCGAAGACACTCACCTGGCCGCGAAGACCGCGCTCAGGTGTCGCAGGGCAGCCGATCAAAAGCCATCAACTTCAGGGGAATCGCGTGCCGCCGAGGCCCAAGTAATTCCACGGCCCACTCGTCCATATGGCAACACTTGGGCTCCGCCGAATGTGTATCCTGCCGAGTGGCTGGTGGCGATGACACCCACGTCTCCGCCGCCATCCGGCGGATTGCAATTGGAGCGTCCCGGCAGTGGATTTATGATAAGCGGCACGCAAGCCGGAAGGCCGCAGCTGAACTTAAGTCGGCGCTGGCAGCGATGGCAGCGTGAGGTATCCACAGGATACGCCACGCCAGTCATGTGGTGGCCATGCCATCCCTAGGCTTCGTTGGAGAGCGGGCCTAAACCAACAAAGCTCGACAGAACTTTTGGCGATGTGTGGATACGGATACCCCATGATTGCCAAAGGAGGGCCAAAGCAGGCCTCCCTAATAGGCAGGACTCGTGTCGGCATGTCGCTCCTGTCAGTGTGCAGATAGCAGTGCTCGGTGTTTGTTTTCCCGCTGCCGGCTGGCGGAGGTTACAGGACCACCATGACCAGCTGGACAACCATGAAAACGCGGTTCGAGTTCTGACCCATCTAAAACTTATTTGTTTTTTGGTTTTGTGATTTTCTGTATTTCACAAGCACACTTTGTCAAAGGGATTATTGCAGAATATTAGATGTGCCTCAATCATACTGTGCCATTTAAAGAAGTCTCATGGCTAGAAATACAAGCTGCAAAAATAATAATGTTGTGGAGTCGGCCACTTGACCGAATTATTTATGTGCTTATTTGAAAATGAAACAAGTTTTTTCCCCTATCCGATAGAATATTAACGAAATGTATGTTAACCCAAACTTATTCTGTAAAGTCGTAACTAAATGTAGTTTTTAGAGTTCTCGAGAAATAGCTCTTCACGGATAGTATATATTCGCGACACTATATGGTTGTTATCGTTCAAAGATAACATTTATTCATAATATGAATACTGCTAGATGATTTCGGATTATACAGATCTTGGATTTGGTTAAACTTTTCTCAAAGTCTACGATTCGATTAGCTGTTACTGATTAGATTGAATCATAACTTGATTGCCATTCGCAGGATAACCGCATCCGTGCGGACCACCAACCGCATGAACGCCCTGCTCTCGGAATCGATGTTGAGCAGGCGGCGGGCCGCCCAAAATCCGGAGGGCGAGGCGACCGCCGGCGAGGGCGGAGGAGAGCCGCGGAAGGAGAAGCCCAAGAACGACTGGAAGTTCTTCCACACCAACTTCAATATGGAACGTGCCCAGAAGATCATCGAAGATTGCATCGAGGAGCGGCTGCTGTGGGATCGCTTCAGCCGCAATTACGACTCTTGGCGGGCTCTGCAGCTGGTCGAAGGTCTGGCGGCCGAGATACGCGACCGGGTCAAGAAGCTGAACCACAGGCGGTAAGTGGCGCACCGCCTCCCAGACATGCAATCACTTAGCCCAGAGGAACTTCTGAATTCGCAGCCACCGCATCGTCTGCCTGCTGTCGATCGTGGAGAAACAGAACCAGGGAGTCTACCAGCGGATGGTCCATCTGATGGACGAGAAGCGGGACAACTTCACCCAGCTGGTCTTCGAAAGACCCACATACTTCATGATCGTGGTTCTGTATCTGGTCTATAAGGATTAGGTGCAAATCGTCGAGCGCCGCACTTTCTGTTTCTTGTTGACTACTGTTAGGTCTAGTTAAGATTTAGCTCTGAAATATGCATTAGGTTTTAAATAAAGGTAAAAAAAAATATTCAAAAAATATGGACGTCCTTCGTCCTCTACTTGTTAGGCCCCGGCGAGATTCGAACTCACGATCTCCTGTTTACTAGACAGGCGCTTTAACCAACTAAGCCACGGCGCCGCTGTGTCATGGGCCGTAAAAGTAACTTATTTAACGGAAAGTACTGCCCCCTTCGTTTTTGGGGACAAATTAATTTGGAAATCGTTATTTGTTCAGTTGTTTCAACTCTAAGATAATAAATAAGAGATATGAACGTCTTTCTTGGGAACTCATCAAAAAGCTCAGAAACGGAATTCGAATTATGTCTAACGGTAAGGAAAGAGCTTTCAAAGCTTGTTTTATTCCGGTTCTTGAAGAGTGAAACCCGTAATATTTAAAAAGCTTTTGGAGGAGTTAGCTTTGACTAAAACCATTCCGAACAAAAAGGGAGCTAGCTTCGGCGAGCCGAAGCTCATATACCCTTGACGTCATCAAATATGTCGAACAGAATACATAAAGGCTATGGCGAATTTTCTCTTAATTTTACATATATTCGACGATTCATATCACGTTCATATCACAGCTATATAATATAGTATTTTAATGAAATTAAATTCCAAAAATCAGGGTTTCCTAATGAAAGACAACGCTGATATAATTTTATTTCCGTCAATTCTATAAAGATTTTTCGATCTTTCCTATGGTAGCTATGTATATGATAGGGGAAATGTGGGGGTTGTGGGCATAGTTTTGTTTTTGGCTTATAATTACCGAACTAGTGCATATTATTTGGACATATGGGTATCTGTGTAAAGCTAGAGACCTAAGCTAACTAAATTTGAAGAAACATACTTGATTTTGTCATGCGAAAAAATTTCATATGGACTTTTGTAAAATCGTAATTTTCAGCTACAATTTTTTTTTGGGGGGGTTGTGGGCACCCTGGGAAAAATGCTGCAAATGGAATAATATGGAAAAAAAGCGCAACCAATATCAACAAAATGACAATTTATTTATTTCAAAGACTACATAGGCGTTATTCATCGTCGGAAACACAATTTTGACATGTATAATGACTGCCCCGCATGTCCACACATTTCGGATGAAAAGCTCGATCGCAGATGTCACAATTGATGGAGTTGGCTGCGGTCCTTTTCCAAGACCCTAAGATTTCTACAAGAATGTTATAGAGGGTTCCAAACAAATTTTGAAAACAATTTTACAAGAAATTGTAGGTAATAAAAAAATTTGCCAAAAAAAAAACGGGTGCCCACAACCCACCCAATTTTGGTGCCCACAACCAACTTTCGCAGACATTTTAAGAAGTAATTAAAAAATGTGTTTGCATAAATTTTTTGGTTCAAATCGATATTGTTCCATTTAGTATAATGCTTTGACTAAATAAAAATGCATTACACTTACCTTTTTAATCGATTCACTTTAATTGATACACTATTGAAAATCTTTGAATAAAGTTTCACCAACTTTTCCAAGCACAAAAAAAACCAATTCGTTCATTTCAAAAAGAAAACGCGTTCGTTTACTTTGATATTTGGCATAAATCATACATATTGCTTGCGAATGACATTACCAACAAAAGTCAATCTTCATTTTGTGAAAATATACGTAGGGGTGCCCACAACCGACCCATGCCCACAACCCCCACTTCTCCCCTATATAAGTAACAAAGTATTGGCAGATCTTGGATTATTTAAAAAAAGTATATTTACGTAATTTACAAGGCTTATACATATGTTGCAAAGCAATGGAATCTAGCTCCGGTAATTCGAATCTTTTATATCTTAAATGCAATTTCCAAAATCCTTGTTCACATATTTTTCATTTTTTGTTTAATATTACGAATTTATGTTATCTATGCCAGTGGCGTAACCGCCAGAAAAACTTGTGTTCGGTGACACAAATGATGTCAGCCTAGAGATTAAGCGGAGAGTCACACTTGCCAACAGGTGTTACTTTGGGCTCAGTAGGCATTTCAACAGTAGAGCTCTCTCTCGACAGGCAAAAATAACACTCAACAAGACGCTCATCCTTCCAGTACTCTTATATGGTGCGGAGTGCTGGACAGTGGTGCAATCCGATGCAGCCGCTCTTGGAGTGTTCGAGAGAAAGATTCTCCGCAAAATCTTTGGTCCGATTTGCGTTGGCGATGCCTATCGCATTAGATGGAATCACGAGCTGTATGAGCTGTACGGGGATGTTGAAGTAGTCAGTCGAGTTAAAATTCACAGACTCCGCTGGCTGGGTCACATCGCCCGTATGGAAGAAGACGCTCCGGCCCGTAAGGTGTTTGATGCGGCAATTGTCGGGAAACGAAGGAGAGGACGACCCCGGATGCGTTGGCAAGACCAGGTGATGGAAGCCCTACATCGTCTACATCGCGCCCAGGACAGGGATGCGTGGAGGCATGTTGTGCAACAGGCTGTGACCCGTCAAGGGTTGGGATGGCCATTTATTAAGTAATAGTTGTAAATGATGTAACCTACAAAACAAGACTAAGATCTTTCAAATGTGTGCATTAGAAAAAAAGTTACAGACCTTTGAAGTTGAAACTATGAACTCGTGTTACAGTTTTGCTCGTCAGTATAGTTGCCTTAGAAAAGATCGATGTCATGTCTAGATCGGTTGAGATGGTGATGCTTAACCAGAATATATTTTCTTTATGGGGTCTGAGATGTCTCCTTGACTGCGATGCAAACATCTGACTGAAATTATAATACCTTCGAGAGTTTGGCCGAGGGAAAAGGTCCTTGCAAAAGTTAAATGCGCAAAATTTAAGGAAAACTCTTTTCGCCCAGCGTAGTGTACGGATAAATGCATAAACAAATGTTGAGCCATGTGCACAGATACTCAGCTACTTATGCTGATAGATACTTATGCTGGGCATACCCATACTCGTATGTATTTGTATTCATGCGGCTGCTGGGCTAGCGAAAAAAGTTTTTGTGGCGCAGAACTAGTTATGTAATCTATGCCATATTTATCTACAACTTGTGCCGTATCGTTCGTCGAGACGACAAAAGTATTTATAAGTAGACGTATCTGCCAGCTATTTAAATACCCGGCAGGCATGTTTGTCTTTTTGCGGTTGGGCTGGAGAAATATGCAAATGCAGCCGCTGTGGCCAAATGGAAATTATTTGTACTTTGCGGTTGGCTCGCACACACTGCGAAGAGCAGAGCAAACTTGGGCACTCGAATTGTATCTTTGCAATTGCTGGGGAGCAGCCCGAAGGCAACTGGCTGTTCCTCCTTTTTTTGGCCGGCATCGGCTTATTAGCAAGCCGGCGAGCGTTAGTTCTTTTTGTTCTCCGCAACTCGGGCCTGTCAAAGAGTTCAGTGGAGCAGCAAGAGCACGAAGGCAAACCGCTGGCGATTGTTAAGCATCCGAGGTTCCGTTAGAACCGAATGTCATTCCGGTGCCAGGGGTCATGTGAATGGAATTGTGTGGAAATTGGGGGAAAATTGCTGATCGATCGCCGAGTATCTGCATCTTCCCTGCGGATTGCCACAATAAATCACCTCGCAAACTTTTCTTGCCTTCCTAAGCCCATTAGAACTGAATGTCCCAGCTCAAAGCAACAGTTTAGCTGGACACGCACACAAAACTGGCAACTGGCAAGCGTTTACCAAACTAATTGGCCGAACTTAGCTGCTCATCAAATTGCCGCATCACTTTACGCAGATTTTTATCGCGCCGACCCAGCTCCATTCTCGGGAAGAAGGGCTCTGGCGGCCCGAGGGGAGTCCCACTCACTACCACTGCGATTGGGGCAGAAAAATCTAATGCGTTTCCTGTGTTTCAGCCTTGTAACAGCCAGCAGTCCGATATCTGTGTCCTGCTGCCGGTGTCTGTATCTGTGTATCTACATGTTTCCATCTCTATTTGCGCACTCTACCCCAGTGGGTATGTCCATATGGGAAGCTAACATGAAAAGTAATATTATAGATATCACTCAGGTAATATTTTGTAAATTTTACATAATATTAAAAATTTTATGAGATAACTCAACCTGTTAGTTGACTATTAAAAGGTAAACAGAAAGTTACAATAAGTGTTGATATTAGGATTAGGTAATAACTAAACCTGGCCCCCAAATCTGTTTAACTATTTGATTATTACATAACTATTGCATTTGCCTTTTCGTCCATAAAGTTGTTTTTATAGATTGCCTTTACTTCATTGCTTACTTTATAAATTGCTAATATATTGTCAGAAATAAATATGTTTTTAGTTTATTAAGCATTTAGCTAATTGGGCGAAGCAGCTGCTGGTATCAGAGTATAAAAAGTTCGTTGTTTATTTGGCAATAGCACCCAGCTCCTAACCGCTTGTAACCTTGCAATTTGGCATTGGCATTAGCACATGACTCCAATAAATTCGTTTTCGTTTTCGCTTTCCCCAGTCCCCCTCCACCCCTCCCCCATTCATCCCGGCGTTATCTGGCATCTCACCCAGCCCGGGACCGATGTCGATGATCCGGGCATCCAGCCCCCATCGACCAACTCCTCGTGAAATGCGCAGCAATTGAGTTTTTACGCATTTCGAAACCTCCGAAAAGGACGTGGGGACAGGAGCAGGAATACCAACCGGAGCTGGAGCTGGAGCTGGTGCAGGATAAGGATTTCAGCCTTGCCTGCTGGCCTTCCGCCCGAGGCAGTCAGCTTAGCTGCTTTCAGTGTGTGGTGCGGATCTTGCCGCTTTCCAGCGGGGAGGGGAAAGACAAATCTGCTTTTGTTTTTATCTGATGCCGTTTCGTATTTAGCCATCTTATCCTGGTGGGAAAGCGAGCACATTCGGCTGACGTCGAAGGGCGGATTAGGCAACCGGAAAGTCCATGATAGCCTGGCTTTAATGATGGCCGCGACGTTTTTCGTTCGAGCTGAAATTTGTAATTATTATTGGCCACAACGGGGCCATTAGGACCGCGTCGAACCCCAATAACCCTAATTGGGCGACATTTCCCAGGCAATTAGGAACAGAGGGCCCCCGAAAATAAAATGTAAATTAAAGCAATAATTGCTGAAACTTGGCGAACTGAGGCCCAATTTACTCTTCGAAGGAAGCAAGCGAGATGTTCGGGGTCTCCGCATTAGAGGGGGAAACGCCGTCAAACGGTCCACGGGTAAAGCTGAAATGGAGTTAGGTAAACATTTCATATTGAAGGGGAGATGTGATTTCCACTCACTTGATGCTCAGTTGGCGGCCGAAGAACTGGAAGTCGCTGACCATCGCCTCGAAGAGATTGTGCAGGCCGAGGCGCAGGAGCGATAAATCCGCGCGGATCTGATGCCTGATGGTCTTGTGGCACTTCAACGGCACCACGGACTTTCGGGCATTGTCCGCGTGCTGGACAGATTTCTCCGTTTGTCTCCGGTAGGTGACACCGTCCACTTTGTGGGTCTTGTGGTGCTCCCATCGCTCGATGCACAGCCCGAATTGGTCCTTGACCCGCAACTTGAAGTCCACGAACCTATCAAGAAACCGCTTCACCTGCGTGATCTTAGAACGGAGCAGGCAGCTCCAATCCTCGAGGGTCTTGAGCTCTTTGCGCGTCTCCTCCAGGTGCTTGGTTTCCTCTTTGAGTCGACACATAAGCTGGCATTTCTGGAGGCGCAGCCTCTCCAGCATCTGACCCTCGGGAGTCCTGTGTGAGAAGTCCTCCTTTTCGACTTCCTCCTCAAATGCGTTCCTTTCCGGGACTACGATCTTATTTCGCAGTAGAATCAGCCGTTGCTTCATCTCCTCCAGCTCCTCGTAGGCGACGTCCAGGTCGGTCACTTCCTCCAAGTCACTGGGATCCCTCCCACTGGACACCAGTTCACTCTCCTCCTCCAAGTCCAATTTTTGCAGACCTGGAGCTCGACATTCTGCAATGTTCCAAGTGCACATGGCGGAGCAACGCGAGATTTAATAAAACTGGGAACTCAAATTCAAAACTCTTTTGTGTATGTTTAAGCTGTGGATCGAAATTATTTTAAAGAAAATCTGGTGACATTTAACTAGAATAATAATGAATGTGTAGTGTGACCTCAAGTAAAAGTTTATATAAGAAGGAAATAACCAACTCCCAGTGACCTTTCAAACCCTTCAACCCCTAACCACCACAAAAACTATTCTTCCTAAGATTAACCAGTTTCGGTTTAATTTGATATGACCCCGACAGCAAGTGCTTGGATCGTTAAATCAAAGTTTAACTGATTTCCTTCCTGCTGCTCCTGCTGCCAGTTTAATTGAGTTAAACGAATCCGTTGGCCCCTCGTTTCGCTTTCAATTAAATAAACAACTTTTCAGCGGCTGGCAAAGCGTTCTCCTCTCTCGTCTTTCGGCGTTGTTATGGCATTTTAACCCCTAATTTATTAATGACTGCCGGCATTCATCACAGCAAAAAGTTCATATTTCAAAAACTGCCGCAGAAAGGGTTGGAAATTATTGGGCGGCATTTGATTAATGACACTTGCCATCCTCCGCTGTCAGGGAATTTGGAACTTGGGTCCCCGGCTTTTGGGGGATGATGCTGATGCCTCCACGGCTCCAAAGTGTTTCAACAAAATATTTGCCAAGTTTCACTTTTCGTCGAGTCCTGTCACGTGCAATCTGCAGCCGGGCCAACAACTGGGATGCCAAAGTCAAGTCTGGGCTTATCCACAACAATGTCCTGCCCTCTGGGATGTTTCTGCATAGCGTTGCGCATTGTGACATGCCAGATGAATTTGTCCGAACATGTGTTCAGCTCCTGGTGCAGCTGTTCCAGGACCCGGCCCCCGGAATTTCCCCCTCCGCTCCTTGGGGCGGTGGATCTGATACAGATAAATTTAATTTCCTCCGCTCTGTTTGCCGTCGCAGGATGGCAGCCATCGAACTTGCATGCCAACACGAATTTTGATTTTCTTACTCCATGTACGGCTTTCCATATCCAAAACTCCACCCTCTCCCCCGAAAACAGTCCCCCGTGTGCTCCACATTTCTTGGGGATCTGGGCTGCCAGGGGTTATTGGCATTATAATCACGTAGCTCGGGCTGCTGTTATTTCATTCCGGAAATAGGTTTATTTGTGGTCTTTATGGCGGCTTAATTTGAATTTCGGCAAATAAGATGTTAAAGCTGAACTCTAATTTATGAAAATTTATGATAAGAAATATTTTATAATAAAAGAAGGGAGAAGATAATGGCTGGCAAAATAGCAAAATAGATAAATTTGTTTGATTAGTAGATACATGTTTTCTGTTTCTGTTTCGTTTTCTAAGATGCAAATACTGATTTCATGTTGCTTAATTCGAGTATCAAATATAAGCTAATTGTAAATTATTGACTGTTAAGTTTAAAAGTAGTTTAATTTATTTAAATTCATTTTTGCACCTCCACAGAAGTACATTTAGAGTGAAGATGGATGTGAATACTCGAAACAATAAGTACGAACACTAAATCCATCAGATTTATACTTGCGACTTGGCTTGGCTTTTCCCTCTTCCCAATCGAATCCCCTTAAAACTTTACTATGCATGTGTGCTTGTCGTTTCCATAAATCACACGATGCCAATTCCGAATAGGTTTCCATTCGCGGCATAAATCTGAATATTTTTGGGACCCGAGCGGAGCAGACAACAAACCTAATCCCTGGGCAAACGTGACTCAATTATATGGCCAACCATCTCCGGCATCGCATGTGTGTGCGGGTGCCACTCAGATTTCATATGATGTTTTTTACACAATGCATAATTCGGAGCGAATTTATGTGGAAAACAATAAAATTAAATTGTTTTCGCATTCGGCATTGGGCGTTCGGCATTCAAAGGCAGCGCCCCTCGTCGACTGGCAACTGCTGTTCGCATAATGAACTCATCTAGACGAGAATAATAAATTTCCCAACAGCACCCGAAGCAGGAAAGAAATGGCACAGCCATTTCAGGACACCCCTCCCGTCCAGGGATCCGTATGTGATTTTATTCCCGCTGCCAGGATCCGTCCTTCGCGCTTTCTCCTGCCAACCAGGTCGTAAACCACAAGTGCCCGCCTTCAGTCGAGTTGGCTTCGCCGCGCTTGTCACTCCGCGGTCTCCTGCTCCTTGGATCCTTGGATGCTTGGTTCCTTGGTCCTTTTGCCTCGTGCCTCCTCGAGTGTTTAACTCATGAACGCCCACTTTGATTTCTATTTGAATTGTGCGCGCAGACGGCGACGCGAGCCACTTGTAAAGTTGCCATATGTGGCACCGATTTACGGCAGTGCAAGTGGGGAAGCCACGGAAATGGGGAAGCAGCTCCAAGGGGTTGCACCGAACTGGAAATTAAACAAAATGTACTTTTTCCCCGCAAGTATCCTTCAAACTGGTCTATGGAAAGAAGCACCCGTCGCACAACTTAATAGGGCAGTAGTTTTTAGGATTGGCCTCAAATGGAAAGCATTTCATTCTACCTTTTCATTTCTAGGTAATTTTTTTTCATTACTCAGACTTTCTTATGAAATTAAACTTTCATAAAAAGTTTATCAGTGAAAATACCAATTAATGCAATAACTAAACGAGCTACCAGGATTCTTTGGTAATTATGCAAATTTTTGAAGTCTAGGAACAACAGGAGATGTTTATTACCCTCTTGTAGAAACACATCCCCAATTTGTTATATACTTTGTATTCCTACCAGTAAAAATGAGTGTTCGACTTCGTCATTATCCATACAAGCAGATAAACCCAACAAAGATAATTTAATTCTTAGTTTGAGAAGTTTTTGAAACTCCTGCAGTTGGGCAATCTTCTTATTAACACGAGCTGAGTCATTTAGCTGGATTCCGCCGTCGGAGGATGTCCTTTCCCGCCAGCTCCTCCTCCTCACGTTCCTCAATTCTTCCTGTTCCACGGAAATACTTAAAAATACTTTCACCTGCTGCTCAGACGATTCAATTAAGTGCAATTCGCACGCACACATGCCATCTTGCCTGCCTGCCCGCCTTCCGCCTTCCGCCTGTCATGTGTTTCTTTGAAAAATAGATTTCTAAAACGTTTAAGCTGCAGCATGTGTCTTGAATTTTAAGCCCCTGGCCACCCCCATAAACATATTAAAATTGCGCCAAGGTGGATGCAAGCTAGACAGCCACCCCGGGTCCCGGGATCCCCAAATCCGAGGACCCCGGCATATGCCTTGGCCGCCAAATAGCACAAACGTGACCAAACTTTTTGTGACTCTTTGTGCATTGTTGGCAGGCGATCATTTATCTTAAATGCCGGGCCATGGAAACGGCCCGGGGAGTCCTTTGTGCGGTTCCCCATTCCAATACTTAGTAGGTGTAAGGAACAAGTGTTTGCTCGACTAGTGCAATATTTCAAAAAACAAAGTCTTTTTATTTGCATGTAACTATTCAGTTAATTTCTAAAATAGTATTCTAGCTCCGCCATCATATTCTCTTTGTGTTAATTCTTTTGTTATGATTGCTGAAAAGAATTTAATGAAAATATCTATATGAGTAATGAGTATCTGTTAGTCGGGCCACACAGCTTTGGCATCCTTTTCCTGGATATTTTCGGGCGCCGGGCAACCTTCTTTTCTGACAGGGCGGAAGTTTTCCAAGGTGAACGCGGGCTGCCTAATAAGGAGCATTGCGGACGATGGAATTCATGGCTCTAAGCGGCTTTGCAGGCAGGACAACCCGGCATCCCATAATGGTCAAACCTCGAAAGAAATGGAAATCCCGCAGTTAAAAAGGAAAGTTTTTCGGGACAGAAAAAGTTGATTCATTGGGTGGAAGCGAAGTTCAAACACAAATTTTGGGGGTCACTTAGGAAAAGATTTTCAGAAGTCCTTCTGCCTTAATTTGAGTGAGCAACTTTGCATCAGTTCAAAGTTCCCAATCAGTTTTTCGCAACCCGTTTTCCGGCTGGACACTCTTCCATCTAATTTAAAACAGTTGGCCGAAAGTATTATAGTTTTCCCCTTTCATATTTGCATCGCAGCTGAGGCTTATAAAACTTTCTGACAAAACAATTACGGGGCATGCATAGATAAACAAACAATGTACAGCTTCCCCAACCCGTCCCGAATCCTTATATCCTTTTTCCCAGCTTTTGTTTAAAAAGAACTTTTGAATTTTTGTTTGTTTGCCCAGCGACTTTGTCTGGAAATTGTGCTCAGATCCTTCTTCCTCCTTGGACGGATATTAAAATTGCAAAATTTTTTAATCTTTTTTGCGAGAAGCGTTTTACATATTCTATAGATTCTGGCGGACGACATAATGTCCCTATTGGGCGTTCGAGGTCCTGCCATCCCAGCATTTCAGCATCGAGCGTCGTGGCATCCTGGCATCCCGGCAGGAGCACATAAGGCAGAATTTATGTATGTATTCGGGCTTCCCAATTTCCCGTGCCGCTCGCACGGCAATAAAAGGAATATCCTGCATAAGGACGTTTCCGTTCACCAACACCCAATCCTGCTCCCGGCGAAACTGCTGCTCCTGAGTGGCAAAAGTTTTTGTCCTTGCCGATGCCAAGAACGTACAATTTTTATAGACACGTAGGTGAGTGTGCGAGTGCGAGTGCGTATATGGGTGTGTGGGTATGTGGATGGCAGGACGCTTAAATCCCAGTTTACTACTTTAGGTGTTTACCACACAAAAGGCCAGGGGCGATGCGGAGGCGGAGGAGTCCCGCTCCGCCGGCAATCGTCGAATTATGCAGAAGAAGTTGGATCTGAGCTGAGCTGGGAGCTGAGATTGTTTCTGCCGCCGCTTGATGAAAGATTTTTATCATGCAAATAGTTGGGGGTCTGCCTCTGCCACTGCGGCATTACTCCTACATTTTATGGGATCTACTAAATTGGATTTATATCAGCATCTGCTGCCGCCCGCCGAGAGCTTTAAGCCAGCTTTGGCTGCGGATACAGTCGAGAAAAGTTTCGGGCATTTATCACCCGATGGCTCGAAAAATATGTTTTAATCATATTTATTGCGCAAAAGTTCGCTGCGCCGGGCGCCCACTTAACTTATTGACATTTGACCTTACGGCGACCCTCTCGAAGGGGAATCATTGTTGTTCCAA